ATATATAAGTCCATTTTATCACGAGTATGCATTTATGGGAACGAATAGCAAGATCTGTTTATAATGATCCATGTGTACGTTTAGCAATGAGTACTTTGTTTATTTGAAATACTGTTTCAGGTTCTAAACAAGTCAATGGGAGAGAACTTTTTGCCAGCACTGATGTCACTAGGCGGCTTAATTATGCAATTCCACGCCACGACGATTGCCAAAAGATTCAGAAGTTGTCCTTTCGTTGTTATTGTTTGGAGAAAGTGGGTTGGGGAAAACATCAGTACTGACCTTATAAGTCTCTATTCTTGGTAAGTACTATGATAAACAATAATACTTTCCAAAAAAGTTCTTCAGTAATTTTCATAATAATAATGATATTGTACAAATACAATTTTGGTTGATATTTTTTTCTTAAACGTATGTTTAGGATCGGTATCAGGTATTTTGAGCAAAATGTAGCCTTGTATAAAAGTGAAAGCCACGTGCTTAACTTACTCAATGTTTATGTCCGTAAATTTGACCAATCAATGAGTGCCCTGCATCGTTAGCTTATTATTATGCATGGCCAAGACAAGTACACTGTAAAAAATGTGTAAAGAGATAATAAAAAGTAGACGCCTATTAGAATAAAACTTTCATAATGCACTAATTCTTTTAAGTAAAATGATATATACGGTGATTTATTTACATTCCAGTGCCCGTGTGTTGTCTATCTCTCACTGTAGTATTAATATTAAACCGCATTGACTTTTTACATAGGTTTCATCACTATACATTTACCAAAAGGAAAACCCCTGACATTTGCCCAAGTAGTTAAAGCACAAAAGAGCGCAAGTGCTGAATCGCCCCTTAAGAGAAAACAGTCAAAAAGGTATCATGACATTTTAAAAATAACTGCAGGGAAAGATGAAGAATCAATATTGAAGCAAAAGGTTGAGGAATTAAAACAAGGGGGTAAAAAGAAAAGTCTGAAAATTGCCAAAGAAGCAGGTCTTACACCTGGGAATCTCACTGGGACTGATATGAGATCTCTCAAAGCAACAGCAAGATTGACCTGGTCTCAGATTCGAACCATCAAAAGATATCTGAAGCCAGGAGTTAGCTATTCATCAGAAAGATCTGAAAAAGATATTTTAACTGATGTTTTATAAGCAAAATCAAATGTTTCCCTATATTTAACAAATAAATTATAATCAAAACCAATGAAATTCTATGTTAGGATTTCTCCAAGGAATATGCATGCAAAATATGGTGACTTAACTCTTAAAAGTGAAGAAATGAGAGTAAATATACAGACTTGGGACTTGTGTTGTCTCGGCTACTATTAAATTGACTTAAAAAATTGAATTCAGAAGGACTCTTGCATAACCATGATGTCATACCAGAGGATGGGATTGAATCGACCCCCAATCTTTTGGACAAAAGATAGGATGAGAAGAAGTCCGACGCGCTACCTACTGCGCCACACGATGACTGCATATAAGGCTTGTCAAATTTTAGAACAATATAAATAATTGAAAAAAGTAATATAAGTGCGCTTTTTTATTTCAAAATGATCAATATATATGACTGATATTGTTGAAATGTATGTTTTTTGGAAGTTTTTTCATCTGATTTAATAAATAATGATGTTTTATTGAGCATCGAACTTCCCATCGTCAGTCTTGATAAATGCAATCGGTTGCCGGGATATTGAGCCCAGGCAGCCTATCACAGATCGGAGCACATTGAAGCGGGTTATTTCAATTTTATTTCGAACATTTGTCGAATTACCATTGATGCAGGGTGAAAAATTAGGAACTGCTCAATGAACTTCCAGAAAGTGATTCTGATGCAAAGACAACAGGATCTGGGGGAAATGAAGACTCGTCAGATGACGAGCATGAGCAGGTAGATCTGCGATCAACCTTAGTGAATTTCTTTACAAAGTCTGCAGATGAGTCACAATTGATAGCACTTGAGCAAATTCCCATTCTGGTAAGGCTGAGAAAGACTAGCACATAAAGCCAGAGAAAGTGTGCAAATAACTATAATGTACCTTCAACTAATTTTGTTTTATTTTTAGGATAGAAAAATTTTGACAAAAATGATGACCTTAATGACTCAAACTATTATTATGGAAAATGTCATCCCCATTGAGAAATAGCCATATTCTGGGTTTAAATCACTATTACCACAGCACCAGAGTCATCACCAATGATACCATCAAGGTGTATTTTATCTCTCAACTTTCAACAGACAATATGAATGGTGGCGATGCTTCATCACTAAAGAAGGGCAGAGCAGTAGTGAAGAGCAGCTTCATAATGACAATGAGGCATTTTTGTTCTTTTCTAGGCTGACAAAAATTCCTAATTCTCAACATTTACACTGCAATCAGACATGATTAAAATTTTCATTTCAAGAGACATTTACAATGAAAGTCTATGTGTAAAATCTTTTATAAAGCCACAGGCCTACTACATGTTTGTTTTCCACATAAAAAAGTGAAATGCAGTAGACCCATTTGAAAAAATAAAATTTCAACAGTTTGTCTCTGTAGAATATATAAGCGCATATGCCAAAGGGAAGGGTGACTAAAAACTTTAAACAAACCCAACAAGAAAAGCAAACTGTAAGTGTAAATCTGACATAAGAGTAGACCCTATATATCCCAAAACCATGATCTAACGTGAAAAGAAACAATGTCTAACATCCCCCTCCCCTTCCAATTGAGAACATATCACTAACCCTAACCCTTTCCACTTTATCGAAGAGGAATCACTTATTCCTTTAAAGGGGTTAACTTTTCTTAAAACGCAACATATTGATACAAAAAATGAAAAGCATAGGTGAAAGAGGTTGAAAATCAGGACAACAATTCAGAAATAACATGCGGTTGGGTTGTCTGCATCTCACTTGTTTCAAAATCAAAATCGTGATATGATTTTAATCCACTCAAGGATATTGATATCTGCACTCTCTCGCTACACTCGCTCATGCAGATATCATATCCATTCGTGGATAAAAATGATATCATTCATAAATCATAGGATATCCTCTATATATTTTAGAGTCTATGGTTTTCAAGATTTGGTTTCTTTTCATGATCAGTGGTAGGATGCCACACATACATTTAAGTTACGTTTGATCAATTCCTTTTCAATGTGATAATATGTTGTTTCATATAACACATTATATCAATTATATGGACTATACAAAATACATATCATCCCAGAGTTTGCCAACTTAGACTTAATCTGTTGAAATAATTATACTGATCAAAAATGTTTTGTGGTGGTTCAAAGCTGCATATGGATTTGCAGAGTTTTAGCAGGTTTTGTAAGTCAGCGATATCTGGTACTTCTGCTTGTACACATTCAAATAATTAGCTTCATTTACAAGGCAAGGAGCCAATTAGTAGACAAAGTGGGAGTCAATAGGACTGATGCATGTAGAGTATAAGCTTCTGGTCTCTACAGGGCAGGGCACACTATTTAATGTCTTTCTACATTATAGGTAGACTTGTTTAACATGTATTTGTTGGAATTCGTCACTCTAGATTTGCTGTTTTCTTGTAATAGTTTACACGCACATCATGCTTATTTTGTTTCAGATTTAGCTTTGCTGAAAATTGCATTGGAGACAGTGTTGTCATTAAGGACCAAAAACAGCCTGGTCAAACGGACCTGTTCCCCATCAAAATTAGGTGGTCCGTAACAGGATGTGTCTAATAAGCCAGAGTCACTTTCCGCACCTGTTGAGCAAGAATCAGAACCGGAGTCTTTGAGGAAATTTTGCTGGCCTCCTAACCCGAAAAAAACAAAACCTAATGAATCTCCTGATCAGACACTTATTGATAGACTTAGGCGTGAGATGGATATTACTGTGATAGAAAATATGAGACTTAGGCAGGAACAGGCAAGACTGACCAGCATTTCAAAAAAGGTGCTGGTCCGTATTAAGTCTCACTGGTCAATAAATTCATGATTGTTTTAAGCACTTAACACTGTTTCAACATCTCTATTGTAGGATTTATAATTGTAACATTAAGAAAATAAAAATCTGAGAATAAACATAGTTAGTTTTTTTTTGTTCTCAAACGGTACATGTTTAGCGAACCCTCCCCCGAGTATTACATACAATTACCGAATGCCCATAAAAAAGCTAGGCGTTCGGTAATTGTATGAAATACTCGGTTTAGCGAATCGATTCTAGCGAGAATTAAATGTTCTACTTCCTCCGTCAAAAAGGAAGTTTTGAAAAATGAACCAGATATCTGCTGAATACGCTCGTGTCAAGGTAAATATCGATCAAGATGACCACAAACAATAGAGTAAACCTGCGAACACATATTCTAGAGGTATGTAGGTATCATAAAAACAAGCTGGTCCAAAGGTCCAGCACCTGTGCAACTTTTGCCGGACCGGAGGACAATCAACTGGTCCCTGACCGCCGGTCCGCTCGTTAATGTTAACACCGATTGGAGACGGGCAACAGCCTTGATGTTCAGCAAATATCACATAGATATTTAGACATAATCACAACAGTGAATGCCAACTTCTCTTCAATGACACTTAAGGAAGATGGTACAAGTAAAATCCTACAGCCAGATGACACCACGTTATGCTGCAAACTGGCACCATTTTTGAGAACAATGAAGCTTCGCCAACTTTTTTCAGGGCATTTTATTGTAAAATTACCCACCATTCTAAAAAATGCCACCAACTATTAATTTTCCACTACTCATTAGGGAGAACAATGAAAAGTATTGGGGCATTTGCAAACAAATGAGACAGAAAGGTTAAATATTCAGGAAAATATTTTAATAAATAAAAAAAATCAAGCTAAATCACATTAAATAAGCTTAACTTTGACATCTCCCCAAACCAGCCAAGACAGATCCAGGAAATATTGAAATATTTCCTCCACTGGTAAATGAACTTTAGACTTACCGACAACGATTCCTTTGTACACAAGATCACTTCTGTGTATTCTTTCAGATGACATTGATAATAGAACAAATTTTAATTGCTCAGTTTCAATTTTGAACTGTATATGGAATGTATCACATCATTTACTTTTTGTTCAATAATATCCACTGCTCTTTTCCATTCCCCAGTGTCTATTCTTAACACATGTCTGTGGAGGAATTTACTTAATAGATACACTTCCTCTAGATTTTTTGCCACCACCAGTTGAACTAAATATTCTACTAGCATGAGAATATCTTCTTGGAGTGGTGTATCTGTATTATAGAGCCATTCTTTTATTAACAGTTTGACTTCATTGATTGATCTTGCTCCACAAAATTCTATTTCTTCTGGTTGACTGGACACCACAGGTTTAATAGAAACATCTATGGAAGTTTTATTGTGCCTCACAGGGGGTGGAATCTCATGCTGATTTGGATCCTGAAAGACAATTTTCTTTGGGCTAAGTTTTTTCTTTTTCACCACTTTTGACCCTTTAGGGACTTTAAAAATCTTTGGGGAATTCTTCGAGGGTGATTTCTTTTTGGGAGATTTTATTGTAGGGGATTGTCTCAATGAAGATATGGATAAAGTCTCCTGTTTTGGCACAACATCTTCTTGGGTTTGTTTACCTCCTGCTGCTGTATTGATTTTCTTCATTTGATGGAGTCTCATTTCTTTTCTTATTTGATCTTGAATGTCTTTTGGTAACTCTTGCAGGACATTTTCATCAATTTGTGATGGTGAAACCATATAGTCACTACTACCTTGAGCTGCAATTCCTGTTGGCGTTTTGGCTTGTTTTGGCACAGAAGCATGCCCTCCAGGTTCAGGGTTATCTAGTTTTAAAGTAGGGAGGTCTGGCAAAACCTTTGGAATATGTACTGAGGCAGTGTCAGGTATGTTAGTACCTTGCTTCATATATTTCAAGATTGAAGCTGATTTACTTGCCAATTTATCATTCCTCTCAAGTCTGGATATTTGAATTCCAACTCCTCTATAATCTTCTGGTTCAACATTTAAAATTTTAATCAATGCAAGACACTGCTTTGATATACTTTGAGCATCATCTGTGGGAGATATCAACTGGGTAGATTTGGCAATACTATCACATATACCATGCCCTAAAAACTTAATAGTCTCTTTTGGAGCATCACTCTTTCGCACTTTCAACTTGAGAGTAAGTGTTCTTCCTTTCAGTTCAAGTCTTCTAAGTCTAGTTTGCACCTCCTCTGCAAGATCATTTATAAATCTGGTCACCTCAGTTTGTTCTTTGAATCTTATGCCATAATTCACCTCTGCTGATACTGATTTTCTCTCTTTCTCCATCTGAATAGGTCTATCATCTTTCCCTCTGGCAAATTCAAAAAGAGATTCACTAAGTTTGGCACCAAATTCTTTCTGTAGTTTGGCGAGTGAAATAGCTTGTAAGTCAGAACAAGTTGTGACACCTAATGCTTGAAGCTTAATGCAGGTTTTCCGGCCAACACCTGGTAGGTCTTTAGCCAGTTGCTTTGCAATAAAATGTTGGATGTCATCAATGTGGACTAGGTGTTGGCCATTCGGCTTTGCAACTCGAGTTGCCATTCGAGCTATAAGAATGTTTGGGCCAATACCAATAGATGCATTGCAACCAGTTTTATCTTTAACTTCATCCCTTATAGTCGATGCAAGCTGTTCTTCACTAATTCCAGTACTTTGCAAGATATCTGTGCAATCGATAAACATTTCATCACAGCTGATAGCCTCAATATGATGTGTGTAACTTGCAACTACATTGTACAGAATATGTGCAACTTCTCTATAACCCTCAAACTCATATGGAATGGGAACAAGGTTAGGGCATAATTTACGTGCTGGTCCCATGAACATACCATTTTTGACACCAGCCTGCCTGGCCTCATAACTACATGATGCAATTTCTGCCATGGAAACTGACTTCTCTAATTCCACTGAGCTTCTCACCAATTCTTGTTTTGTATCTGCATCGAGATTGGTATTACCTGAAAGTGAAAACCCCTTCCAATGTGATAACTCATACTCAAAATCTGTACCTTCTCGAGGTTGAACCATTTTACCTTTAGAATGAGTCACAGCAACTGGCTTTCCAACCAAATCAGGTCGATTTCGAAGTCCAACAGACACAAAAAATGAGTCCATGTCAATGTGCATGATGACCTGTTCTTGCTTACTTGGACTCTGTGCATAGATTCCATGTTCTAACAACCTCTGTCTACCAGGGAATACTTTTTCTCCAGTTTGGTGTAGTTTAGTGACAAAATCTTTGAACTCTGCACCAAGGGTAGAAATCAAATGTAGTCGAGAATTATCATAAAACTCTTTTATGAAACCTTCATTTCGTGAATCCTTTGTCTGAGCATTTTGATTCACTTTTTGGACATTGGTACTCGGAACATGGGTACTAGTGTTACAGACACTTTGAGCCTTACACACGGTGGCTGTTTCAGACATATGTCTTTGATCCTCACTTACCTTTGCGAAATTGATAGTAGGTTGCATGACAGAGGGGGCAACATAAAGAGTATAGGGTGTACAGGATAGCTGTTTCCCAGCTTTAATACTATCAGTCACCCATTCAGGTTTGACAGTTTTGACATACTTCCAATCCTTTACTTTACTATCAGGAAGATTGTTAGCAATTACATGGCTGCAATTGGTCTTAGAGAAAAAATGACAATATTTGCCACCATGAAGCATCATAAGACGTTTCAGTTCATCAGAACTTGGTTTTGTATATCCATTCACATAAATGGAGATACCATTAAATATGTTTGAGCTCGTACCTTCTTTGGTCTGCTCCAACGACACCATCTCATTATACTGGATATCAAGCTTGCACTTCTTCGCAGCCATGTAGCCTCCACTCTCTTCCCAGCCATCATTGCGAGACCTAGCTCCACCTCTACGACCACGTTTACTCATTTTCAGTAAGAATTGCCACCTGAAGGTAGAACAAATTATAACACTAACATAAAGCCTGTAACGGTATTAATATATTTACAAATAAAAACGTTACAAGTCATCGCAGTGTTCTATAAAATTGAAGGTTGTGGAGTGATACTCAAAACACAAAATAGTCAAGTAAATGCCAGCAATTAACAATTTCAAAATAAGAAAATTGTAAAACAAGGTTCACAGTGAACAATATTGTACTATTTAATTAAAATTGCCATCTTAAATTTATCCAACATGCCCAATTTCTGATCATTTTAGATTTCCATACTGATACACTTATTGAAAATAATTTCAAAACAATCCCTTAACTGGATTATATCACAAAATAGTGAGATGTTGCCACCCATCCCACTGGTTGATGTCAAATTGTACTTTTTAAGGAACATCACAAAATTATTGTAATTAATGTAATTCTTACATCACATGTAACCCATGTCACATAATGATTTTGTACATTGTTTCCATGACAAAGATAGGATGTTTATCGTATGTTGTGAGTCACAAAGATTTCTCAGGTTAAACCGTAAATTGGAAAAACAATACTCATATAATAAAAACACATATTTGATTGCAAAATGTTTAAGAATAACATATACAGAGACTATGATTGATCGTGCATGCAAAGAAGTTTCATTTTTTACCTTATTTGCCTTTGTATGACATATGCCCCTGCATATACAAAATATTTTCTTCTTAAAAATCTAAAAACGTTGACTGAATAATATGAATCAAATATGGTGCCGCAATGTAGAAACTGTGTGACATCACGACTCACAGGTATTTAAGGTCAGGGAGTGTTCGGAATTTTGCTGCAACACTCAATAGGGTCACATGTTATTTTTCAAATTTGAATCACTAGAAAAGAATGTAGAGAAGAATATTTTGATAAATGTATAAAAAACAAGAAAATTCAGTGAAAAGATTCAGAAAGTTTTTTCACTGAATTTTCTCATTTTTTATACATTTTACAAAACAAATCTTCTCATCAGCCTTTTCTAGGCACATAAGTGCACTCTTTGTGCAAAACTGGAAGATGTAGACAATGTTGGGAAGGAGTGACTCTTGTTTGAAAAATAGCATGTGAAATTGAGGAATGCAGCAAAATTCCGAACATGCACCCTGGCCATAACATGCACCCTGGCCTGGCGTAACAGGTGTGACGATTTCCAATTATCGGACAGATATATGTATGAAGCAATCTGAGACATGAGTTGCCATTCCCGTGGTTTAGTATTGGCTTACCATATTCTATGGCCACTGAGTGTGGCCATAGAATATGAGTAAGACACTCTTTGTTGTTTTGAATTTGCCTTTAAATTGCCCAGCCGTCTTATTTTAATTGATGTGACAATAAACTCACCTTCATTGATCTTTACATGCAGTCCTAGTTCATACATTTGTCTACTTCGCAGGATATTTATTCACAAAAGAATTAAAAAAAAGAAATATTTTACAAGCGGCCATCTTGACTAAATCGCTATAGCGGAAAAAAGGCATGCTTTCAAAATGGAGAACGAGACGTCTATTTTAAATGAAAACATTCAATATCTCATCAACAAGACATCCTGTTACTATTTCAATTCATGAAATTTTAACAGAATGATTTTTAGAATATTACATAAATTTATTGAATGATGGCTGAAGATTTTACAATAGTTCACAGTGTTCCAGATGGAATCACTTCTAGCCAAGAATTGGCTAGAGACTCGAGTAAGTATTGGCTGTGATTGAATTAGTGTTGTCGCAATGTGCAATAATCGTACATCAATACATCGGCAATTTTCAATAGTAAACACCGATGCACATCGCACAGGTAAACTTTTCCCAAATTTACTGCCACTATAAAATAAATAAAATTCTGAATGTAACAAATAAATAATAGATCTAGTATGAAACTTCCAGTTGGTCACTTACATAAACAAATGTAAGAATAATGTAGGTTATTATTTCATTTCAATAAGCTAAATGTTTTAAGGTGACTGTTAACTTAATCGATTTTCAGAAAAAATTGAAAATTTCACAATCTCGAAATTTTCAAACTCTTCCTGAGAAGTCGTTTTTATTATTTCACATATGCTTGTGCACTGTAATCATTACAAAGACATCAAAGAACAACAAAAAACTTTAGTTTGAGAAAAAAAGTGCAGTTTAAAGAATTTGAGAAGATTTTTTTCTAGGAGTAGCCCGTGAAAAACCGCTGATTCAAAATATCTGAACATTTCAGAAAATATACTTCAAACATATATCAAAAACGAAGGAGCAACGGAAATTTGAAAAATTACCCGATAAAAAAATTGGGATCAAAATAAGGAAAAAAGTATACTCCTCAAATTGTTTTTTCTATTTTTTTTTAATTTGTATGAGAGATTTCAAAATTCTAAAGCTCCTTCCATTTTGGGCTATATTAAAGGGATGTTTCAGAGAAATTAGAAAAAAATGTTCAGGGACCTTTGCCATGCTACTCTTTTTGTCAATTTTTCTGTCACATTTTCAGAGGACTCAAATTCCCATTCCAAAATGTTAACTGTTTCTATTTGCATTACCACAGTGAGCCTGGTTATATAAATGATGAGTGGAACTAAAAAAATTGAGAGAAAATCCAACCAAAAGACAGTTAATTTTGATGGTCAGATTATACTCAAATGCCATGTGCTTCCTGGTTTCGGCCATCTTGGATTTTTTGATTTAGTTATAAGTTACCTTAAGGTGCTATAGTCACTGAACAGAATCTTTTGAATTTTTCAGAAAATGTGCCCAATATAATGCTCTAACTAGTACAATCTTTGAAATTTTAGAAAATTGTCTTAAACAAAAATGGCGGTCATAAAAAGGAAAATAGATCGCTTTTTTTCAGTCACACTTTCAAAGGGCTAAAAAGGTTATTTCATCATGTTTAGTGTCATTCTGACCATGCACATTGTGATCCTGGTCATGTAAATGATATGTGGAAATAGTTAAATTGACTGGAGGTCAAACCAGAACTCTGTTATATTCAAAAAATATCTAAAAATGCAAAAAAAATTGTCACTTCCTGTTTTGTCATTTCCTGTTAACTTCCATAGCACCTTAAGGTCAGGGTGCATGATGGGAAATTTTCTGCATTCCTCAATTGAGTCACATGTTATTTTTCAAACAAGAATCACTCCTTCCCTTCATTGTCTATATCTTCCAGTTTTGCACAAAGAGTGCACTTATGTGCCTAGAAAAGACTTGTGAGAAGAATGTTTTGATAAAGTGTATAAAAAACAAGAAAATTCAGTGAAAAAAATCAGAAAATTTTCAGAAATCTTTTTCACTGAATTTTTTCATTTTTTATACATTTTACAAAACAAACGTTCTCACAAGGCTTTTCTAGGCACAGAAGTGCACTCTTTGTGCAAACTTGGAAGATGTAGACAATGTGGGGAAGGAGTTATTCATGTTTGAAAAATAACATGTGACTCAATTGAGGAATGCAGAAAATTTCCCAACATGCACCCTGTCCTTAAAGTGAAAGCGTATCAGAGAATATTGGAAGATGAACTAAATGAAAAACGTTTGGCATTTGCATGAAAATGAAATAGGAAAAGGTGAATAGCAGATTTATTTCTTTGTAAAAACATCGATGTTTTGTTTCAGACATCGATGCATCGCCAGAATCACTTTTGGGAGTCTATCGCACGATGTATCGATAATCGCGACAACACTATGATTGATGCATGCAACTAACCTCTTAGTTAGTCCTATAATCTTTTTCTTCATGATCATCCTACTCTAAGCAACGACTAGGCCTAACCAAATTCACTGAAATTCACAAGAGTGATAGGATGCAGTTCAAAATTTAGAAAGAAGATGCAAAAACAACGAGAGGAAATTGTAATTTGCCTACCAATGAAGATAGATGAAATACTGCAATCGGTTGCATCAAAGTATATTTTACGTGTCAATACTTCGCTAGATTCATTTGAACTAACATGCTTTCTTACTCTTAGCCAAACTGCAGAACCAAGAACCTCTCGACATTCGTTTTTTCGACATCTCAAAATTATTTCTCAAGTACCGATTTACCACTTCCGTAATGAATTGGCGGGAATGCGTATGAATTCACCTCCTATATGAAACAACTCTTTGGCCTTTCAGTTGTATTCAAAACAGATTATTCGATTAGAAAATTCAGGTTAATCAAGATTTTGATTTTTGCTCCAGCATATCATCATATAAAGTCATTTTCTGCATTGAATATGACAAGAACTATATTTTGACCCCTGACATTGACCTTTAAATTCCCGCGTTTTTTGATCACGCTGAAATCAAAACAATGGCGGTATGTATACTTTCCACATTTCTATGCATTTTCTAATTTAAGTAATGGATTGATTTCATCTCAAACTTGTAAGAATGTCAACATGATAGTTTATCAATCAACTTTTCACATAGTAGCGTATTATAGGACATTAAAACGCTTCAATTTAATCTTTTTACAACAACAATCGGATTTTCCATTTAAAAATGGATGCTTCTCAACTCAAATCTGATCTACATCTAAGATCTTTAAATCCAAGACTACTACTTTTTTCAAGGCCTGACTTCGTCGCTAACATGCTAAATATAAGAGTTAGCTGACGTTTGGGAGTCTGACTTACCTTCTAAAGGTTAGAACCCGAATCTTAATGAAACCATATCACCTTTGTTGCGTCGATGATGATGCATAAACATAGCATTTGATAGAAATTAGTGTAAATGCTTTTCCGACTTTTTCATTTTTCATCAATGTTGACTTCCAGGAAGGCATTGTAGTTATCACGAAATAACGCATTGACCCTTGAACTTTACTTTGTTGACATGTCAACCAAGCATGTCTGGTGTGAAAATTAAAAGAATATTAAGCAATGTTCTACATCCGCCAAGCTAAGTGAAGTAGCCAATATTTTAAATTACCAATTTCAAGTGAAGTACGCAACGAACGAAAGTGCGTGATCTACAGTCCCACTATTGGTCTGAACGAAATGCTACGTAGAAATATGAGCCGTCTGCTGTATTAGTCGATTAATAGAGTAAGACCTGTTGGTGATGCTTTATAATTTAGACCAAAACATTGAAGAACATACGAACCTGTAAATCGTGAAAACAACGAACAAATATTCGGTTTTCATATATGTTCGGTAATTTTTCGTATTGAAACTTCCGGAACTTACAAGGAAATCATTCATTTTCTCGGTCCATGATTTACCTCTTGGATGTTGCGGCAAATGCTCCATGGTTGACGGAACAAAGGTGATATGGTTTCATTAAGATCCGAATTCTAACCTTTAGAAGGTAAGTCAGACTCCCAAACGTCAGCTAACTCTTATATTTAGCATGTTAGCGACGAAGTCAGGCCTTGAAAAAAGTAGTAGACTAGCCTCGGCCGAACTTGTTTAGTGTTCGACACCACTAAAGTCGTTGGTTTCACTGTTCTATTTCTAAGGAAGAAGCATCGTCTGACCCATTCTCTGCTGTCACCAGTCCTTCAAGCACAAGGTCTTCACCAAGGAGACGAAGGAGGGGTAGAGATCCAGTCACCTCGAGCCCTGGAAGAGATTTACCTCCCTTTGAAGATGAATCTGAAGGTAAACTGATGTAAACTTTTTGACATTAGTGTAGAGCTAGGTCTACTATAAGAATTACTTATCTAGAGTCCATTTCACTGGTTCATTTCGTCAGTAGAACGGCAAAAATAAGAAATTGGGAGACCATTGTGCAATAATATATGGAAAAGTATATTCATAATGTACATGAATGACATTTGTATATCTTGGATTGCTTCTACACTCAAATTTTTTATTCTGAGAATCAGTTCATATGGTTAAAATAACGAAAGAATGTGATGTTACCACGTGTCTACTTACCGGCTTGTTCTATGTCATCCATCGGACTAGGTTACATTGTGGAACGCAGCCAAACACGACACTGAAGGCAACAGCATATCGATCTTGATCTTAGCAGAATTTTTGGAAATTTAGATCGTCCATTTTGAAAGCTCACGTGACTGATCATGTGTCACGTGTCTGATCACGTTACATGTGTCTGATCACGTGACTAGTTACTGTATCGATCATGTTACTAAATGACGTGTCACCCAATCATGTCTTCATCGGAAAACGGTAGTAAATATTTTTGAAAATGTTTTGCGAGCATTTGCTACTGATTATAGAAGGCCCAATTACGCAATGAACGAAACTGCTTAATTGTTTTTTATGCCTAACAGGCCTAGTACGACACGAACGAAACTGCTAAATTTGAATTTTTAGTCTGCTTATTGATCTATTGATTCCTAAAGACCTGAAATGATGCATTCAAATATGACCACCTCCTAAATGAAAACACTACACATAAAGTGGTGAAAAACAACGAACTAAAGTTGAAAGATCGCAACGTTCGCTACTTTGTTGTTCAATTCCGGAAATCACCAAGGGGCTACAAATGGGAAATTATTTAGATTTAGATTTTATAACCTCAGAATACTGCCTTCAGTGTCGTGTGTCGCTGAGTTCCACAATGTTACCTAGTCCGATGGATGACATAGAACAAGCTGGTAAGTAGACACGTGGTTACATCACATTCTTTCGTTATTTTAACCATATGAACTGATTAACAGAATAAAAATGTGATTGTAGTTTGGCTTATAAAGTGTGTGGCCTCTTATATTTGGATGTTTCTCTGCCATGTTATTTTCAATAAGATTAACATGGCTGAAATACAAGACGGCACAGGCTTATTGCACAAAAAACTAAAAAATCTGAAATATACAAATGTCATTCATGTACATTATGAATATACTTTTCCATATATTATTGCACAATGGTCTCCCAATTTCTTATTTTTGCCATTCTACTGACGAAATGAAGCAGTGAAATGGACTCTAACTCTAATTTTTCAGTGTCAGCCAAGATAGATAATTACAGTAGAAGCAACAAACAACAAATGTACATTATTTTTAGGGAAATACAGTCATTTTTGCCTGCATGTCTTTGCTCATATATCTTGGTGATAATTCAAATAACATTGTCATTTGTTTTATTAGAGTATAAATTGAATTGTATTAGAAAATGTATATCTCAATTGTTGTAATGTAGGTGACCTACTTGGAGAGCAGCCAGTTGTTGAAGAAGATGAGGGGGAAGAACTGTTTGGAGATAATATGGAAAGGTTAGTAGAATAAACAGTATAAACAGATAAACTACTACATGAACGGTATTTAGATGCAAAGTTTCAAAACTTTGAAAGTACTGAATGAAACTATTTGAGAAATGTTTGTTAGTTAGAGCATGAAAAGGAATAATTCATGTCTCCAATAGTGAGAATGGCGTATTGTTATTAAGAGGTCGAAAAGTAATATTTGATATTCAGATTTTCATTAGCAAAGACATTGTTGGAAAATATATAGGGCAAACCCAAGTTGAAGCTGTTCTAATAAATCTGCAAAATATCACGCAAAAATTCCAAAAATCCATATTCTACTAGGTTAGCATTAACACAGTTTATTTCATCTTCACGCAAAACTGCAACACATCTTACATATCGTGTACGCAAAAATATACCGATGAAACAGTACAAAAAACAAAAATTAAAAGCTTTAGAATGCTCTCCAACAGCGTTACATAACGGATCAATCTGATTCGTGCATAACACTTTTTAATTCTTGTAGCAAATGCTAAACAGGTTTGCTGCAGCATGTTTTCCACAGGACCGTTCATGTGAAATGATTATTATTAGTCTACTTGATATGCACATGTGCACAATTTGCTATGGTCTTCTCTTACAGAAATGGGATGTTTTCACATTCAGTTATGTTAACAATGAATTTAAACTAACACTTTGTTGTTGATATGATTTTAGGGATTACCGTGCAATTCCTGAGCTGGACACCTATGGTCAGGAAGGAATGGATGATGACCCTGATCTCTCAGATATATCACAAGGAGACAGGGCAGAAGCTGAGCGTGCGATGAGGAAGAGAGACCGCGAAGATGAAAGGGGAACTGGTCGAATGAGACGGGGACTCCTCTATGGTGAGTTTCGTTTTAGTGTTAATGTCCAATTAAGAGATAAATAGGATAAACCTTGAATTTGTATTAAAAAAGACAAACTCTGTTGTATTTATTCCTGTCTTCTCAATTGATGACATCATACTTTTTATAGATGTAAAGTTAAATTTAGGAATTTTCATAGCTAAGAAAATATGCTTCAGTATTGTACCATTTCATGAAACAGTGTGTATTAGTAATTTCACTGAACTGTGATTATAATATTGCAGATGAAAGTGATGAAGATGAGGAAGTTCCTTCTAGGAGAAGAAGAGTTGCAGAGCGAGCAGCAGAAGGTGGAGAGGATGAAGATGTAAGCATTATTTTAAGATTCATGTCATATCCCAGGCCCGTAGCCAGGATTTGCCAAGTGAAGTTCAGTTTTCAAAAATTTCCAGGGGGGGGTTCACATTTGACAATTTTGGCCCAAATATGGCTAAAATCACTTGAGAAGTGCTCAAAATGGTGAATAACTGCATGATTTTGAAAGAATTTTTGGCCAGGGGGGGGGGGTTCGCCCGAACCCCCCCTGGCTACGGGCCTGTATCCTTTGTGACTGGATGAGATGTTTGAGAACTACAAAATGTCCTCAGAAATCGCTATAATGGGTGTTAATTTAAAAATTGGCTAATGGCCATTATGATCAGGGAATTTTAGAATTCTGAGAAAGGCCAGGAAAATTCAGGAAATTTTTCGTGGATATAAGTAAATGAAAGGTTGAGTTGATTGAGTAAAGATCATGAAATAAGAAAAAAATTAGATCAGTCTTTCACAAAAGCTTTGTCAAAATGGAGTGGCTTGTAATATTGTACGTTTTTTATGTATAAATTGAACATTGTATGTTCATTCTCAAATTTCAGATGATTGAGAGCATTGAAAATCTTGAGGATATGAAGGGGCACACTGTGAGAGAATGGGTCTCCATGGCAGCCCCAAGAATGGAGATATTTAACAGATTCAAAAATTTCTTGCGAACATTTGTTGATGACAAAGGCCATAATTTATTCAGAGAAAAAATCAGGACAATGGTCGAAGGTATTTATTCAATTGCTTTCTTTGCTGCAATAAATATGTCGTTTTGACTTCTGTCTTCGGGAAACTACTTCCATCTGACAGACCTACATAAAATATCAATGATATGCCCTTACTGCTGAATCTTAAACATTTTTGCAACTTTGCATGCATCTTCAAACTCAGTGGGCAATATTCATACTTGATAGTTAAATGAAAATATATGAAGGAAAATATTAGTTCCTGGATTATTGTTATGTCAGAATGGATTGTTATGTGTTTTTAGGTAACAAGGAAAGTTTGGTGGTTGATTATAATGTGCTGGCCTCTGTTGAACAAGTCCTTGCTTACTTTCTGCCTGAAGCTCCTGCAGAGATGCTTAAGATATTCGATGAGGTAAGAACCAACAATGAACATTTTGCATACAGATTTATCTTGTAGGGGAAGTGGTCCTAATTATCGCACGATTGTCCTAATTATCGCACGATTGTCCTAAATAGCTAAAATATGCACCCACCATCTTTTAAACCAGTGTTACGAAAAACAGTTCAACACCATTACTCCCAATCTTCATGATTTATTCATATATTTAGAAATATCTCTTCATTTTTAAGAATTGTTAACGTCCGCCATTGTCATAAATGCTTTTGCGCAAGAAGTGAAATTCGTCTGACAAATTTTGACCCCCTCCAAATAAAGACAGAAAAGTAAGTGTATAATGTATATTTTGTTGATATTTTACACTCAAACTGATAGAAAAATGATTACAGCATATGTATGTATCTGTTATAAACAGAGAAATGTATACAGTATCGTGAAATGACATCTGAAACATAACTGTGCGATAATTAGGACGACTTTGCGATAATTAGGACCACAGCACATGCGAGTCTAAGGGGTCTTAAAGTGATAGCGTTCGGAGATTGAGAAATGTCAAACACTACTTAGATTTTAGAGGACAGGTTGATCTTTCCTCTCATATTCTCAAAGTAAGTTGAAGTTATCATATTTGAAATCGTCAGTTGTTTCCCTGAGTACCCGTGCGATGATAGGACGACTTTCCCTAGTATGTCATTTCATGAAATATCTGTCCAACTTGAAAGTTTTAAAGATGCAAGAGCTGATTATTGCCAAGATCTGGTAAGGTTTTGGGCATGTTTGATGAATTACTTGGCAGCGGTTTTGACTTATTGATTTAAAAAAGTGCAATATTTGTTATTGTTTGTTTTGTTTCTACATTGATTGTTCTCCATTTATTCCATTTGTCTCATTTCATGAGATTAAAGATTTTTGATTTTCATTATCAATTTCAGTTGTCTTGATGCTGACTGAAGATGTATGCAGCACCAAATGCTATGTACATGTATTGTGTTTTTGTACGGTCCACATATCTGTAAATATATATGTAAAGTGTACATGAATGTTTTTTTTTGTTCTAGGCTGCCAAGGAAGTTGTCTTGAGTATGTACCCCAGATATGACAAAATCGTCAAGGAGATACATGTCCGTGTGTCCGAACTGCCACTTGTAGAAGATCTAAGATCTCTAAGGTAGCATTTATGTTACTAAATATTTTTTAAGTGTCACCTGAACTTAGACTAGCCATCTACATTTTATGATTCGAATGTTATATATTGTAGCTCTACTGCATTCCTTGCTTAAATGCACTTTTTGACCACTTTCTTTAGAATTAATTTTTCCAAATAATTTGTTTATTTCATTTAAAGATTTCCTATTACTACATATTGCATAATTATAGTCATAAATACACCTTCATGTCTAATAAAGCCTCAAAGTGAAACAATACTATATATTACTGACATGGTGATAATCATGTTCTTTCATATGTGTGCTCAAACTACATCCATATGCATTATTATTATTTTCAGGCAGCTTCATTTAAACCAGTTGATTCGCACCAGTGGTGTTGTTACAAGCACAACAGGTGTTCTCCCACAGCTGTGCATGATTAAGTATGACTGCAACAAATGCTCATTCGTTCTTGGACCCTTTTATCAGTCTCAAAACCAAGAAGTTAAACCAGGTTCTTGCCCAGAGTGTCAATCAAATGGGCCATTTGAAATTAACATGGAACAGGTTAGTCCTTGTTATTCAGGGTGTGTTTACATCTGGTTACCCTTTATCACTGTCAATCAGTACATGTTTGCAATAGAGGTTATATAGGCTTTGCTATATTTTTAGTGTTTAAAATAATCACAATTATTCTAGAACTGATCAAACACAAGTTCCACATAATACACCAGAAAGAGAAAGTGTAAATTGAATTTTATGGGGGTGCATCCTCTCCCACTACGTAGTCACTACATTCCTATACTTGGCCAAAAGTGTTATTTCATGTGTTTCACTTCTCTTTCCAGACCCTATACAAAAACTACCAGAGAGTAACTATGCAGGAAAGTCCAGGTAAAGTCCCACCTGGTCGACTTCCACGGTCCAAAGATGCTATATTACTGGAGGACCTCGTAGATACTTGTAAACCAGGGGATGAAATCGTAAGTATACCACATAGCTGCAAAATCTTATTCAAAGACTGCACATGCTATCAGTAGAGTACTACTATTCTACTTTTTGCACGAATTGAAATACAGAGTGAAGGAAAAACCTACATTACACACATGGGATAACTTTTATGAATGCTCTTTGTGAAACTAAGTAATTAAGCAGTAATTTTCTTATCTGGAACAACAATAAAAAACATTAAATTATCAGCTTTTTGATCTTCAATGTTTTTCCATGCTTATAAAACTACTTTTTACCTCTTTCCTAAAAGTAGCTCTTTACAAAAATGGCATATTGATAAACCATGGTTTCATTTCCAGGAGCTGACAGGAATTTACCACAACAATTACGATGGCTCACTTAACATAGCAAATGGATTTCCTGTATTTGCAACTGTAATACAAGCAAACTATATCACTAAAAAAGACGATAAGCTAGCAGCAAGCGCATTGACAGATGATGATGTCAAGACAATTGTACAATTGGCTAAGGATGAACGTATTGGAGAGCGACTATTTGCTAGTATAGCACCTTCCATATATGGACATGATGATATTAAACGAGCAATTGCATTGACTATGTTTGGAGGAGAGCCTAAAAACCCAGGTGTGTATAAGTAGCAATCCAAATTTTTGAAGTGTTGATTATACATGTATATTATAAAACTCAAGTATCTAAGGTAGAGTAAAAGTTTGATCAATGAGAAAAGAATTACAAGTAGATTTGTGAATGACAAAAGCAGGCATCCTCTCTGTATTTCATCAAATGAAATTAACTGAAATTCTCCAATATGCTTTTAAACAAATATGATTCCTGTTTCTACAGCACCACCTTTCTCCAATGCTGTGGAGTGGTTAATAAGAGTTTGTGCCATCTTGTTTTTAAAATATTGCCCTTTGTGTTCGTATCATACACTTCTGACTGTTGACCTTGCAGGTGGCAAACACAAGGTGCGTGGAGACATCAATGTCCTACTATGTGGTGACCCAGGTACAGCCAAATCCCAGTTTCTCAAGTATGTGGAGAAGACAGGTCATCGTGTAGTGTTCACCACTGGGCAGGGTGCCTCTGCTGTAGGTCTCACTGCATATGTGCAGAGAAATCCAGTGTCAAGGGAGTGGACTTTAGAGGCAGGAGCCCTTGTACTTGCTGATAAAGGAATCTGCTTGATTGATGAGTTTGACAAGGTAAGATTAGGCTCAAACTTTCACACTGTAGTCACTCTTGTAATCCTTTTAAGTTCTCCCTTCCAATGACACTTTTGAGTTCCATGCAGGAAAATGCCTTGGTGTAATTTGCAGTCGGTGACATTTTATCGATTTATGCCTTGTACCATAATTATTTGAACGTTTATTTAAATCTTGAATTTGTTTATCTAGATGAATGATGCTGACAGGACATCTATTCATGAAGCTATGGAACAACAGAACATCTCTATATCTAAGGCTGGTATTGTGACATCACTACAGGCTCGTTGTGCCGTTATAGCAGCTGCAAATCCTATTGGAGGACGCTATGACCCATCTTTGACATTTTCAGAAAATGTAAGTGGCAATAAATATAACATCAATGTTGGCTTAGTAGTCTAGTTTAAATAGCCAGATCATTATAGGCCAAGCAAATGGGCTCATAAAAGGCCCAAACATCCCCAAAATTGCAACAGTTTTTAAATTAGTCTTATATTATGTATTGATATCAGTTGAAAAACATATCAAAAATGTAGAAAAATGTATGCAGTGGACAAATATGAAATTTCACTTCCTAGGTACCCCCTACAACCCTACCCCAAAATTGAGTATTGGTAGGAAACAATTTTTCCTTCCCAAATGGAATACTTTAGTCAAGTATTCAAGCTTTATTATGATAGATCATATATTCACAAATAATTAAAATATTATTTTAATCATTTTTGAGACCAGTAATTGGTCATTTGACCCCAAAGTATAACAAAATAGGCCACAAAACAGGCATGTTATCACATATCTATTGAGATATTTTAGGATCAGTTTGTCAGAAAAGCATGAAAAAAATCATGGTGTTACATATTTATATGAACTTTATATTTGGTGAGTATCAGAATTCTAATATGTATACTTAGGAAGAAAAAAAATATTTCATTTTCATAGTTTTGCCCCGCCTACTATAGGGGAGACTATAGTTTTGATGATTAACTCCAACAATGCATCACATTTGTATTAGAGTTGACATCTAAATCATTTATATAGGATTGCCATCATCTAAAATACAAGTTTTGTGACGGTTTATACCTTATTAGTATGAAAAATAGGAATTATTAGTTGCACCAGGTGAAATGTTAAGGTGACCTCACATGTATTTGATGAATAATTACATATCACCACTCTGATATTAGGGTATGCGGTAACTGCTCTATACTAGGCTTATCTAAATAATGTAAGTTGTAGTTTCTGTGGAATTTACAAAATTTAAATTCATCAGATAAATAAATCGTTACATAAGAGTACATTACTTTGGAACTATCAATTGGATGTATAATGCTGTAGAAACGAATTTATGGTTATTAAACGGAATTTAAACTGATAGAGCACATTTAAATCTCAGATATCTGGGGAGTCTTTCATTAATATAATTTCAGTGCGTAGGAATGATGGTAAATCTGTTGGTCAGGTTGGAAAACATTGAGTGTACATGTGCTACATTCAGAATTGGATGCAGATATTGTGATTGTGAAAACTGCAATCCAAAGTGTCCAAACCTCAAATACAGTACTCATACAGATCTCCTTGTGCTTCTCATTTATCATGCACAAAACACAAACTTCAACATTTTCTTCAAACCTGAACCAAAAGCAGCAACCCAAGAATCAAAATGTTGGAATATAAATGAAATAAGATTGTCTTCGGGAAAAGTGGTCTGTGACAATATTTTGTTTATCTTTTCTGGGGTGTGACAACGCATTCAGGTTATATATGGCATAGACAAGAAGCTATCATTGAGGCAGATAGAAAAGAGTGAGTTCTTGAGAAAACAAGCGGTTGTTTTTAAATTATCAAAGCACTGGTGATCCGATCAATTACGGGTCGTTTCGGTAACAAAATGTCTAAACGTTGAAGGCACGATATTTCTTTTTTCCTTTTTTTCACGCGTTGTAGGCAGAATCCCCACCATGTTTTTTTCTCACAATCGTGTATCAGTATCATATGTTTTAGAAAATGTACATGTTTGCGCAAAAATAGCTCAGAAGACAACAGAATTGTTGATTTAATTCCTTATTTAAGTTACATAAACAGTGGCAGTTCAAAATGCAGATCTTAACTGTTTATCAAAATACCGTTTATGTAACTTAAGTGAGGAAGTAAATCGACGATTCTGTTGTCTTCTGAACTATTTGTTCGCAAATATGTACATTTTCTAAACATATAATACTGATACATGTTTGTGATAATTCTGCCTACAACGTGTGAAAATCATATCTTCGATGTTCCGACATTTTGTTACAACGTAATCAAGTGGAAAACCAGTGAAATGCAAGTAACTCTGTCATTGCAGAGGCACATGCTCTTTTGTCAATTTATGGAAGAAAAATGGTGAAACCCTAAATGAACTTAGGCTTCAAAAATTCTATTAAAAGAGAGCAGCAAGATCTGAATTATTGCAGCCCCGTGTTCTTCCTCCAACTTCTGATGCTGCGGAAAACAACAATTATAGAGTGTACCATCAATCCAGGAGTGGGAGGGAAATAAACTGCTGGGAAATAAGCAACGAAACGTTTGTTCCCATTGCCTAAATGCAGCTCCCCTCTCTCAGAGATCATCCATTGTGTGTGTTAGGCATATTGTACTTCTATGAAGTAGGTATGCAAAGGCATTTGTGCAAATACCTCCATAACTGATCATGAAAATATTGATGACTAAATAATGATCACTGGCGGATCTGAGGGGGGGGGGGGGGTGGAGGCCCCGGCCCTCTTGGGTGGGCCCAGAATAAAAAATTGGAAAAAAAGGCCTTAAAGCCCTAAAAAGTGGGCCTTTTCGGTCATAAGAGGGCCTTTTAAGGCCTTATTTTTTAATTTCAGGCCAAATTTTGAAGAAAATGGGCCTCAATATTTCAAAATTTGGGCCCACTTTAGGGGTTTAGGGGCCCAAAAATTTTTTTCCCGCAAGCGCAGAAATCTTTTTCTCAGCCCTGGAATTTGGGCCCCCCTTGTTGGTTCCCAGATCCACCCCTGATGAAGACTGTTGATAAACAAGGTTGTAACTGATTGTTGTTACAACATAATATTAGCTTATTTAATCAGCATTATTTTTGCTCTCTAAGACACATATATGAAGGTTAAGATTACAAAATTAAGGCAGCATTTTTGATAATGAACATAACATAATCGAGCCATGCCCTGTATAAAGACCAGGGATTTACACTAGTTAACTCAGTAGTATTTATTAACGTAGAAACCTTTTCCTCATTTTTTTTATTAAATTTCATCTTGAAATTTCAGTTGAACTTCTTCATTTCATTTCTCAATATCAGTACAGAGTATATGAGTACTCCTCAATACAGGGCGAGCCAAAAACGTAACCCAAACAAATCTTAATAACCCAGTCCAGTCATCCTGCATGGATTTAGTGTCATATTTGGCAGAATTGAGCCTTGGTTAATGTATTATCAATCTACCCAGTCTCAGTGGTCTATAAATCTTGTGTCATGGCTCTCATCTTCATTCTTATCTCTTATTTTAATGTTTCAAGTGTTGTTAGTATAGAAAAAAGGTCCACAGATAATAAAAAATGGTGGTATTGATGTCCAGTCAGTTAGGCACATTTCGATATTTTGAGCACATTTTGTAAATGGCCATAAAAATGTGACTATTAAGGATAGATCAATGGCACTTAGTGGAATGAAAGAACATTGAACAAGGTAATTGTGCCAAATATGATGTCACACCCATGCTGAATGACTGGGTTATTAACAAACATTTGGTTGGGTTACCTTTTTTGGCTCATATTAATAAACTGTTATCAGGGACAGGGATATTTAACATTTTGTTGCCTTTTCAAGGATATTTTTAGACCACCGATTGTACTTAATTTCTAACAAATCGTTCTCTCTTTTACCAGAAAAGGTATATTATATATCAAATTGAATTTAAAAGGAAAAAACATTTGATAATTTAGCAGTTATCAACTAAAAGTAGGGCTTCCCCTATTTTTCACCTGGCATTTGCTGTTTTTTCTACTTTTTTTTTTACATAATCCTTTCCTGAAAACATCAAAAAACTGTTTTCAGGACAAAATAAGCCTTTACAAATGATTTAGTTGTGCTATTGAGTTCAAATATGACATATCTTGGAAGTAATTAAACAAAAGTAAGGTCACCCCAAAAGTGTGTGTGGTAAAATATTGAAATTTCAAATATTATTTTCACCCTCAATATCCACTAAATGACCCTGATACTTATCAAATACAATTATCAGGTGTATAATAACCTTCTTGATTTTTTTCATGCAATTCTGATGAATAGATACAGAAATAAATACATTGTTATATTAAATTCAGGCTATTTGATGGCCTATTTTCAGATATTTGGGGCTAGAAATGCCAATAATTGCACTCAAATAGTTGGTTAACAATTTTTAGTTGCTCTTATATCAGTAAACTATCATAATATTACTCGTTTAGTTGAGAAGAGCATCCCATTTTGAAATAAAAAAATATTTACAATCCCATACTCAAATTTGGAGGGGGGTACCTAGAATGTGACATTTCATATTTGTCCACTGCATATATTTTTCTACATTTTTGATATGTTTTTCAACTGGTATCAATATACAATATAAGCCTAATTTAAAAACTGTTGCAATTTTGGGGATGTTAAACTTCCATTTGCCTAGCCTATTAGCAGAATCTTGTGACATCATGAAAATATGATTATTTATTTCCTGGATGAACAAAAAAGTCAAATGCAAACATCTTTCTTATATGTATTCATTACATAATTTACACTAAATCTTGCGCTTTTCAATTTTTACATTGTAAAATATCTCAATCTTGCGCTTTTCAATTGTACATTGTAAAATATATCATGTGGATATCAATTATACTCAATTGTTTGTTCCAGGTTGATTTAACTGAACCAATTCTGTCCCGTTTTGACATCTTGTGTGTGGTCAGAGACACTGTGGACCCAGTTGTTGTAAGTTAGACTTTCAAAAGCTATCTGCTGTGTTATGGCAGCAACCATGATAATGTGTTGCTCAGTACAAGAAAAATGAAGAAGTTATTATTTGCCTTTTAAGTTAATGATTGTCAAAATCACCTGAATGCACTGGAAATTTACAGATACATTATATGAATGCCCGTCTCGAGAACTTATCAACATGTTAATTCTTATTTTTTTTGTTCTTAGAATAGCGAACAAGAAGTTCTATAAGGATCATAGTGCAATATGTGTAACTACTACTATTAAGTAATCTGCAATATATTTGATTTTTATGTCACCACAAGAAGTTGTTAGAGTCTCCAGTTTTTGTGGATGGTGCTTGACCATTGGTGTTCGGTTGTCATTTTCTGTACCAAATGGCAGGTGGTGACATTTTGCATGTTAATGCCTTGTTAGAAGTGCAATATATTGATGATGATAATAGTGCTATGTTTTAAAGTGCCCTTTTATTTCAGGATGAGAGACTGGCTAGATTTGTTGTTGGGAGCCACATGAAGCATCATCCCAATGTAGAGGATGGCTCAGACCTTGCAATTACGGTATGGAAATTTTCTTTGTTCTGTTATTTCACGAGAAATTTGTAATAAGATACAATAGTCATTGTCAGTCATTATCAGTTCTATATTATTTTTCATGCCAACTGTCTGGCACTCGAAATAAATTATGCATTTTATATAGCAGTAAATATTTGGGATTGTCACTTTTAAAGTCTATGTGATCTTATGCTATTGTCACTTTTTTACTTCCTTGCTCACATAGTTCACAAGAGAGGCTTGGTCGATATAAATTTTCCCCTCATATCTACCAATATCTTGGTATTCTATCTATGGTTGATTACAAGCACTTTTCAACATTTATTTTACATAGGATCTGCCTGATAACAGTGGGCTTGAGAAGATACCTCAAGAGATGTTGAAGAAGTACATCATATATGCTAAAGAGAAGGCCCACCCTAAACTTAATCAGATGGACCAAGACAAAATAGCAAAGATGTACTCAGATCTCAGGAGGGAGTCCATGGTAAGTTATATAAATAGGTCTTTTTAGCATAGAAATACAAAATACATGCGCTGCTATTAATGTAAGCTTTGTTATCAACAATACTTATAAAATAATACCCATATCTAAAAAGTATGTAAGTCAGTTTTTGCACAATAATGTAGATTGAGTCAATGACATCTAACAATATCTTTAAAAAACTTGCAATCAAGGCTTGAGCTATTGGCTGTTCCACTGGGCTACTTTTCAATACAGACCACTGTTGGTTCTTTGTCCATAATGCCAACTTCTATCCTATTCTTTGGTAGAGCCCTGTTTGTAGTAGTTTGGTTGTTGATATAAACAGCAAAGGGTTAAACATTACTATTAGCTATGTCTCCAAGATATTGCATGCATCGTATATAATATCATAATGCTGTGTAGCTCCTGCAAATTAAACATGCTCAATTGTGTTCCAGGCTACAGGCAGTATTCCAATCACTGTGCGTCACATTGAATCTATGATTCGTATGGCTGAGGCTCATGCTAAGATGCATCTTAGAGACTATGTAAGGGAGGATGATGTAAATATGGCAATCAGGATCATGTTGGAGAGTTTTGTTGACACACAAAAATACAGTATAATGAGGAGCATGAGAAAGGTAAATGAAAAAAAATCAATTGCTGTACTTAAGTGGAACACTGTTCCATGTTTTATGAAGCCAATAACATTAGGGCAGTTTCATTGAAGAAAAAAAGCATTCAGTGGGCAATAATGTTGAAGATGGTTCGACAAATGGACTGAGTGTGAATCTGATCCTTCCTGAAATGATATCTGATAGTTTAACCCTGTTAGGTCCTAATTATTGTCATCTGTCTGGGACACCATGTTTGGTGATTCTGAAACTTTGGAGGACATTAAAAATCTTGGAAATTTCTGTATCAAAATAATGCTGCGTTGTTTAGCAAAAAAAAGTATTTGCATTGAAAGGTGTTTAGATATGCAGGTTTAACTGTACGTATGTCATCGTTTCATTTTCATGTTTCAGAATTTCTCACGTTACCTATCGTTCAAGAAAGATAACAATGAACTGCTACTGTTTATCCTGAAGAATTTGGCCCAAGACCAGATGTCTTACCACAGGAACAAGTTTGGACCAGAGCCTGATGCTTCAATAGAAATCTCAGAAAAAGACTTAGCTGACAAAGTAAGAATTTATGTATTTCTCACTTTACTTGTGGGACTATTTTAGTTATGCCTGCTATTTCACATCAGAATATGTCTGTTATAGAATACTATGTTTGTTAAAGGATTGTTTTTATCCCGGCGAACGAAGTTCGAGAGGGATATAGGAAAGCCGTTCGTCCGTCCGTCCGTTCGTCTGTTTGTCCGGGCGATAACTCGAATACCGTTTCACGGATTTGATTCAAATTTTATAGGCTTATGCCTTATGGGTGTAGGACCTCTGCTCGAGAAGGAATTTTCAATATGGCCACTGAATTCAAAATGCCCGCCATTTTTCGTAAAAAATGTAATCTTTAATAACTGAAATACTAGTTTGCGGATTTGGTTCAAATTTTATATGCTGATGCCTAGGGACAAAGGAGTTTCGCACAAAAAGAGATTTTCAAGATGGCCGCTTAATTTCAAAGTAGCGGCCATTTTTCGTAAAAATATGTAATCTTTGATAACTCAAATACCAGTGAACGGATTTGGTTCAAATTTTATATGATGATTATTAGGGACACAGTAGCTATGTTCGACAAAACATTTTCAAGATGGCCGCTTAATTTCAAAATGGCGGCAATTTTTCGTAAAAAACGTAATCTTTGATAACTCATATACCAGTGAACAGATTTGGTTCAAATTTTATATGATGATGCCTAGTTCACAATGGTATAAACTTACTTTGTGCCAAATTTCATGCTTCTATCTCAAAGTGCACAAACATTTCAACATTTACACTAGCTATAATAAGCATAATATGTTTTGTTCGGTGGGATTTGCTACTCCGTGGAGTTGCTGTCTTTCTAGTTTGTTTGTTATATTACAAGCTTTTTTAGTCCCTTTGAAATGAATAGGAATCATTTGTATATAAATATTTGGCTTTGAAGTTTTAAAATTCAAATTGTTGACTCAGAAAACAAAATCTTTAAATTTTATAAAGTTGTTGCTTACATGTTGTTACTCAATGTTTGTAAACATTCAAACAAACTGGGCAGTGGAAGTCTTCAATTAACCACAGTTGGCAAATCAAATTCTCTTCTGTAGTCCCAAAAAGGGTATAAATATTTCTATAAAATTGAACATTTATTTTACTGTAACAATTTCTAGTTTAATATTCTGTCAAAAAAGGCAACTTATTTGGAGAAATTAAGTTTGTTTTGAAACAACCACTGTCTTGTATTTGAAGATTGGTACTTATTGTTAGCCAAGTAAGGCTACCCAAAGTAAATACATTCACTTGAAATGCTGCATGAATACACATAATCAAATCATTGCTGAATCAATATTTAATTGTTTTTCAGGCACGCCAGCTAAACATTACAAATCTTGTGGACTTTTTTGAAAGCGATATATTCCAATCACATAAATTCACTCATGATCCCAAAAGGAAAATGATTGTACAATCATTAATGTAGGACTACTCCGGAAGAATTGGGACAACTTAACTTCATAGATGCTGATGATACAACAATGCATAGGAACAAATAAGGAGATTGTTGTTAGAATAGTTACCCTGAAATTGTATTGAAACTCTGAAATCATGAACATTTTGTTGACAATAACTCCTTGAAACTGATTAACAGATTATCATTGAAAATCTCTGAAATCATGAATATTCATATATCATGATCAATGATAATGATAAAGCATCTGCAGAGACTGAATTTTATTTAAATGTGCCGTTTCAAACCTAGTTTATATATGACTATCTTTCGGCTTTTAACATGAATTGGGACTTGTGAACTCCCAAATAATCACATCCCAAATTATCACTGTTAGTGAATATGAGTTCCTTTCGAATGGTATTACATTCTTACATAATTATAATACAGATATATTAAAGCACAAAGAATACACTAAGTGGCTACTATTTATGGAGTTAAACACTTATGGATATAATGCTTATCTTTATGTAAAAATCATGAGACGTTTCGTTATGTACATTGTAGTGTACATATGCTTTGAACACTGTAAAATAATATTTAGACTGAAATTGAATATTTTGAATTGAATCATGTACAAAAATGCCAAATTCATCTAGAAATCTCTCTATTCCTGTATTTTGTCTTTATTTTATTTTTTTGTTTTTGATTGTAAAATGCATGTAAAACTGCAAAAGTTGTACTATATTTTTTATAAATGCAAATAAATTCAATTGAATGTACTATGTAAATAATATATATTTTGATTGTTAGCAAGAGTAATTGATCCAAGGTTTTGAAAAAGGATATACGGGCGATTTAACCAGGTCAACCATGTGAGCTAATAAGATACTTAAGATTAAGATACACTTAATTTGGATACTATTTTAATTGGTGGATCAAAAAAAAGTCTGCCAAATAAAAAATCTGCAAATTTCAGATCTATTTTGGAAAATCTCCAGGGAATTTGTAATTTGCAATTATGTCTCTTGTGTAAATATTCCTATTTGTATGTCAATGCTATACAAAGACTTATAGTTAGTAGAACACATGAATCTGAAATGCTGATTTCCAGATCATTGATAAAACTTGAGCTCAGTCCTGATTCCGCCAAATTAAATAGCCGTCAATAGTCAAAATCAAGCAAAACTGCCAAATCAAGTAGCGTCAAATTAAGTGTATCTACAGTACTATGATGTTCAAATATTGATTTTCATTAAAGCCCAAAAACAGAACAATTGAAATCAGTGAGTTGGAATGTCATTTATTACAGCTAATGAGGTAAACTTCAACATCTGGTTCTTGTACCAAAATCCTAGTCAGGGTATACAACTGAGATTCACAACATGATTGCCACAATTTTCCACATTGACATTCAGTCCATTGCCCAATAGACAGCCTGCCTTTCCAAGTCTATTGCCAACAGTGAAACCCTGAAAAATGATTGCCAGGCAGCTCTGAGTTTCAAACTCCTGTCCTAGTAGTCCCGTTGTCAACTAGATTTATTGACAACATTGTTTATTCTATTGCTAGCCTCCAGTGCCTCGTCTATTTCTTGCTTTGTTAACAAGTTGAATTTGAGTGCACAATTGAGGAGTTGATGGCGTGAATTGCCAATGAACATGTTGTTCAGAAAGACAGGCAGCCCTCTATAGCCATCCTCCATGGTATATAATGGAACTCTTGTTGGACCAAGAACCTGGAATATGTATAAAAACAATCAAGTTAAGCTTTTGTATGGTCATGAATTATATTTTAAACAATAATGAATCTGGCTACTCAAATGTTGAAGAACATTTTCCTGTATGTTTAGTGTATGCTTAGTTACTTATGTTAAGAGTACCCATAGCACTACTACTTACACATGTAATTTCAGAAAATGGGAACTATACAAAACAGTGATCGCAATAAGAAATGATAACATGGGAAATGTGGGACATGTGCAATGGACCAAGAATGGAAAACATGATTCACTTTTTGAGGAATTTACTTCATATATAAACATGATAAATATGTATGCTTTCCTATACCTGCCCAATTGGCATCATCATATTTTAAAAGATTTGGATTTAATACTAATAATGAAAACATACTCTACCTCTACACCAAATTCTTTAGATGTCATCATATTAGACTCAAGCATTTTGAACTCTTCAAGAGCCACTTCTTTAGCAAAGAAATGAAGAGCAAGTTTTGTTTTGTAGTTAATATGGGATGACACATGGTCACTGTTTGCGAATGGAAAGCATGTAGGATCAAGTCCTATTTCCTCTTGTATTTCTCTCTGTAGGCCAACAAGTACACTCTCTCCCTTGTCAATAAGGCCCCCTGGAAACCCTAGATAACCATCAAATCGTATGTGCATCTGAAATAAAATGCATGTTAAAACGTGATTATAAAGGGGATAATGGTCACTTCAGTGGGTGTGGGGAGGACAATGGTCACTACAGTGGATGTGACAAAGGAAAGTGGTTACCAAAGTGGGTATGATGAAAGATAATGGTCAGCTATTAGGAGGGAGGGAGGGAGGGAGGGAGGATGATGGTCGCCATAGTGAGTACATGTATGAGGAAGGATAATGACATGAAGGTGGGTATGAGAGAGGATTATGGTTACCAAAGTGGGTTGTTAGGGAGAATTATGGTCACCAAAAGGGAGGATAATGGTCACCAAAGTGGGTAGAATGAAAAAAAACATTGAACAAAGTTTAATGATGCCAAATATGACTGAATGCAAGATGAAGGACTGAGTTGCATATGTCCATTTGTTTGGGTAACCTTTTTTGGCTCAACTTCTATAAATTCCTTGACCAGTTCTATGTGGGCGTGGCACATTAAGATAAGATAAGATAAGATAAGATAAGCACCGGCTTGTAGGCTGGTGTAGCCTTTTGCCTGTATAGGTGTGTGTATTTGTTATACACATCAAGTCATATTTGGCATATGTACCCTTAAGGCTTGTGCTCCCAGTCTAATTTCAGTGGGTGGTTGTACCAATGGTCATCCAACTTGTTCTTGAACTGGTCAACACTTCTTGCTTGAATAACATATTCAGGCAGTTTGTTCCAGGGTGATATGACTCTGTTGGAAAAGAAATGCTGTCTTGTGTTTAGTCTACAGTGTTGTCGTTTCAGGTACATTGTGTGTCCTCTTGTTGGCTGCCTTGTTATATGGTTCAATTGAGGGAAGATAGTCTTGGGGCTGATGTCATAGAAATTGTTCAGGATCTTGTACAGCTCAATCATATCTCCTCGTAACCTCCTAAATGCCAGTGTTGTCATGTCAAGTGTTGCTAGTCTTTCGGGGTATGTTAATTGCCTGAGGTTTGGTAATAGTCTAGTTGCTCTCCTCTGTATGTTTTCAATGGCTTCAATGTCTTTCTTATACTGTGGGCTCCAAACTGAGTTTCCATACTCCAATATTGGACGGACAAGGCCATTAAAGAGTAGCTTAAGAGAATCCTCATCAATATACTTGTAGCTTCGCTTTATTACTCCCAAGACTTTATTTGCTTTATTTGCAGTTATTGTCACATGCTCGGAGAATTTCAAATTTGAGTCAATGTTGACACCTAAATCTCTTTCCACACAGCTGTTTTTTAGTATTACATTTTTCCCACTTTGTGTATCAGTCATATTATAGGTAGGTTCTGGTTTCATATTTCCCACTCTCAAAACAGTACATTTATTCGGGTTGAATTGTAGTTTCCATTTGGAGGCCCATGCTTGTATTGTATTGAGGTCATTTTGGAGTTCATCCGTGTCATTTTTGTTCCTAACTTCTCTGTACAGTTTAGTGTCGTCAGCGAAAAGAGCAATCTTGCTGTTTGACACGACATTAGGCATATCGTTCACATAGATAATAAACAGAATCGGCCCAAGGACAGTTCCTTGAGGAATTCCAGAGGTTACAGTGGTCCATGATGACTCTTTTCCATTTAGTGAGACTCTCTGAGATCTGTCAGTGAGGAAATTTTCAATCCATTTGTGAGCAACTCCCTTAATACCAAGTTGTCCAAGTTAAGTGAGCAGCCTTGCGTGACTCACGGAATCGAAGGCTTTCGCAAAATCTAAATATATGCAGTCTGTGGTGCCACCTGCATCGAGAACACGGGTCCAAGCTTCTAGGACTTGCAATAAATTAGTGATACAGGATCTTTGGGGTAGAAATCCATGCTGTGTTGAAGATATGATTTTGTTTGCCTTGAGGTGATTAAGGAGGTTTACTCTAACTATTCCTTCAAGCATCTTGCATACAATACTGGTTAGACTAATGGGGCGATAGTTTGTTGGTTCATTTTTTGCTCCTTTTTTGTAGATTGGGGTGATATTTGCCTGTTTCCAGTCTCTGGGTATATTTCCTTCCTTAAGTGATTTAGAAAAGATGATATAAAGAGGGCGCTTAACAACGTCATGTAGTTCTTTGAGTATACGGCCCTTGATACCATCTGGGCCAGGTGAAGAAGTAGGTTTGAGGTTGTTAAGTCTTAGGTCAACATCTGCTTCAGAAATTTCCCAATTCTGGATATATGATCCTATATACATAAAGTCTAGCACGGGGCTATCAGTCATTTCATCTGTGGAAAAAACACTTGAAAAAAAATGGTTCATTGATTAAGGTCATAGTCACACAGCACAGATGGTGGGAAGTTCTCAATAATACTACAGATATTTACCATATATCGTATTCATGGAGTTATCGCGAACGTTCCACTATCCGTGGTGCAATCTTTTGAAAGCCCAAGCCTATGTTCATACCAAAATTTGAGCCTTTTTCTCCAGTGCATTCCAAAAACGTTCTGTATCTCTGGCAAATATCATGGCATGAGCTGCATGTTGAAATTCCTTGAAATCTTCCAAACTGTTCTTGAAGTCGATCGGCTCGTAGTCACTCTCAAAGTTTGTAGCAAAATGGTTCATAACAACTGAAGTCATCGTCCTCCACGATTCATTTACGACAATAACAATTCCGACTTTTTCACGATAAATAAAAATGGATAAAATTTTAGTAAATCGAAATTCATCGCAATGAACGCCAGATCACAGACATTTGAGCTTGTAAGTTTTCATTCTTATTGTTTTATAATAAATATTTGTATCAGTGCTCAATATTATGTAATTAAAAATTAATGCGTCATCAGTACAAGCCCTAAAATAAGATAAAAAGCTGTTGAATTTTTTTCTGGTGGGCGATAATAGATTTCGTTCTTATTTATTCTTTTGTTACAATAATATTTTGCTCGTGTTTGTAGTCTCTGGAAGGAAGACAGATTGAGGAGGTAGTTGCAAGCATATTTCACACTTTGCTCTTTCATAGGACACTTGGAAAGGTAAAACATATTGCTCTGTTATATTACCCAAGTCTACCATCTGTCACTGGAATTCTTCCTCCTTCGTGTAACTGTAAACAGTTTACACCATCAGGACTTTCACAAATATTCCATTGTGTGGTGAAACTGGATGACTTTAAGATAGCACTGAGAACTTAGTGCTGCAACACTACCATGGGCATGATAGCCCATGAACACTACCCATCCTGTAGCGAATTAATTTTTATTTACATGTATTTATTCCTATGCATCCTAAAAATAAATCGCAAATGATATAGTTATCTTATTGAAATCACTTGAAATTCGAAAGATATGAAATATCACTCTATCATTTGTCAATTAATTTAGTGCACTAAAACATCATTATTGAATCAAGTATATAGTAAAACTTGTGCACAGCAAACACATAGGGAGAAACACAATTGTGTTCACAATAGGTAGGTGTACACTACATAGAGGCAGTTTCATACAGAAGTCAGAGGATTATGTGATGAGAAGGGGTGTTCATTAGAGAAAGGTGTTCACTAGCTGTGCTCACTTCTACACGTTTTACTGTATTGCCTCTCATATAAAACCCACTACATAGCATGCCTTACAATTATTTCAAGTATCTTGGTTTTTGAAATACATGTAAATGTCATGAAACATGTGTTGTATTTTCAGTTTCATTACCGACAAGAGGGGAGTTATTCAATTGGAACGGTTGGTGTGGTTGATGTTGATTGTGACTTCATAGATGCAACATATGTCGCTGTGTCCTCTGATGAACTTGACAGAGCTGTAAAGAAGGAAATCAAGGCATTCAGAGATGCCTTACGCAATGACGATGGCAATAACACAGGACAAGTAAGCCAGGCTATCAAAGGATATCAATCTGTGGGATCATTCTCTGTTTTTTACTTACTTTGGGCATTTAAAAACCCAAACTAACTAAGATTTGGACTTCCTCTAGAAGGGAATGTATGCCATTTACTTTATTCCACAAGAATGTCATATCCATACTCCATGCCAGTAGGTGTTCTATCACTTTGCGATTACCAGACTGACAATCAGTTTTTTGCTAGATACTAGTAGGCAACCAGTTTCTCCAAGTATTAGTCATTGACAATCTTTGAATTTCAGATCCTGTCCCATGAACAATTATGTACTATTATTAACTGTGTATGCACATATGACATATTTTTTGATTTATATTAATGTTTGTGTTTTTCCAGATATCATTAGAATTTTTCCAAAAGAAAAGAGGCAGATGGCCTTTCCCATCAGAATGTATTCCCTGGGAAGTTTGGACAATCAAGGTGGATATTATAACCTTAGCCAATGAACATGGTAAACTTATTTGTTTATTATTGCCCTTTATCCAACACTCTTATCTATGAATCACTTGGTGTAGCAGAGTCCATTAGAATTGTTATGTAATTCCTATTTCAATTTTGTGCCAGATAACCTTTAAATCAAAAGTGATTATTTTGAAATAAAGTCAGAATTGATGGACTTTTTAGCTGTTGAGAGCAAAACATTTTTCAAAATTGCATAACAGCCATTGCTGCATCTTTAATAAAAAGGAGTAAAAAAAATCTTTGAGATTTGTAGCACACAAAATGAGACCAGATTAATTATTTGAGTTGACATCATGGAAGCCAATCCACTCAGAATGATCTGAGGCATTTATAGTAGAAATATGATTATCCATATAATCCATATATTGCAATCCTATGAAGTTAAATTGAAGAAATAAACAAATATGATGAATACATCTGAGACTCTAACTACGTGAACCATGCCTGTAGCCAGGATTTGCCAAGGGGGTTCACTGTTAGAAAAATGCCAGGGGGGGGTTCACTTGTGACAATTTTGGTCCAAAAATGGCTAAAATCACTTAAAAAGTGCTCAGAATGGTGAAAAACTGCATGATTTTGAAAGATTTTTTGGCCAGGGGGTGGGGGTTCGCTCTAACCCATCGTATCCCCCTTGGCTACGGGCCTGTGAACAATACAGAATTGAAGTATTTTATGCTTTATTTTGTTTTTCAGAAAGGCAAATATGTAGGGACAAAGTGAGTGAAATACTAAGTGAAAAAATACTGTATATTGCTCAGAATATGAGTAAACATGAGTATGTGCCAAAGATGCCAAATAAAAGTGAAATGGACCTAGTTTTTGACACCTCCATATCTGATGTACAGCCATATTTGCATAAGGTATGTATGAAAGGAAACATTTACCAAGCCATAGTTTTCATGGAAGAGAAAATGTTTATTTCAATTTAGTAATATGCAAGAATATGATTATTATCACATTGCAATGATCTATGTAAAACCAATGTGTCAGTAGGTTTTACATGGCAGATATAAAAGGAAAAATTCCCTAAACTTGAAATTGATTTACTGGATGGCCTTTTCTGAATTTTATAATCATGCAATTGAAAATGTGTCCAGTAAAACAAAATATTATTGGTCCAGTTCAAAACAAGATATTTCACTTTTTATGATTTTGTAACATCTGGAATCTACCTGACCTAGAATTCACATTAAAATGGAAATTAAAAAAAGTTAACTTGCAATTGTTGTCATTTTTATGTTAGTACCAAAAATGGTACATGGTTGTTATATCCGCCATTTGTGTGACCTGCATTTGGTGTCTACATTGATGTCAGTATCAAGGTTTGTTGTCTTTAACAATTGTTACACTTTTACAGTTGCCACCAGTTGATGACATATTGTTATGTGAATGCCTTGTTCACATGTATTTTGTTTGTCATTATTTTTATTAAAATTTGTGATTTCAGATATCATTTCATACAACTGGACCAGGTCAATCCACAGTTGGCACAACAATGAGGCGCTTTATCAAGGATACACTAGCTCTATAGACACACTTGGTCTATAGATATGTTGGACATTTGAGATAGACACACTAGTTCTATGGACATACTAGGTCTATGAACATGATGGAGATAGGTGATGGACATGAGATCTGAAACACTTAAGTCTATATTTATGATGGGCAGAGGAGATTGACACATTAGGGATTAAGACACTCAAGGTTTAAAGACATGGTGGACATTTAAGATGGACACATTGTCTCTTACGAGACTCTGTGTCTATAGACACAATACGCCTAAAGTCAAACTAGCTATAATTATAGAAATGATGTACAAACTATCACTACAGACACATTAGCTGTATAAACATGAGGATAAGCATGACTGTACTGAACCTTGTTCGTCAGATGAAATATGTGTAAGATCACAAGAAGTTATTGTGACAATAGCATGCTTCAATTATCGGATTGTCAACATTTGGGACTTTCAAGTAAGCTTGGTAAACATAGTTTATTTTGTACTTATTACAGTTTTGATAAACACCAATGATTCATTTATTATGTCAGAAAAATGAAATGCATTAGAAAAAGTATTTGATTTCAACACATATCTTACTTCACCCTTTGGGGAGCGACATACAGGTTGGAAAACATCAGTGCAATTGATACACTGTATGTGCAAATTGACTGAGTTCATATTAACCACAAACAAAAAAACTTTGTTTTTTTGTCAAAAATTCATCATTAAGAAAAGATGAGCAATATTTTTTCTAATATACATGTGTACTATATCCCTTCATCATATCGTTGGGAGCAGTCAATAAAAAACAAAAGTGACAGAAATTTGAAATGAAGTACCAAATATATGACAAATGTAATATATTGGTCAACATTCATAATTCGGTAGCATCAACTCCATGTGATAATAATATAACTGGAACCCGGGCACTGGAACTATTTTTGGTTGAGTGGTGTTGTATTTATTTCAATTATCTGGCACAAAGAAATCTAAATAAGATTTCAAAAGAGGTTCACAAAACTACATACAGTCTTTAGGTCATGACAGAGTTCACATCTAAGTCTTTACGAATACCCAATCAGTAACATGTAGAGTTTATTTTATCCTTGTAAGTATTTTCTGAAACTTATTCATTTACAATTTTGATATGTCTTCAAGTACATCCGTCATGCACATGTTTGGGGGATATGAGGAATATCTCTCGGATGTATCATATTTTCCTTCGTCACTGCGTACCCTCGGGAAATATTGATATCATCTTTTTGATATTACCCATACCAATAATCAAATCCCTCCTAGTATGGTGTATGACTAAATATCACATCTATTGACCAAGCTTATTTGGAATAAAAGGCCATTTGCATCAGATAAATCTGCAATGTGGTTATAGGCATCCTTGACGTCATGTTATATGATTATTTAAAGACAAAGCATTGTAATTAACAAATTAATCAAGAATCGAAAGACTGGCTTTAAGTTAAATTAGCAGTTTCTTGCCTTGAAATTCAGGCTCGGGTTTAAACATTGCAATTTAAAGATTAAATTATGATGTCTTGTCTTATAGGCTACTTTAAACTAAACGCTCCAAACTCCTTGAAGATTCTTTTTCCAAATAACATAATTGACAATGACGAGGCAGCTTATAATTGTAAAATAATTACAATCCCCAATTGAATTTCCTTTACTGAAGGCATTAGATGGCAATCCTAGAAATGATGCAATTTTTTGCAAAGCATCCTCCGCCTTCCTTTCAAGAACTACGATGGTATCCTCGGTTGGTGTTGGATCAGTGAATTGTGCCATATAGCTGGCATTAACGATATCGTATGTCGGGATTCCAGGGATCCGTACGCATTTCTTCTCTACTTCGTCCCAGTGATAGCCCCGCTTGCATACGCAATCGTAACCGCCAACCGTGTTCCGGCATATGTGGTGAGAATCCGAGCAGGTGAAATTCCTATCGTAGCACTCATCACGGTCAATGCACATGTGGAAACGCATACTCCATACAAATCCTTTCCGATAGTTTTCACAGTTACACGTAATATTCACTCTATTCTTTATCAGGTCTCTGAAGCTGTGATTTTGGGTGAAATCATGTTTGCATGTTTTATCATCGGGTAGTTTGCTGCAAGGATTTGTCTTGTGATTATTGCACTGTCTTGCTGTTGGTGGTTGGCCACCTGAAACTCCCCCACAACAAAAGTCAGGACAAAAACTTAAGAGTGCACAATCAAAAGGCTCTCTGTCGTATATTCTATAATCCTTACTTTTTACGATCTCCGTTTTGTACCTTCCCTTGAATCTCCATCCGATTAAATCACATTTACTGCCAAACTTTTTCAGTTCTGGTAGGTTCTGCATCGTGAACCAACACATATAATAACTCGCAGTCAGTCGGTACTGAAACTGAGCAAGATGGCTTTCAAAAGGCGTGTGCATTAAAATCCTTTTTGTTTTCTCTCTATCAAAAAGCATATCGAGAAAGTACTTCTTTATAAATGCCCATCCTCCTGTGCGAAGGTATTCGAAAACGGGTGTTTTTTTCACTGTATGATAAATCTCTTGAAGACAATACTGAAAGCCTTTATCGCAAGCCCTTTTCACCATCGGGTGGAGTTTGCGCATAGATGGAATTGGGAAATGCCGCATGAACACTTTCTCAATCAGAACAAGTCTGAAATAAGGAAGAAATACTAAAAAGTCTTGAGTCCAGTCTTTTTTCATCCTTGTAGAGTCTTATTATCTTTTAACTAAATATTTCAAAATTTAAAGCTCAAAGTATGAAAAGTATTTTACATAGAAAATACGATCAGAAAATAAACAATTACATGGAGACTTTCTGGAGGGGAAATCTTGAAAATTGTTAAATAAAACGACGATATTGTCAAGGAGATAATCACACAGTTAATCTGTGATTTCATTTGTAAATATTTACTTTTAATTTTATTTTTAATATACAATTTTAATATTATATTAACATTGATTGAAGGAGCTCCTTTAATGTCATAAATATGTTTGTTGTTCATAGCTCAAATCGGAGCTCAAATATTCTCTAATCCAACGATTATTTTTTCAGAGCATTCACAAAAGTTCATGTTTCCAAGTTATCAGTTATGCAGAAAGAAAACTTTATTTCTTGTCATGATATATTGAGTCATGTAATATACATGTAAGGACATTGAGACGAGAGTTTTACGAGCACCGTTTAACTGATATTAAATAAGCACTTTCATAATTTTGTGTCAATCATATGAAAAATAATATTTTGAATGATCCAAGGTATATTCATTTAGTATTTCTTTTCCAATCTAGCTTCATTTGATAAAGGATGAGTTGCCAGGGGATGGGCTGTCCAAGGGATGAGCTGTCCAGGGAATGAGTTGTCTAGGGGATGAGTTGTCCAGGGATGAGTTGTCTATGGAATGAGTTGTTCGCAAGCCGTACAACTAGTCATAAAACTCTAAATATTCAAAACGGTGATGTATGCCCTGGCCTCAAACCACAACACTACAATTGTAGTGTAAAACTACTCGAGAAAAAATTATAATAGCCTACTAGATGATGTAAGCAATGCAAACTTAAATGTTCCAGAAGAGAATAATAATTGTATAGAAATTCTATCACTGTTAAATTATATCTAATGGGCTTATTGGCCTTTTGCAGATTATTGACATAGACAAGAGATCCGGTTCAACATGTTTACTTACTTTGGTTTGGGCTTCTTTTTCTTCTCCTCAGAATGAAAGCGATGATCAATATCCAAGTACTTATATCCTCTGAGATAAGTCCCGATTCGCCGGATCATAGTTTCCATTTGGTTATCCTTTATAAGCTCTATTGGTACTTTTGTGGGCATTGCATCTCTCGATTTTCTACTTCTCCTTTTCACCCTTGGCCCTTTCATCACTGACTCTTTCTTCTTCTTTGTCATATTATTTGACTCTGTTGTTTGGGGCTCTCTTGTTTTGTTGTAAGGAACTATAGTTAATTTTCTTATTGTGTTTTGAGATAGAGACGTCGACAAATTATGTTTGTTCGAATGTGTTTTAAGATTGGTATCCATACCAAAATTACGGGGCGTCTCAGAAGACTGTCTAGTTGTGTCAATGTGATATCCATCATTGTCATCAAATGAATATGCTTTGCCGAATAGATTTTGAAGTACTTCGCCCACCTTTTCATCAGATTCAATTGTTGCTTGTACGCAAGGTATCTTTGTGTTTAGAAGTATTATAAGAGAAATGGTGGAGAAAAGTCTGCACAGTGTTTCCATTTCTGTCTTGTTTCGTTGTCAATGTAAATATTATGTTTCTAGTTGTACCGTCGTTAGAGTAACGTCATAGACACGTCATAGATGTATCTAAGATTATGTCATCGTGAACTTGTTCCATTGAATTGTCACTGTTGTCGCCATGACGACATTAGTCAAAATCCATTGAAACTCTTTCGGAAAATCCGCAGAAGATCTGCAGAGTGAAAATCTCATTCGTAATGATTTCACTAGGGATGTTCCATGCTCTGTGATTTTTGATTATGATGATGATTCCTGCATGGGGGGGGGGTTGCCCGGGTGGCGTCGGGAGTAAATATTCCTCTATGAAAGACATTCTGTCTGAATTATCAATGTAGGTCTAGTCTAACAATGAGATTGAAGAAATATGTAACGTGTTACCTGTAGTTACTCACTTCGAGAGCCATGTTAGATTTTGAAAAAATCCATTATTTCAGGAAAACTAAAGATTTTTACAATAATGTATTATTTTTCTATGAGAATGGTTACCATTCTTATTATTTGAATTTAAACATTTTTCACCCATTTTTGCACTTTGAATTCATTATAACTTCACCAATTTATTTCATATCATGAATCTTTTGGGAGAGATTTTATTTGAGATTGTAAGGAATAGATTGCTAGGTCAATTGTACATGTTGCTTGTTATATTGTCACCCCAAAAATCTAGCTATCTATCTCGAGCGTTGAACACGCAGGAACACGCTGGTATACCCTGTCGCTCAAGGTCGTCAGTTCGTATGCTCGCGCTCTTTGCCTTTATTCAATTAAAATAAAACAAGAGAAATCATTAGCAATATCATTTCAATATTGCAGAATTGAGGAGTTAAGAAAACAAAGAAAAAAGGGACCAAAAATTCTGCACTTCGATGATTTTATTTTGCTTCATATTTTGCTCCCTCAGATTGTCGATTCACAGTCTGGCCAGTCCTGTTGTATAACCCTAATATAATACCGTAGAATAGCCGTATTTGAAAAACGTAATTTTCACTTTTGGTTGATAGGTATGAAATGTCTTGTAAATGTCAAGAACATTCACAGCCTGTAAATGTTTGCATAAATCAGACATAAACTTTATTCTGAAAGTGCTACTTAACATAATGTGTCATGTTAATCATGGTCAGTTAGTCGAGGGCATAGGTTAGAAACTGCAGTGATAACAACCAAATGAGTGGACAATACAATGGTCAATATTCAGAATAACATTTACATGCTGATTACTGTTATAGCAATGTATACGTCCGGGTGTACACGGTGTATCAAAAAATCTCAATACTTTTGTAATCCCCCGCAGCAGAGAGATTTTTTCGATTCCTCCCCGTGGTACTAGCTTTTAATTTTCATCAGTTGTGAGTTTGATAAAGGGACTGAGATATAGAATCAAATATGAGGTTATTTTGAAAAACAGAAATATTCAAATTCATTCGAAATGAAAATGGAAAAATTCCGCCTTTTCAAAAAAATATCATGTAATGATAACTTGTATTTTACATATATGAAATCAAAACTGTTGGAGAGAAAATATTATGGGTTTTTATTGAAAGTGTCGCTCAACTCGTTTCTAATTTTGTTCCATCTTCTATCCCAAACACTCTTCTCTTACTGACAGGTTCTCGTACTAAGTTAACAGAAAGTGAATATCTAAAAATATAATGAATGATGGATAAAAGGATTAACGAATTACTTTTTTGTCTCCATAATTTAAAGTCGGATAGCGTACTAGACAACTGATATGAGAGCCTTTTCGCCCATCGAAAATATACTTTTAACTGTAAAAGTACAATTTTTATCATTTTTATGATGTTTCGGAGATGAACAACCCCTAAAACGTATGCACTCTTATTTCAAAATTGCACTTTTTAGGAATTGCCTTAAAATTTTGCAAATTGATGTAACATAATTTCTAAGTTTCATAAGTTTGTCACGATTTGAAAAAATAAATTCCCCCCAACACTTTACACAAGATATATCTTCTAATTCCTTTGTGTTTAATACCAGATATACATAATTCACGGGACATAACTTAAAAAGTTAGTCTAACCATAACATGGCACGGACAACAAATACACGTTATGAATAATGTGTTGTTGTACTTTTATTTTGTTTATCAGACACCTTTACATTGTCAAACAGTCTCCGAACACCTTCTGAATTTTCAAAAAATTGTTCTGATATTCTATCACTGAGCGTATTTACCTTTAGGATATTAAGAGAGAATATGTGTTAGTCTTGAGTGGATATATAGAACCGAACAGCCACTCAGTGGTTAAAGAGGTGTATCGCATTTCATTTCATTATACACATTTTATTGTGTCCTAAAGATCACGATACAGCTATGAATCTTCTATTGTTTCTGTTTCTATGTGCCCTTAAAGGAATATATGGACAGGGGAGTACAACAGAAGATCCGTTGACCACCGTAGGGGCAAACATAACGAGGTATGTAAAATTTAATTTTTGACTTTTCAGCAAACATATAAATACTTACCTTTAGTTTCTACACCCAATGTGCTAACATGGATTTTTAATGTTTAGAAATTAAACCACACAAACTGGAGGTTACTAACTAATAACTTTTAAGCACCGATGTATGACACGAGAAGTTAATGATTAAATACGTTTCTTCACATTTCATCAAATAAGGGGTGAAATGTATATGTTTAGTCTTTATACAAAAGTGTTTACAGGGAGGGCCAAAAACGTCCACATTTTTTACTTGGATATAACCTTTTTATAAATGCATGGATTTCGATGAGATTTTGAGCAGGATATGCAGAAATCAATTTTACAATTGTCCCTGAAGTTGGATAAATAAATCTCTTGGTAGTTTTGAAAAATAAAGGTAAACCAGACACAAGGGGTCTATTTGGGAAATTACAAATTTCAGAATGGTATGTTATTCGAAGCAACAAGTTTACACTGATATATGTCATGTGTCCAGTCTGTCAGAGAAAAACATTGGGTAGGGGTTCTGTTCTGAAATAATTTCCAGACAAAACTAAGATTCTAGACGAAATTAGTAAAATGAGAAAAACTAAGAAAAACTGATTTAACATCAAGAGAAAACGATGATTTGAGAAAATCTGTGTTACTGTGAAAGCTATTCTGAGATCTTATTTGTGCCAAAAAGATTAGTTTGGTACTTGATTGAGCCTACACACTAAAGAACCTGTTTCTTCATTAAGAATATCATTTTTCATCCTGCCTTTCGCCTACCAATTCTTTCTTGACGTTGAACCAGTTAATCCAATTGTCCTTATCAGTCTTAATACATCCCATTCCCAAATGCTTTAATTTCTATCAGAAATATAAATTTTATCATACATATCATGTTTCTCTGGCTAAATGTGTAAAACGTCAATCTGGAAGGAATTAAATGTTATTTGAGGCATGAGTATTTATCATGTAAAATTGTCACCTTGAACTTCATCCTGAAATCTGTAATTTTCATAAAGAGCCCTGGTGTCTGTTTACCGTCATAATTCTAAGATCCCAAGAAATTCATTGCTCTCACTAAATGGAACGATTGTAGAATTGATTTCTATATAGCCCGGCAAAACTTTATGGAAATCCATCCATTTTCAAAAAAGTTAAATCGAAATAAAAAATGTGGACGTTTTTTGACCCACCCTGTAATTCTACACTGTACTCTATTCTAACCAAAGAGCCAATGGAATAGAATATGTAAACGGTACATTAGATTAGTGATTCTTATAATCTAATCTAAAAGTTAAGTAGAAAGTTTACACTTTACAGGAATGAAGATTGATCAGTCTGTAAAGGTGTATACCTTTTAAGGATAATTTGTAATGTAGTCTGTGTTAAATGGTGAAAAGCTGAGGCCCAGGAATACGTTAAAAATGTTTAAAATGTTCGCTAGTGTACTGAGTTGTTAATGCGTGGTGTATACATGTTTATTAAAATTCGGGCCTCAGGTGAAAAGGTTTTGATTAGGTACATGGTGGACATGGTGGGAGTAAACTGATGATCGGCGTCTATATGGCGTTCTTCACTTGCATACTTAATTTGCATGAAGCATTTTCGTAAATGTTATCTCAGTGGTTATAGGCGTTTTTCTAAAAGGGTGTATTCTGGAAAAATCTCTATGTCATGAGAAAAATACAAGGATAATATGAAATCATTTGCAAGGGACCTATAAAAAATGAACGAAAAATGATTAATGCTTTTCGAAATACTAGTATACTGAAGAAAAACTGAATCAAATCAGTCAATTGAACAAAATGTTCGAATAATCCTGAAAAATATCGTTCAGTTAAAAGGAGTTTGAAAATGTGAATTACGAGAAATAGAGTCAATGTCAAACCGACTAGACTGTATCCCTTTTATATATATGCAGAGTAATACATAAATCTTGTATGTCAATTTAGTAGCTAGGCAAACTAAATATTGATAGCCTAGTCCGTTTACATCATCCTGGATGCTTCAAGTAGTGAAACTAAAGTTTGATCAAATATAATGACATTTGAAGTCAAAAATGTCTGTCACATATTGTTGAATAAAGACCTGCAAGGCTCGTAGCGATGATTCCCTGGAAATTTTAAACCAATTAAATGCACGTGAGCGCTCCCTGATTCAAACAAATAGACCATGCTTAGATTTTAAAACCAACCCCTTAAATGTACCAACCCCTCATATCCCCAGTCGCTACCGGCTACCACTTATTCAATATAATTGTTTTTGAAAACCTAGATAGGCTTGAGGTGAAACATACTTTAATTTGAGCGGTTCAAAAACAAATCATTTTTCCAAGATATAATTAACTTTTCCAAAAAAATTCGTTACACTAACGCGCCCAAAACCTGTTATCAAGTGTTTCTATATATTTGCAGCTTAGGCGTCAGGCCCTCAATAAAGCTTGGATATGCTCTGCTGCTCATCCTCGGCTTTGGCGTGTTCTCTGTGGTTGTTGCTATCGCTTTTAATCTTGTCAGAAAGAAAGTGTACCACGACTCTGATAATGTTGACACTGCGTTTGATGCTGGTGGAAATGTATCAATTGGTCTCACTGCTACCACAATTGTTTCCCAATGGACTTGGTCGGCTACTTTGTTGCAGTCCTCTACGGTAGCAAGCAAGGTAATAAGACTGATTAACATCATATTTCGAAAAGTAAAGAGTGACCCGTAAAATTGAACCGTCTAATTATAAAATAACTTTATAAATCCTCAGTTGTGGAAACTTCAAGGTCATCGGAAAAATCTCTTCTAGATTTCCATGAGACCTCATTTTTATGATCGTTATAAAAGAAATAAAATTACCACTGCATGCAGTCTAGTGGCAGTTTGTAATCTAGTTCTCAATCAAGACAATGTATTTAATGAACCCACTGAACAATAAATGAACACTGCAACAATACTGTTGTTTCAGTATGGTATAAGCGGGCCTTTCTGGTACGGGGCAGGGGCTACAATACAAATCTTAATGTTTGCAACGTTATCAATACAACTGAAGACAAAGGCCCCAGGTGCAAAAACGTTTTTACAGGTAAGAAGTATTTTTTTATCTTTAATTTTGGTAGCCACTTTTACTTTGTCATCGATATTCTAGGAAACTGGATGCTGCATTCAGATGTTCAATGGTATTATATTTTACAGGTGATAACGAATTCTGATGGCCGCTATCTTGGGTGTTTTTCTATTTTTCTCACCATCGTTTAATAAATACCTATTGTGCTAACAACCATAGAATTAATCCTAAACAATTTGTTCTTCTTTCTTAAAGGTTATCAGAGCAAGGTTTGGCAAGAATGCACATATTGTGTTCTGTGTGTTTGCCTGCGTCACCAACCTTGTTGTGATGGTCTCTTTATTACTAGCTGGGACATCGGTGATGACCAGCCTTGTCGAGGGCCTCTCCTTAGAGCTAGCCTGTCTGATAATGGCTGCTGTAATAGGCTCTTATACGTTGATCGGCGGCCTGGGGGCGACGTTCTACGTCTCATACTTCAACACAAGTCTCATCTTCGCCATGATTATGTTGTTGGTTATTGAGGTTTATTATAATCCCAGCGGAAGAGAAAGTAATCCTCTAGGTAGCGCTAATGTAATTTATAGCTACCTGAACCAAACAAAGGGACCAGATGGAAATACTGAAAATAGCTACTTGACGTTCCTGTCGTCGGGTGGAGCTCTGTTCGGGGTTATCAACATCATTGGGAATTTCGGGACAGTGTTTTGTGATCAGAGTTACTGGCAGAGCAGTGTGGCCGCTAAGCCTGTCCAGGGTGTCTGGGGTTTCATTGCAGGGGGTTTAACGTGGTTCGCCATCCCCTTCACATTAGCTACGACAATGGGACTATCATACCTCGCCTTGGGGACCCTGCGTGGGGCACCTCTACTATCACCCGCTGATGTGGATAAAGGCAAGATTTGTTTCCTTAGTTATGTTCAATCATGTAACCCAGTGGTCAACTATCGAGTAGGACCGTTTTCAATAACTGCATGTTAATTTTATGCTTTTGTGGTGACCTCCTATGATGTTCCTATGGTTGATGTTTTAGGTCTTGTCCCACCCGTTGTGGCACAGGTTTTGTTGCAAGAATCTGGGGAGTATGTGCTTCTTCTACTCATCCTAATGGCGGTCATGTCAACTGGGTCAGCAGAGATCATTGCTGTCGCCTCCATCATTGTATATGACATATACCAGATATATGGCCTTCCATTTAGGTAATATGGTGGTAACAATCAGAATGTACGAATATAATATGTACTGATCTAAAATATCTATAATATACATTTTCTTTTATTTGTCATACCTTGGATACATGAAGGACATGTCTCTTATTGTACTTTGTACAACACACATCTTATATAGTTTTTTAGTTTAGTTTAAAATAGTTTATTAAAGTCACACAAATATAATGCAATTAAAATACATAGATAAAATACAAATCAACAAATATGTCCAGCCGTTGCCGACTTATGAGTGACTACAGGTAAATGCGTCTTCTACGCCACATTTTAAAAATACATTTGCTTAAGATAAAACTATTACAAGAAGTCATTATATTACAATATTGAGCTAAAGTATTAAACTTCAAAAACTCATTGTCAATTGATAACATGTAACATTTCGTTTCTTAAATCTGTATATAATGGACATTCTGTCAAAAAATGAATCTCTGACTCAACAACTTGAGAATTGCACATTTTACATAACCGTTCCTGTAATGGTGTTTTAGGATTAGTATATCGTCCTATTTCAATATTCAAAGGTAGTGTACCACACCTTAAAGATGCTAAAACCTTTCTATAGGGTCTTGGTAAATTTGTTTCAACATAGTTTTCTGTATATAAACGTTGTTTATGTAATCTATAGGTGCGTAATTTGTTACCATTTTCACAGTTGTTCTTATCGTTCCATAGATCCCTGTACCAGTGTAATTGTTCTGATTCTACATATTTTCTATGAAACGATTTCACCACGTTTTTTACCTGTGGTACCAATGTACAGTTAACAGAACTGATATTCCTAAGATCATTCACATTTAGAATTCTTTTGACCCATTGTTCCCACGATTTTTCTCTATTTCTAGACCAATTAAATATGTTTTTGGTAAGTCTGTTTTGTTTCATATTTATGAGTCTACACCATAAGCGCACTGGCTCTTTTAACTGTATACTATAGAATGATGGCCAACCTATGTCGCCCTTTACAGCAGCGGTAGGAGAAAATTTGTTCACACCAAGAAAAAATCTAGCTGCTCTATTTTGTACACTTGTTAAAACTGTCTGTGGTTTGGTGCCCCAAACTCCCGCGCCATAAGTCAAAATTGGTAACACTAGTGATTTATATAATCTATCGAATACATCAAAAGAGAAACCACCTGTTTTATATGATTTTGCAATCAATACACCGAGTGCTCTGTTTGCTGATGATGCCAATGTCTTGATTGCAGTCTTAAAAGTGAGATGCTCGTCAAAAAATAATATATCACATATAAAAGGACCTATGTATATTTCTTTCAGACGGAACTTTATAGAAGGAAATTGTATTCTCTGTAACAAGGCTCTGCGCAAATTGGATGCGGAACAGCAACCAGATGAGAATGGAAAAGTTAATCACACCAGCACTACAGAACTGTACACAATGCAAAAGGAGGTAGAAGTTTTTGAGGAAGATACATGTGTTTGCCCACCCGCATACGGATGCCCAGATTGTGCAGCCGACCATGCTAGACGACGTGAATTTAGTGATACGAACACTGAAGAACCATACCGCTGTCCGACTCATGGCAAATACAGACAATACCAGGACAGCTTAATGCGCATTAAGAGTTGGATTATTCTATGGTTAACCATGTTCACAATACCACTGATATTGTTCTGCGTTGGAGTGGGGCTTAATTTGGGTTGGGTGTATTTGTTCACTGGCGTTCTTATTGGATGCACTGTTGTCCCCATCGCCCTCTCTGTAATCTGGTCCAGAGTGACATCGGTAGCCATGATAGCAGGTGAGATAATATACCATACATATCATGTATTATTGGAATTAAAGTCTACATTTTTTATATCACCACCAGAAGTGGTGTCATATTGATATAGTCTCCAACTTTTTGTGGATGGTGTTCGAAGTGTGTAACAAATTACGGCGTTTGTAACAAATGACAGGTGGTGACATTTTGCAAGTTAATGCCTTGTTGCTCAATTGCCTTCACATGGGTCAACTGAAACTGCTATAGAATGTCGCTGACCTTACATATTCATAGACCGAGTGAAATGGCATAACATGAATGAATAAACACAAGGAGTTCACGCTTCTCGAACTCAAGATCTTATGGTTACGACAATAGCGTCTAGCTTGGCTTGTTCAGCACTCGAGACATGTCTGACCTCGTCAGCAACCATAATGCATAGGTCATTCAGTTTAATTACAAAATATTTTGATATAGGGGAGCTGTAATTCTATGTTTGCCTTTTTAGGAGTTATAACAGGTTGTGTGTCGGGGTTAACAGCATGGTTGATTATGGCATCAACGTACGAAGGCGGTCTTGGAGATTTCTTGAAGAACACAGGGAGAGAACTCGTCATGTTTGTCGGCAACTGCTGTTCCATCGGCGTCGGCGGTATCGTCTGCATTGTTGTTTCTCTCGTCACAGGCAAAAGCAAGTCTGATAAAGCTCACGAAGAATGGGAAAAGACGAGAAATATAGAAAACCCGTTGCACCCATGGTCTTTGAAATATGCTGAAGAATTTGGCATTGATACGAGTACTAGTACAATATGGAGACCTACCCAGGAAGAAATGGCAAAAATATTCAGAAAAGCTCGATTGATTGCAATCATTGTAGGATTGGTCCTGACAGTTGGGTTAGTTATTATCTGGCCCTCATCCATGATGAGTCTCGTTGTCCTCTCTGAAACACAGTTCAGAATGTGGACGCAATTCTCCCAGGTGTGGGCGTTCACCGCTGCTGTTTTCATCGTCACTGTGCCACTCGTCCAGGAAATATATGGTATCATAAAACAGGTGAAACAGAACAGGGAAAATGCACAGAAATCTTCTATGGGTGAGGACGCTCATACAGTAAAAAGCAATGGGGCTTATGTGCATGATCAGGAGCAGGCAATCAGAAAGAGAAGTGAACAAGTGGAACATCACACTGCATTGTAGATACTTATAACAGGTCTAGCCAAACACTCATATTTGGTCATTTTAATTGCATGCTCGGTCACATCTGTTCGAAAAATCTAATCGGAACTATTCGGTTGCATATTCTATGCCCGTTTGTACAGGACACTTTCAATGGTAATTCCATAATTCGTTTGAACAATGCATTTGTAAAAAACTCAGCCCATACAGTTTGAACAGTTGTGGCTGGCACTACTCGATAATCTAGAACTTCTTTTATTTCTGGATTAATATCACTGCTTGTTATTACCTAATGTTTAGGTATGTATATACACAATAAACAAAGTTTAGAAAATTCAAAATTATTGACTTCAAGTATGTTTAGCATATCCAAATTTTTGTCATGTGTCATATTTAAGCACGTGACCAATCAATTGTACAATGCCTTAGCAACGGTTTGTCTGGCTTCCAGACTTTGGATGAGTTCGGCAGGGCAAATTTAAAGTCTAGGATACGTTTTCTCAAAAAATCTCTTTCTCTCCTTACCATTTTTAGCTCACATGGTGAGCTTTTGCAATCGCTCACTTGTCTGTCTGTCCGTCCGTCTGTCCGTCCGTCCGTCCGTCCGTCCGTCCGTCCGTCAACAATAGTGGCACGTTTTAAAACTTCTGTCGATAGGATTCCTGTTTAAAGTTATTTCTGTTCAACATCAATACAGAAAACTCCCCTATGACTCCTGGTTCAAAAGCTCGCCTATTTTCAAAATGGCCGCCATTTTTGTCTCGCGAAATTCACTTTTGACCTATTTCCTAGCTTTACAAATAATTTCAAGTGTCCTACATTGTAAAAATCCATGTCAATGTAAAGAGTAGATGTATGAAATAATTTTGTTACGAAAAATCAGCAAAAAATTATATCCATTTTTTTTATTTTCAGCCATTTTAGTTAACATCCGTCTGTCTGTCTGTCTGTCCGTCAACAATAGTGGCACGTTTTAAAACCTCTGTCGATAGGATTCCTGTTTTAAGTTATTTCTGTTCAACATCAACACAGAAAACTCACCTATGACTCCTGGTTCAAAAGCTCGCCTATTTTCGAAATGGCCGCCATTTTTGTCTCGCGAAATTCACTTTTGACTGGCACGTTTTAAAAACCTCTGTCGATAGGATTCCTGTTTTAAGTTATTTCTGTTCAACATCAATACAGAAAACTCCCCTATGACTCATGGTTCAAAAGCTCGCCTATTTTCAAAATGGCCGCCATTTTTGTCTCGCGAAATTCACTTTTGACCCATTTCCTAGCTTTACAAATAATTTCAGGTGTCCTACATTGTAAAAATCTGTGTCAATGTAAAGAGTAGATATATGAAATAATTTTGTTACAAAAAATCAGCGAAAAATTATATCTATTTTTTTATTTTCAGCCATTTTAGTTAACATTGATTTGTCCATCTGACTTGTGAAATCCATTTTCCGTCAATAACAGTCTGACAGTGGCACGTTTTAAAACCTCTGTCGATAGGATTCCTGTTTTAAGTTATTTCTGTTCAACATCAATACAGAAAACTCCCCTATGACTCCTGGCTCAAAAGCTCACCTATTTTCAAAATGGCCGCCATTTTTGTCTCGCGAAATTCACTTTTGACCTATTTCCTAGCTTTACAAATAATTTCAAGTGTCCAACATTGTAAAAATCCATGTCAATGTAAAGAGTAAATGTATGAAATAATTTTGTTACGAAAAATCAGCAAAAAATTATATCCATTTTTTTTATTTTCAGCCATTTTAGTTAACATTGATTTGTCCATCTGTCTCGCAAAATCCACTTTTGGACCATTTGCCTTAAACCCTCTGTCGATAGGATTCCTGTTTTAAGTTAATTTTGTTCAACATCAATACAAAAAACTCTCCTATGACTCTTGGTTCAAAAGCTCGCCTATTTTCAAAATGGTCACCATTCTTGTCTCGCGAAATTCACTTTTGGCCCATTTCCTAGCTTTACAAATAATTTCAGCTGTCCTGCATTGTAAAAAGCCATGTCACTGTAAAGAGTAGTTGTATGAAATAATTTTGTTACAAAAAGTCGGCAAAATATTATATCAGTTTTTTTTATTTTCAGCCATTTTAGTTAACATTGATTCGTCCATCTGTCTCTCAGTCAGTCCAAAAAAGTGGCAAGTTTTAAACCTCTGTTAACACTTTTTAAATCCTCTGTAGATAGGATTCCCGATTTAAAATGATTTTGTTCAACATCAATAAAGAAAAAAAACTGTGACTCCTGCTTCAAAATCTCGCCTAATTTCAAAATGGCCACCATTTTTGTCTCGGGAAATTCACTTTTGGCCCATTTCCTAGCTTTACAAATAAGTTCAGGTGTCCTGCATTGTAAAAAGCCATGTCTTTGTAAAGAGTAGTTGTATGAAATAATTTTGTCACAAAAAATCTGCAAAAAATTATACCCGTCTTTTTTATTTTCACTTTTGAGCAACACCATGTGAGCCCAGTACCCACGGTACTAATTTTTATTGTGTGAATAAGTATAAATTGTATGATTGTGGAGGTAGAGAATGTAAGAATTGAAAACACCGGATAGTTGTGAGTTTTCAAAGTTAGCGTATTACAATAACCATTCTCGTTGCAAATGTTTTTAGCAGAGTTCAGGAAAAAATCGTCCGATGTACTCAAAGAGGTCACCATATATAAATCAATGGAGAGTAGGACCATAAATTAATGGGACCTCCTACCCTTTTACACCGGCGTTGAATACTAGTATTTGAGAATCGTATTGATAAGTGTTTTATACATCCGACTATTCGAGAAATAAACCATACTGTTTGACCGATATTGAAAGACTGTTGGTTAAAATATATTGGTCAAAATATGACTGGTCATAGCATACATGTACGTCTTTACAATAACGTCTACGCGGTATATCTTTTCGTAATTCATTTGGTGAAAGGATGGAAAAGTTGATGAAGCAGGGATTAACGCACAATGTCTTAATTGATCTGAATTTCATACAACTTAGATAAACCAACAAGAGTCCAGTCTCGTAATTTAACTAATTTAATGTAGAAACTTGCATTTTAAAGACCACAGAATTATAATTTTTAATCATAAAGTTCTACCACCAAAAAAGGAAATACTGATCATTGTACTTTGATAACGTACTTAAAAGCAAACATAATTAAAGAAATTCCAACAAAGAAAATCATTTGGCAATATGAAGTGATGAAGGATTTAAGCAAGGGGCTATTTTCAAGAATTATTTTTGAATATTTTTTGAGAAATTTCTTCACAGCATACACATTTATTTCATATTACGAGATAGCAACACGATAGAATGAACTATAGTTTATTTAAGAATCTACTGTTGTATCAAAAGAAGAGTATATTCTTTTTCTATCGATTCTAATGGATGAACACTTCTTGGCAAGCTATCACGAACCAGTGTGGCATAAAAGACGATTGACAGGTGTCCATAGTTTTCATTATTCATATACAATACACAAATGTACATGTACTCTTCTTTACTCTCTTTATAATAAAACAATTTATCATTTTGTGTAGCTATCTACAGTATTGATCTAAGCTTACTTACAAATTCTGCTCCATTCATGCTCAATGTTTACACTTTGACTGCCACATGCAATGCACTGAAGCTGGACTAATTACAGCCTTTTCACTCACTCAGCAGTTGAACAGCAAATAAAAAGAAACAGTTTACACCGTACCTGGCCCTATTACATGCAGTGCACGGAAGCTGCACTAGTTATACCCCACCTACGCATTTATTATACCCCACCTACACATGTATCAACTCACTTAAAGATATCAACTTTTCCAGATTGGATTATTAATCATTCATAAGAGTCAGTATGAGGTTTGGGTTAGATGAACGATTCGTCCTGGGTATAGGAAAAAATAATGGTCTTGGGCCTAACGGCCCTTGGTCATTTTCCTAATACTCACGACACATGTTTATCCATTACCGAAATCTATTGCAATGCTAGATAAACCAAAGTAATGTGGTATATTCATCCGCCATTCATAAGCTGGTAAAACCACACTTGTTGGTGTTTAACTATTTAAAAAGTGTGGTCCTCAACTTGAAGTATAAAACCTTTATGGAGAGTCGTTGAATTGTTTAGTGAGCATTACTAAAGGTGTTATCATTCGGTGAAGTATACTCGAAACCACCGACACTGACTTAAACTTAATACTTTACTCATTGGTGAAAAAGGCTGTTGTACCATCCTACGACTATTCAATTTGTACTGTGTCCAAGATTATTCAACAATGAATCTTGCATTGACTCTGTTCGTATGTGTCCTTCAAGGGATATGTGGACAGGAGACTACAACAGATCCAGTGACGACTGGAGGGGAAAATATAACAAGGTATTATTAATAATTTATAGTTTTTATCTTGGGATGTAAAATGTCGTGTTGAAATGATATTCTAATGTTATTATGACATGTATGATGATGTAGAAAATGTCAGTGCTGAAACCATGGCAGAGATCATCGTTTACAGTGGTGTAACCGTTGCAATGAGTGTTTGATTGGATTGATCATTTACAACGAGACTTGCTCAGTAAAACTAGAGAACCTAACTTGATTTTAATATCCCAGCCTCATAAATTACATCTATCACTTTTTCAGTCTGGGTGTCCAACCCTCAATAAAGCTTGGATATGCTCTGCTGCTCATCCTCGGCTTTGGCGTGTTCTCTGTGGTTGTTGCTATCGCTTTCAATCTTGTAAGAAAGAAAGTGTACCACGACTCTGATAATGTTGACACTGCGTTTGATGCTGGTGGAAATGTATCAATTGGTCTCACTGCTACCACAATTGTTTCCCAATGGACTTGGTCGGCTACTTTGTTGCAGTCTTCAACGGTAGCAAGCAAGGTAATCAGAAAGTAAATGGTACAGCGGGAGGAATTGCGTATGAGTGACTTATAATTGACCTAAAAACTTAGCGTTCTTTCAGTATGGTATAAGCGGGCCTTTCTGGTACGGGGCAGGGGCAACGATACAGATCTTAATGTTTGCAACGTTGTCAATCCAACTAAAGACAAAGGCCCCTGGTGCAAAAACGTTTTTACAGGTAAGAAGTCACGATTAACTTTGCTAGAAAGCAATGGAATGATTTTTAGTAATTAATTCATCCGTTCGCCTTTTTTGTTCCGAGATGGTATTCCAGACTCATTCGGGTACTACGTATTTTTTCATTCAATTGTATCGTTTTCAAAATAATGTGTTTGATATCAATCTATAAATCAATATTCTGGACTTATGCTCAAGTCACATTGTATTGTATAAGTTATGCAATTACTATCTAGTACTGAATAAAGAACAAAATAGTGTGGTGAAGATTTTTATCTTGAGTGTTTTAGCATTCTATAGCTCAGAGTTCAAGTTTCAATTTATGTGAATATTAAACAGTTAAGGCTTTGTCAATGTGAATTGGAATACTGTATTGCATAAGTGCACATCAAAATTGATTAGAAGTGACTTATGAGCTGAGATGGTCGTAATTTGGGACGTATTCATATCCTTGTCATTGTTTTTACGTAGGTGATCAGGGCAAGGTTTGGTAAGAGTGCACATATTGTGTTCTGTGTGTTTGCCTGCGTCACCAACCTTGTTGTGATGGTCTCTTTATTACTAGCTGGGACATCGGTGATGACCAGCCTTGTCGAGGGCCTCTCCTTAGAGCTAGCCTGTCTGATAATGGCGGCAGTCATGGGGTCCTATACGCTAATTGGAGGCTTGGGGGCAACGTTCTACGTGTCATACTTCAACACTAGTCTCATATTCAGCATGATTATATTGTTGGTCATAGAGGTGTACTATAATCCCAGTGGAAGAGCAAGTAACCCACTTGGAAGTCCTGATGTGATTTACCACTATCTTAATCAAACTAGGGGACCAGATGGAAACGCTGAAAACAGCTACTTAACATTTCTCTCATCTGGTGGGGCCATGTTCGGGGTTATCAACATCATTGGGAATTTCGGAACAGTGTTTTGTGATCAGAGTTACTGGCAGAGCAGTGTGGCCGCTAAGCCTGTCCAGGGAGTCTGGGGTTTCATTGCAGGGGGTTTAACGTGGTTCGCCATTCCCTTCACATTAGCTACGACAATGGGACTATCATACCTCGCCTTGGGGACCCTGCGTGGGGCACCTCTACTATCACCCGCTGATGTAGATAAAGGTAAGTTGTATTTAGGGTTTTGGGTCAATATTCCAGCCCCTACATATGTAACTACAGGGTGTCCCGAAAGTATGCCCCCCAGGCAGACATATACCAGGGTCGTCATAGTATGTGTCATATATCATTTTAAAGCTTGTCCAAAGTTACATTGATTTGCCAAGTATCATGCATGGTTTAACTCCCAAATGGGAAGAAGTTACAGTCATTTTAAAAGTTAGTGTTTTGTCAAAATAAAGTTCAATTTTACACCACATTACTAGTCAATGTGTCCCCCCCCCTTGGCCATGTTAACAGCAGCAATTATTTTCAGACCTTAAAAGCCCTTCAAATAGGGGTGTGGAATTTTATAACCCTCTTAAAACCGGTTAAGGGACTTGAGAAGAGTTTCCTTAGAGTTTCTACCCCCACTGTTCTCTTTTTCCAACTCAATATCCCTCCGACCCGAAACGAATTGCTGCTGTTAAGATGGCCCAGGAGGACACATTGACTAGTGATTTGGTGTAAATTGAACTTAATTTTGACCAAACACTAAATTCTGAAATGCCTGTAAGTTTTTCACATTCGAGAGTTGAACCATGATACTTGGTAAATCAATGTAACTTTGGATAAGCTTTAAAATGATATATGACACATACTATGACGACCCTGGTATATGTCTGCCTGGGGGGGGCATACTTTCGGGACACCCTGTAGTATATTCTTTTCACATTGCATCTCATCGTTTGCTGCATGTTTTCCCGTCTCTCTGTTTATAGATTTGCAATTGTCCGTCTGTTTGTTCGTTTGATTGCTTGCTATTACAAAGTGCAGAATTGATTGTGATTTATAATTTGAGGAATCCTTTCAACAAAGTTAGCATTTATGATGTCAAAACCTCTCTTAGGTAAAACTCTCTTTTTGTTAATTGATATTTTAGGTCTGGTCCCACCCGTTGTGGCACAGGTTTTGTTGCAAGAGTCTGGGGAGTACGTGCTTCTTCTACTCATCCTTATGGCGGTCATGTCAACTGGGTCAGCAGAGGTCATTGCTGTCGCATCCATCATCGTATATGACATATACCAGATATATGGCCTTCCATTTAGGTAACTAAGCTTGTATTTGCGAATGCAACTAACGCCTGTCGGCTACCGGTTTAACCTACTATTTCATAACCAACTCATTTAAATATGAATGGAATAGTGGCAGGTACTATTCATATTTAAATTAGTTGCCCATAAAATAGTAGGTTAATCCGGTAGCCGACAGGCGTTAGTTGCATTTGCTTAGACAATATTCATACAATCAATATCTATAAAATTTATTTCACACAAAGCTAGGCCTGGACGTTCTATATTATTTCCTGGCGAATCAAAAATAGCCATTCAAAGTTTTGCAACATATATACATATGTATGTGATTGATAAATGAAAATTGATTTAGTTGTAAAGACATTGTTCGACAATATTTCTGTGTGAAAAGCACAGAACTGGATGAATTGTCAATGATCGAATGCACTCTTTTTGTGCCAAAGTCTATATCTCGATCAGCCTTTGAAAAATGCTCTCATACAATCATTCGTTTTTACCAATAATCCATCGTGTTCTTAACTAAATAACTATGCGCAACCGCATCTTGTTTTTGAACTGCTATATACATAGACATACATAGGGGTTATGCACTGGGAGGTTTTGGATACAGGGAATATCCCGAGGGATAAACAATATATCTTCCCGAGGGACCGAACCGACCGTGCATAACTGGTGTATCTCAAACTTGAGTGGGTTTAGGGTAGATATAACCTTTTCCACCTTTTTCAAATGACAAGATATTTATATTTAACATTTTCGTAATATTCTTTTTGTTCAATACAATGAAATTGTAACATTTAAACTTAAAAAGTCGGAATTAAATTTTAAAATTAAAAAATTAAAACTTGATATTTAAACTTTTTTAAACTTTTGAAAAATTCCCGGGAGCGGGATGGATATATTATATCTGCCCGCATTTGGCCTGGAGCGGGACATATACAATATATCCTGCCCGCTCCTCAGATACGATATATATTCCCGGGTGATATCTACCCCAAACCCACTCAAGTATGAGATACACATAATTACGCATAAATCTGGTGAATGCATTACATTATTTTAGATACGTTGAGGTAAAAAACGACGTTGTGCAAAACCTCTCTTATATCAAAATAAACCCTATTCCTATTCAAAGATGTCAGCATGGCTTTATTGAAAGGAGAAGTTAAACGTTTTTAAGAGAATCTGTACGTGGGCGAGTGATATTTATTGTTCCGCGCTCAATTCACTATTGCAGGGACCAAATTACATTAATTTTCCTTATACATGATAATGTGATAATCAATCGGCTAAGTAAACATTACAAATGAGAGAACGAGTCAAAAGAGGACCATAATTCAACACGTTCACGTAATTTTTTTAAAAACGTGTATCTTAACCTCCCTTATTTATCTGCAGACGAAACTTTAAAGATGGAAATTGTATTCTCTGTAACAAGACCTTGCGTAAAATGGATGCAGAACAGCAACCATATTACAATGGAAAAGTTGATACCAGCACTACAGAACTCTTCACAATGCAAAAGGACGTATGCGTAGAAGATATTGAGAAAGATATGTGCGTTTGCCCATCTGCATACGGATGCCCAGATTGTGCAGCCGATCGCGCAAGACGGCAGGAATTTAGTGATACAATTACTGAAGAACCATACCACTGTCCGACTCATGGCAAATACAGACAATACCAGGACAGCTTAATGCGTATAAAGAGTTGGATTATTCTATGGTTCACAATGTTTACAATACCACTGATATTATTTGTCGTTGGGGTTGGGCTGAATTTGACCTGGGTGTTCCTGTTTACCGGCGTCCTTATTGGATGTACTGTTATTCCGATCGCTCTCTCTGTTATCTGGTCTAGAGTGACGTCAGTGGCAATGATAGCAGGTAAAACTATGCACTTTATTTTAAAACGAATTTCATAAATATGGAAGAACTCGTATAATATCTTACATCTCGGTGAGTGTATACCTGGCAAATGAGTCAAATATGATATCCTTCAAAATAATTAGATCGCTTCTAGTTCTATTTAGTAATGAAATATCAATATTGTTGGCCACTTCTTCATTTCTGTTATTTGTCTAGGTGTTATTTCGGGGTGTGTATCGGGGTTAACAGCATGGTTGATTATGGCATCAACGTACGAAGGCGGTCTTGGAGATTTCCTGAAGAACACAGGGAGAGAACTCGTCATGTTTGTCGGCAACTGCTGTTCCATCGGCGTCGGCGGTATCGTCTGCATTGTTGTTTCTCTCGTCACAGGCAAAAGCAAGTCTGATAAAGCTTACGAAGAATGGGAAAAGACGAGAAATATAGAAAACCCGTTGCACCCATGGTCTTTGAAATATGCTGAAGAATTTGGCATTGATACGAGTACGACTACAATATGGAGACCTACCCAGGAAGAAATGGCAAAAATATTCAGAAAAGCTCGATTGATTGCAATCATTGTAGGATTGGTCCTGACAGTTGGGCTAGTTATTATCTGGCCCTCATCCATGATGAGCCTCGTTGTCCTCTCTGAAACACAGTTCAGAATGTGGACGCAATTCTCCCAGGTGTGGGCGTTCACCGCTGCTGTTTTCATCGTCACTGTACCATTCGTCCAGGAAATATATGGTATCATAAAACAGGTGAAACAGAACAGAGAAAATGCACAGGAATCTTCTAATGGTGAGGACGCTCATACAGTAAAAAGCAACGGGGCTTATGTGCACGATCAGGAGCAGGCAATCAGAAAGAGAAGTGAACAAGTGGAACATCACACAGCATTGTAGATACTTATAATAGGTCTAGCCAAACACTCATATTTGGTCATTTTGATTGCATGCTCGGTCACATCTGTTCGAAAAATCTAATCGGAACTATTTGGTTGCTTATTCTATACCCGTTTGTACAGGACACTTTCAATGGTAATTCCATAATTCGTTTGAACAATGCATTTGTGAAATACTCAGCCCATGCAGTTTGAACAGTTGTGGCTGGCACTACTCGATAATCTAGAACTTTTTTTATTTCTGGATTAATATCACCGCTTGTTATTACCTAATGTTTAGGTATGTATATACACAATAAACAACGTTAAGAAAATTCAAAATTATTGACTTCAGGTATGTTTTGCATGTCCAAATTTTTGTCATGTGTCATATTTAAGCACGTGACCAATCAATTGTACAATGCCTTAGCAACGGTTTGTCTAGCTTCGAGAATTTGGATGAGTTCGGCAGAGCAAATTCAAAGTCTAGGATAAGTTTTTTCAAAAAATCTCTTTCTCCATGTTCTCTCCTTACCATAAGTATAAATTGTCTGATTGTGGAGGTAGAGAATGTAAGAATTGAAAACACCGGATAGTTGTGAGTTTGTTAGCGTATTACAATAACCATTCTCGTTGCAAATGTTTTTAGCAGAGTTCAGAAAAAATCGTCCGATGTGCTCAAAGATCATTTTAGAATATTTATCTGGGGTCTGAGTGAGCAACCAGGTGTGAAAGAAATTATGGTCCCCTGGGGATTATGGTCCCCTTTCTAAACGGCCCTTATTGGCCCTGATTGTGTATAAGATAATAAGGGAAAGGGTTGTATTTAGGTCACCATATAAATCAATAGAGAGTAGGACCAAAATTTGATAGGACCACCTACCCTTTTACACCTGTGTAAAAGAAATTATGGTCCAACAGGGATTATGGTCCCCCCTTTTAAAAGCATACGTCTTCATTTCATTTGGTGAAAGGATGGCAAAGTTGATGAAGCAGGGATAAACGCACAATGTCTTATTTGAACTGAATTTCATACAACTAAGATTTACCAACAAGAGTCCAGTCTCGTAATTTTGATAACGTACTTAAAAGCAAAGATAATTAAAGAAATTCCAACAAAGAAAATCATTTGGCAATATGAAGTTATGAAGAATTTAAGCAAGGGGCTATTTTCAAGAATTATTTTTGAATATTTTTTTGAGAAATTTCTTCACAGCATACACATTTATTTCATATTACTAGATAGCAACACGATAGAATGAACTGTAGTTTATTTAAGAATCTACTGTTGTATCAAAAGAAGAGTATATTCTTTTTCTATTGATTCTAATGGATGAACACTTGGCAAGCTATCAAAGACGATTGACAGGCCGTGTCCATAGTTTTCATTATTCATATGCAATACACAAATGTACATGTACTCTTCTTTATTCTCTTTATAATAAAACAATTCATCATTTTGTGTAGCTATCTACAGTATTGATCTAAGCTTACTTACAAATTCTGCTCCATTCATGCTCAATGTTTACACTTTGACTGCCACATGCAATGCACTGAAGCTGGACTAATTACAGCCTATTCACTCACTCAGCAGTTGAACAGCAAATAAAAAGAAACAGTTTACACTGTACCTGGCCCTATTACATGCAGTGCACGGAAGCTGCACTAATTATACCCCACCTACGCATTTATTATACCCCACCTACACATGTATCAACTCACTTAAAGATATCAACTTTTCCAGATCGGATTATTTATCATTCATAAGAGTCAGTATGGGGTTTGCGTTAGATGAACGATTCGTCCTGGGTCTTAGGAAAAAATTATGGTCTCGGGCCTATCGGCCCTTGGTCATTTTTCCTAATAGTCACGACACATGTTTATCCATTACCGAAATCTATTGCAATGCTAGATAAACCAAAGTAATGTTGTATATTCATCCGCCATTCATAAGCTGGTAAAACCACACTTGTTGGTGTTAAACTATTTAAAAAGTGTGGTCCTCAACTTGAAGTATAAAACCTTTATGGAGAGTCGTTGAATTGTTTAGTTAGCATTACTAAAGGTGTTATCATTCGGTGAAGTATACTCGAAACCACCGACACTGACTTAAACTTAATACTTTACTCATTGGTGAAAAAGGCTGTTGTACCATCCTACGACTATTCAATTTGTACTGTGTCCAAGATTATTCAACAATGAATCTTGCATTGACTCTGTTTGTATGTGTCCTTCAAGGGATATGTGGACAGGAGACTACAACAGATCCAGTGACGACTGGAGGGGCAAATATAACGAGGTATTATTAATAATTTATAGTTTTTATCTTGGGATATAAAATGTCGTGTTGAAATCATATTTTGATGTTATTATGACATGTATGATGAAGATGTAGAAAATGTCCGTGCTGAAACCATGGCAGACATCGTCGTTTACAGCGGTGTAACCGTTGCAATGAGTGTTTGATTGGATTGATCATTTACAACGCCAATTTCAATTCACAATGTGAGACTTGCTCAGTAGAACTTGAGAAGTTGAGAACCTAACTTGATTTTAATATCCCAACCTCGTAAATTACATCTATCACTTTTTTCAGTCTGGGTGTCCAACCCTCAATAAAGCTTGGATATGCTCTGCTGCTCATCCTCGGCTTTGGCGTGTTCTCTGTGGTTGTTGCTATCGCTTTCAATCTTGTAAGAAAGAAAGTGTACCACGACTCTGATAATGTTGACACAGCGTTTGATGCTGGTGGAAATGTATCAATTGGTCTCACTGCTACCACAATTGTTTCCCAATGGACTTGGTCGGCTACTTTGTTACAGTCCTCTACGGTAGCAAGCAAGGTAATACTATAGATGCCTGTTAATGACCCATATCGAGTCAGCTTACGATCCTCAGAAAGTAAATGGTACAGAGGAATTGCGTATGAGTGACTTGTAATTGACCTAAAAACTTAGCGTTCTTTCAGTATGGTATAAGCGGGCCTTTCTGGTACGGGGCAGGGGCGACAATACAGATCTTAATGTTTGCAACGTTGTCAATCCAACTAAAGACAAAGGCCCCAGGTGCAAAAACGTTTTTACAGGTAAGAAGTCACTATAATCTTTGCTGCAATGGAATGATTTTACACAGTAATTAATTTATCCGTTTGCCCCTTTTGTGCCGAAATGGTATTCCAGACTGATTCGGGAACTACGTATTTTTTCATTCAATAGTACCGTTGTGGAAATAATGTGTTTCATATCAATCTATAAATCAATATTCTGGACTTATGCTCAAGTCACATTGTATTGTATTGTATGAAATGTAACGATATTTTACTTGAACTGCGTTCTATCTTGTCCAGTCGGACACTAAACGCAGCAGAAATTGATCATTTCATCAATAGAATAGTAGAGAGTTTAATTTTATCATCAAATGCTCATATACCAAAGAGGAAATTCCTGAAATATGTTAAGCCCTTTGGGAACTCCACTTTGACGTCATTGGCTAAAGATAAAAAGGCAAAGTGGCATAAATGGGTGTCTCAGGGTAGATCACGTGACCCTTCAAATGATGTTAGAAAACAATATAAAGAGTCAAAGAAAATATTTTCAAAAACCTATCAAGCTGCACAACTTGAGTATGAAAGAGAGGAATTAGAAAAATTGTATACATCAGAACAGTCAGATCAACGTTTTTACTGGTATCTGGTCAATAAACATAGAAGATCATCAAAGAAATCTGTTAATCCAGTACTTGCCGACGACGGCCATTTAATAACAGATGCTAATGAAATCAGAGAACAGTGGAAGTGCCATTTCGAAACACTAGCAACCCCTTTAAACAAACCGACGTTTGATAGTCATTTTAAATACGAAATTGAAAACAAGGTCCAATCAATTTTTAACAGTATATCGAATGATAGCACTATTTTTAAAATTACTCCTGACATGGTTCATAGTGCAATAAAAGCTCTCCATTCAAAGCGTGCATGTGGTTATGATCAGATCAGCGCAGAACATCTAAAATATGACGGGGATTCCATGGTCCAAACAATTTCAATCATCTATAATATTATACTTCAGTCAGTCTACATTCCATGTAACTTCTGTATCGCCACAATGATTCCTATTGTTAAAAACGGCAAAGATCCACTTGTAAAAGACAACTCAAGAGGTATTACGCTCATGACAATGCTTCGTAAATTATTTGACAACATTATTTTAACTCATGTAAAAGCACCCGTTCTAAATGCTATCCCTAAATTACAAGGGGCAGCTGTCGACAAATGTTCATCAATCCATACATCATTACTTGTACAAGAAACTATTTCTGAAAATGTAGAACAAGGTAAAATGGTAGTTTTAACAGTAACAGACATCCGAAAAGCTTTTGATTCTGTATGGATAGATGGCCTACTTTTTAAACTTCACAACTGTGGTATTGGCGGTAAGATATGGAAAATTTTGTATATGCTATATAAGCGGTATAGTTGCTCGGTTTTAGTAGGAGGAAAATGCTCTGACTTATTTCCAATATTACAAGGTGTCCATCAAGGCGGTGTCCTGTCCATGCTATTTTACCAACTTTATATGGCAGATATAATTGACTCCATGATTAAGCTAAACAAGGGATCAACCATAGGTTCGTTAAGTTGCGTTAGTCCTTCATATGCCGATGACATGTGCATCTTGTCGAATTCTTTTGAAAACATGCAAGTGCTACTTGATCTACTTTATGCTCATAGTAATCAGTGGAGATATGAAGTTCATCCCGATAAGTGTTCGTTTCTCGTCTTTAATAGTAAAATCGAGCTAGGTGCAACTCAAAAACTTAATATCGGAGGTAAATCAATTGCAAAATCTGACTATGTGAAGCATGTTGGAATCCCAATTTCAACAAATAATGATATTTCTGATTATGTACAGGATAAATGTAAGAAGGGCAAATCGCAGTACAATGCTCTGCTCGGTATAGGTAGTGGCTGCGGAGGCCTAATTCCAACATCTGCATGTCAAATATACAAAACATATTCCATACCTACAATGACATACGGTGCCCATATTATCAACTATCAACAGAATGATATAGTTGTTCTAGAAAAGACACAACGAGAAATAGGACGGAGAATTCAATCTCTGCCTCACTCAGCTAGTATTCCCATCTCAACTTTGCCCCTGGGCCTAATGGACGTTGAATTTTATATTGACTTTTTAAGAATGATGTTTCTCTGGAGTTTATTGCAACTCCCGAGCGCAAATATATATAAATGTCTTTTCACAATGAGATTTGTAAAAATGCTGCATATTAACAATGAATGTAATACCTTCTCTCCAATAAAATGCATGTTACTGACATCAAAAAGGTATGATTTACATAACCATGTTCTAAATATGGTAGACTGTAAAATGTTCATCCCCAAAAATAGGTGGAAGAATATTGTGTATAGAAAAATTGCAGCCGTTCAGATGCAAAGGACATTTTTCCAATCGCTAATGTACAAAGGCCTAAACTATTTTAGAATGGGTAACTTTGAAATTCTGAGGCCATTAATATGGTGGAGAGTCGCAAGACTGTTCCCTTTTGCTTTAAGTAGTTGTAAAATAATGGTGAAACTGCTAGCAGATGAACATGCGCTTAGATCAAAATATAGAGGTTCCGAAGATAAATCAGTTATATGCTCAATGTGCAGCACTTATGAAAAAGAAGACGTGGAGCATTTCTTACTTAAATGCCCAGCAAATATATATATTATATTTAGAGAACAACTTAGTAATCATTGCTGCGAATGGGGTATCCAAATGAACACTAAAAACATTCTTGGCATAGGAATTGAAGAGTTGCACTTTACAAACGAACAACTACTTGTATTTTTAAAAGATATGGCACATATAGTTATGCAACAATATTTGTGTCGTCAACGGTACTTGACAAGTTTACAAACTTAATGTAACTTTATCAGCGTGAAAGGGTGGCCCTCAAGGGAGGAACATGGGCCGACCAGGGATTTTCCCTTAATTAACGGTAATATGCAATATGTATTTATTCTGAGTGTACAGACCTTGGGGAAGGTACAATAATAAGCAATGCTTCATGTTGTTGTTTTTTTTCTGTTTTTTTTTTCCTTGATTGGTAGTTGCAACGTCAACGCGGCAGCCTGACGTATTTGCAACAAACGATTATATCTCTTAAGCAGCCTATACATTTTAGTTTTACTTGCATATTTGTATTTATATTTATGTACATTTACTATACACACTAATTTAGAATTGCACCATAGGGCAACACCACCTTTCTTCAATTTACAAAAAATTGTATATTTCTTTTACTAGCTTACAAGATATTGAAAGCATCTCATACTTTCATACTGTACTGCAGTACCGACCTTGGGGAAGGTACGATGATACGCTATGTCTTCCTTTTAATTTTTATAGAAAACGCAGATCCATAATGTCATTTTTTATTAATCTTAAGAGTGTTAGGTAACAGGTCTATCTAGGCTTACGGCGTGCGTCTACGCGGTAGCTAGGCGTCGTCGTCAGTACAAAAGCAACAACAAAACAATGAATGTTTGTAAAATATAGTCATTTTTTATAATTGCGTTACAATTAGGTGCTAGGCCAATCTTGGTCGGCGGCGTGCGTCTACGCGGTAGCTAGGCGTCGTTGTCAGTCAAAACAACAGCAATATTGTTTGTTTGTAAATAGTGATTATTTTCAATTTAACATTTACATAATTTGTATACATGTATCTCCTTTATATAAAGGGCAATAAATATATACATACATACATACATAAGTTATGCGATTACTATCTAGTACTGAATAAAGAACAAAATAGTGTGGTGACGATTTTTTATCTTGAGTGTTTTAGCATTCTATAGCTCAGAGTTCAAGTTTCAATTTATGTGAATATTAAACAGTTAAGGTTTTGTCAATGTGAATTGGAATACTGTATTGCATAAGTGCTCATCAAAATTGATTAGAAGTGACTTATGAGCTGAGGTGGTCGTAATTTGGGACGTATTCATATCCTTGTCATTGTTTTTACGTATAGGTGATCAGGGCAAGGTTTGGCAAGAATGCACATATTGTGTTCTGTGTGTTTGCCTGCGTCACCAACCTTGTTGTGATGGTCTCTTTATTACTAGCTGGGACTTCGGTGATGACCAGCCTTGTCGAGGGCCTCTCCTTAGAGCTAGCCTGTCTGATAATGGCTGCAGTTATGGGGTCTTATACGCTCATTGGCGGCCTGGGAGCAACGTTCTACGTGTCATACTTCAACACTAGTCTCATATTTAGCATGATTATATTGTTGGTCATAGAGGTGTACTATAACCCCAGTGGAAGAGCAAGTAACCCGCTTGGAAGTCCTGATGTGATTTACCATTATCTTAATCAAACTAAAGGACCAGATGGGAACGCTGAAAACAGCTACTTAACATTTCTCTCATCTGGTGGGGCCATGTTCGGAGTTATCAACATCATTGGGAATTTCGGGACTGTGTTTTGTGATCAGAGTTACTGGCAGAGCAGGGTGGCCGCTAAGCCTGTCCAGGGAGTCTGGGGTTTCATTGCTGGGGGTTTAACGTGGTTCGCCATCCCCTTCACATTAGCTACGACAATGGGACTATCATACCTCGCCCTGGGGACCCTGCGTGGGGCACCCCTACTATCACCTGCTGATGTAGATAAAGGTACAATATTTAGGTTTTTTGGGTCAATATTCCAGCCCTTACATATGTAACTAGTATATTCTTTTCACATTGCATCTCATCGTTTACTGCATGTTTTCCCGTCTCTCTGTTTATAGATTTGTCCGTTTGTTTGTTCGTTTGATTGCTTGCTATAACAAAGTGAAGCATTGATTGTGATTTATAACCTGAGGAATCCTTTCAACCAAGTTAGCATTTATGATGTCAAAACCTCTCTAAGGTAAAACTCTTTTTGTGGATTGATATTTTAGGTCTGGTCCCACCCGTTGTGGCACAGGTTTTGTTGCAAGAGTCTGGGGAGTACGTGCTTCTTCTACTAATCCTAATGGCGGTCATGTCAACTGGGTCAGCAGAGGTCATTGCTGTCGCCTCCATCATTGTATATGACATATACCAGATATATGGCCTTCCATTTAGGTAACTAAGCTTGTATTCGCGAATGCAACTAACGCCTGACGGCTACCGGACTAACCTACGATTTCATAACCAACTCATTTAAATATGAATGGAATAGTGGCAGGTACGATTCATATTTAAATGAGATGCCCATAAAATAATAGGTTAATCCGGTAGCCGACGGGCGTTAGTTGCATTTGCTTAGACAATATTCATACAATCAGTATCTATAAAATTTATTTCACACAAAGCTAGGCCTAGACGTTTTATATTATTTCCTGGCCAATCAAAAATAGCCATTCAAAGTTTTGCAACATATATACATGATAAATGAAAATTGATTTAGTTGTAAAGACATTGTTCGACAATATTTCTGTGTGAAAAGCACAGAACTGGATGAATTGTAAATGATCGAATGCACTTTTTTGTGCCAAAGTCTATATCTTGATCTAACAGCCTTGGTAAAATGCTCTCATACAATCATTCGTTTTTACCAATAATCCATCGTGTTCTTAACTAAATAACTAAAACGTATGCGCAACCGCATCTTGTTTTTGAACTGCTATATACATAAACATACAGCGGGGTTATGCACTGGGAGGTATTGAATACAGGGAATATCCCGAGGGATATACAATACATCTTCCCTCGGTCCCTCGGGAAGATATATTGTATATCCCGAGGGATATTCCCTGTATCCAAACCGACCGTGCATAACTGGTATCTCATACTTGAGTGGGTTTAGGGTAGATATAACCTTTTCCACCTTTTTCAAATGACAAGATATTAGTATTTAACATTTTCGTAATATTCTTTTTGTTCAATACAATAAAATTGTAACATTTAAACTTAAAAAAAAAATTCCCGGGAGCGGGATGGATATATTATATCTGCCCGCATTTGGCCTGGAGCGGGACATATACAATATATCCTGCCCGCTCCTCAGATACGATATATATTCCTGGGTGATATCTACCCCAAACCCACTCAAGTATGAGATACACATAATTACGCATAAATCTGGTGAATTCATTACATTAGTTTAGATACGTTGAGGTAAAAACGGCGTTGTGCAAAACCTCTCTAATATCAAAATAAGCCCTATTCCTATTCAAAGATGTCAGCATGGCTTTATTGAAAGGAGAAGTTACACGTTTTTAAGAGAATCTGTACGTGGGCGAGTGATATTTATTGTTCCGCGCTCAATTCACTATTGCAGGGACCGAATTACATTAATTTTCCGTATACATGATAATCAATCGGCCAAGTAAACATTACAAATGAGAGAACTAGTCCAAAGAGGACCATAATTCAACACGTTCACGTAAGTTTTTTAAAAACGTGTATCTTAACCTCCCTTATTTATCTGCAGACGAAACTTTAAAGATGGAAATTGTATTCTCTGTAACAAGACCTTGCGTAAAATGGATGCAGAACAGCAACCATATTACAATGGAAAAGTTGATACCAGCACTACAGAACTCTTCACAATGCAAAAGTACGTATGCGTAGAAGATATTGAGAAAGATATGTGCGTTTGCCTATCTGCATACGGATGCCCAGATTGTGCAGCCGATCGCGCAAGACGGCAGGAATTTAGTGATACGAATACTGAAGAACCATACCACTGTCCGACTCATGGCAAATACAGGCAATACCAGGACAGCTTAATGCGTATAAAGAGTTGGATTATTCTATGGTTCACAATGTTAACAATACCACTGATATTATTTGTCGTTGGGGTTGGGCTGAATTTGACCTGGGTGTTCCTGTTTACCGGCGTCCTTATTGGATGTACTGTTATTCCGATCGCTCTCTCTGTTATCTGGTCTAGAGTGACGTCAGTGGCAATGATAGCAGGTAAAACTATGCACTTTATTTTAAAACGAATTTCATAAATATGGAAGAACTCGTATAATATCTTACATCTCGGTGAGAGTATACCTGGCAAATGAGTCAAATATGATATCCTTTAAAATACAGTAATTAGATCGCTTCTAGTTCTATTTAGTAATGAAATATCAATATTGTTGGCCACTTCTTCATTTCTGTTATTTGTCTAGGTGTTATTTCGGGGTGTGTGTCGGGGTTAACAGCATGGTTGATTATGGCATCAACGTACGAAGGCGGTCTTGGAGATTTCTTGAAGAACACTGGAAGAGAACTCGTCATGTTTGTCGGCAACTGCTGTTCCATTGGCGTCGGCGGTATCGTCTGCATTGTTGTTTCTCTCGTCACAGGCAAAATCAAGTCTGATAAAGCTTACGAAGAATGGGAAAAGACGAGAAATATAGAAAACCCGTTGCACCCATGGTCTTTGAAATATGCTGAAGAATTTGGCATTGATATGAACATCGCCTTCTGGAGACCTACCCAAGAAAATATGTCAAAAATATTCAAAAGAGCGCGATTGGTAGCAATCATTGTCGGATTAGTTCTTGCTGTTGGGCTAGTTATTATATGGCCCTTAGCAATGATGAGTATTGGTGTTCTCTCTCAAACACAGTTCAGAATGTGGACGCAATTCTCCCAGGTGTGGGCGTTCACTGTTGGCACTTTCATTGTCATCGTACCACTTGTACAAGAAATATATGGTATAATAAAGCAAGTGAAACAAAACAGGAAAGATACAAAAGAACCTTCTCGTGAAGACTCACATGGTGTAAACAGTAATGGAACTTATACACATGAGCAAGTACTTAGAAAGAGGCACACACATGAACCAGTGGAGCATACGACTTTGTAGACAATTGATTGATAAGATGGCCTTGACCTAAAGTTATACATTGAAAGCCTTAACATTGAATTGTTTGTGTGACACAATCACTTTGTGACTTAGAGATGACACAGATTGTTTTACGGAGCTGTATACATTATAGGCATTTAGATGACCTTTCCCTATAAAAGATTTTACATTCCGTTACCCTTTTAGCCATTGCTAAATCAATGTGTCGCATTTACATGTTCAATTCACTGCGGCATTTGACATACTCTCCGCAGATAAGTATGGCATATTCATATAATGTATGGCATATTCCGCGTAACATTCCGTCCAAAAATGGCTTTGATTACAAAATTAATCTTATAGGCCTAGCTTGTCAAGATTATAGATTTCCTAAGAGATAAAACAATGTTTTATTGTTAGATGGCAGCATTATATCTCACAAGAAACACTGTTAACAAATTCAATGGAGAGTCTTCAATACTACAATATGTTAACAAACCACTAAAGAATATCACTTTTATTCCAAGTGTAATTTGGAAGAAACTGTTTTAATAGCTAGACCATTTACTAATTTATCCATTGTTCGATGTGGAATGTAAAAAAACATTACCTTTTTCTTTTGATCATAATACCACATCCATATACAAGGGTCGATCATACAAATTGGTTTATTTGAAGTGACACGGGGGACCGTTCTTGGAACGTAAGTTACGACAGTCGTACGATTGTACCAAGAACGGCCCCTGAGTCAATTTTGAGTTAGGTGGAGCAGCGTTATTTAAAAAAAATCGTAGCAGAGACTTAGACTAGTTCCATATAAAAAAGACTGATTCATTTTATCTCCGTTTTCTATATGGATTATTACGTCGGCTTTGCAGATGCATGCTGACCCATTGATACGCTTATGGACTTCGAGGCAGGATTTTGTCTGTCCCTCCCACATCATTTAAGACTGACACCTCCACTGTAACTTGTATGAATACTACATATAGATATTGTTTCTTTTCACGTAAGATTATGGTTTGGGATAGCTTGGGTATACTTGTGTTTTGCTGTGTTCTGTAACAATTTTGGTCCTTTTCCTTTGGCAAAAAAAGGTTGATGTTATTGCCTAGAGTAGTATAACTGGCTATATATTCATAAACGCAATCTGAAAGATTTGATCTATATGATTTCTTGGTTGCTTTGAAATATATCATTGTATAATAAGACTATATAAACTCACGATGGAAATTCTGGGGTTAAAAAAGTCAGTGGTTTTTAATTTTCAATTTTGAAGAATATACCTACACTCCCCTCCATATAAGTTTGGTAGCCTTTTCCCCCATAGGCGCATGTATTAAGCTACTCCATGTTTGTATTTTTAACCTGCACTGATAATGAAGCTGATGTTATTTGGCTTTATTTCTTACCCTTGAGAAATTTCTTTTGAATTTCGAATGGAGTACGAAAAGAGATAATAAAATAATTTGGACTTTGAGACAGGGAATGTACAAACAACCCGCCTACATGTTTTTTCGGAAATGTTGTCCTGATTTTTAACCCCTTTCACCCCTACTTTTTCAATTTTTGTTGCATCAATATGTTGTGTTTTGAGACACAGTTAACCCCTTAAAAGGAATAATGCATTCCTTTAGATAAAATGGAAAACAATATTTTCCATGTTATTTTCCCATTATTTTCAGCTTATTTTAGTCACCCATAATTGATATCTTTCTAACCCCTGAAGGAATGCATTATACCTTTAAGGGAGTACTTTTCCTGGGGGAAATGCATTGGCCTAACATATGCACCTGTTCAAATCCTCAGAAAATAGGCAAAATCAAACATATGACTGTCCGAAATCTATTGCGATACGTTCCGTCCTCCTTTGATGACCTAGGGAAATTTTTGAAAACGGCATTCCAAAGTAAACCAATGGGAAATACCATAATGTAACAAGCCTATGGGGATAAAAGGCTGCCAAACATTTGGAGAGGAGTGTATATTCCAATGTTTGATAAAAGTTAGTTTAAGTAATTATAAATATACTCTTGGCGCCTACTCATCAAATACGTATGTCATATTCCAATGTTTTACTATTACGAATCCAATGGTTCGCTTCATTTTTGAGTTTGTGGAGATGTCACACTGAACATCCAAACCCAACCCTAAAATTACATAATTTATTTATATCAGAAACCAATTACATATAACCATCAATTTTTCAACTCAAGTGTTAAAATTAATTGTTAATTAATAATGACTAATTACATACTTAATCACTTTCATGAAATATGTGAACATCGATGAACTTCAAAGAATTCTACATTTCAATGCCATTTATTCAATTTTAAGATAGTGCCATTTGATTACTTCTCTTACATCATAACTATTAGGAATTTTTCTGGTATATGATCGCGAATATAGGCCATTGCCATTCTGAGTCCTGAACTAATAAGTTCCACCTTGAGTGTTGTGGTATCGGGTATATCTTGTCGTTCTTATCGCAGAACATTGTATGAAACATACTTGAAACCACAAATTGACAATGTGTACATTGGCGCAGATAAAAATTTCTAAGACATGTGTAATTATAAATAGAGAAATTAAATTGAAACTTGAATATGGACTCACTTCACACCTTTCTCTCATTGACCCTCAATGAGGTCTCAATACCCACTTCTGATCCTCGAATACACCAAGATGTCTTACTGGTATATTCAACTGAGTTGTTAAGAATCACTATTGTAGACATTTTGAGACTGAAGAGCAATTCTATTTGACGTTTATTTTCATTTATCTTTGTCGTAGTCAACATACACTGCGTAAATGTTAGTTATCCATACATTCAAAACATGTGAACGCTTTAATCTTGTTATTACTATTTGAACAAAGGAGATAAGAATGAGGTTATATCTTTTTACCAAATAATAGCCTACAGCTAGGTCCAGTCAGAATTATAGCAATCCAACAACAGACAACCTCATCTGAAAGTTATTTTTTCATCGTGTATGGACACTAAACTGGATCAATCCGCAATGACACTAAACTAGTTCAATATGGTTCAAATCGATATGACGTTGAACGAGTTCATTTCTTTATGACATGGTTCAAACCGATATTACGTTAAACGAGTTCAATTCGATATGACTTGGTTCAAACCGATATGACGTTAAACTAGTTCAATTCTTTATGACATGGTTCAAACCGATATGACGTTAAACGAGTTCAATTTGATATGACTTGGTTCAAACCGATATGACGTTAAACTAGTTCAATTCTTTATGACTTGGTTCAAACCGATATGACGTTAAACTAGCTCAATTCGATATGACACTGAGCTAGTTCAACATCGAAATGACTGTTAATTTCGCAATCATTATAGTTTGCATTTGCCGGTGGAATTTATAACTATATAAGAGAAATCTGTCCATATAGGTTCTTCCGCATGAGATAAGGTTTACACGTGCAATGTGCGTAACTAGACACCGTTTCAACCAATGATAAAGAAGCACAAGAAGGCCGGATAAATTAGACACATATCATATGTGGGATTAGTTGGATTTGGAATTAAATATGATGACGGCGATTCTGTATCGGATTTCATTCCTGGTGCTTCTATTTGAACTAAGAGGTAAGCAAAATGAGTTGCCTTTCGTATTTCTTTCTTGAACACAATTTAAAAAGTGACAGTCGAACTGTATTGTGGACACCATTCTCTCAAAAGGAAAAAGTCTATGAAGCCTCGACCAGCATAACTGGTGAACCCGAATTCCCAACAGAAAAGGAGACAACGTTGAAGCTTTCATTTTTCAAAATGAATCACCAATTGAAGACGTTAATCGTCAAAAGAAAAATTAATAAATGTTATATTTAGTGTAACTATCTTGAAGTGTAACTTGGGTCGAATCTCAACCCATATTATGAAAGCATTAGACCGGAATAGCAAATATTTTCACGTTCCACTACGTAACGTTTTCAATGTACCTTTTTATTTTTCATAAATATTTTGATATTAAAAAATACATTTTGAAATCACAAAGTTCAATTTTGTTTTTATTAAAGTTTTTAGATTTTAGATTAGGTAATTGTGAAAGTTTGTTGAGATCGAGAAAAACAAAAAAATCTTTTTTCAAATTTGCAAAAATGTATCTTTTAAAGCTTCGTACACAACTTATACATACACATTGTAAGGCTACAAATCATATTTCGCTTAGTTGCATCTATTGCTTATAAAGTATTTCAAATAATTACAATGGAACTGACTGGTGTACATTAAATAAACGAGACCTGCATTAATTTGCTTCATTTACTAGTACAGGACTTTCAAATGAAAATTTATGAAATGCCAGCGACGAGAAAAAAATTATTTCAATTTTTCATGAAATTCATCTTTTGGTAAAAATATTGACAGGTCAATTTATCGCTAAGTACACTTATCGACCAGTAGTATAACTTCAAACAACCCAAAGATTCGCAAAATTTTGTATTTTTGCAAATAATAGCACTACCCATCCCATGATTTTTGGCTGATTTTTAGACCATAGTATTTGATGGCCGTCGCATCACTAGCACAACCATTAAATCTCGACTTACATCGTATTCATGAAAAATAGTCATTATTGGGTTAGCATCGTTACTTGTAGTGAGGTTAGCCTGATATGTATTTATTATGAGAGGAAGACATCCCCGTAATATTTTCAGTCATACACACTTATGCAACATGAGATGGGAAACTATCTCTATAAAAGTACAAATATACCATCGTCTAACTAGGCATACACCCCCCCCCCCCCAAAGAAATATGCTTGGCAACTGAAAGTCCCCGTTAAAAAAAGAAAATGTCAATCACTATCAAACCTAAACGGATCGTTGTTAGAGATTTATTTAAAACGAGTCGAGGGGTCAAGGGGATGACGTGACCACTGAAGACTGAAGAGTCAAATCGGTGTATCGCCCGGGTTATTCGGAACAACTCCCCTGATAAGGAGTAAAATTAGTTGAATTTCTCTGATAAAAATAGATTCCTTTGACAATTTAAGTAAGCAATACTTGAGACCACGTAGACAGTGTAAAGACATTTGCTTTCATAAAACGATGTTAACATTTCAAAATCCACTTGACTCTCTAATTGGTTGTGAACAAACCACAAAGACAAAATACAAACTTGGCAAACTTTCAAATCAAGATCGTAGAAACAGTATATGAAATATATTCCAGACTTTCTATGAATGTGAAAATAATGGATTCTTTGTAAAATGTGACAATTAACTTATCATTGCTCTGGGCTTTTCAAACTTATAACAATCTTTGTTTCGATGTTGCTTTTTCCTGTTTGAATAAAACCAAGGGATTTCTTGACTGTCAATGATAAAACCGACTTGGATGTTTGTTGTTTGGCCTTTTGTATTTTCAAGTACCGGTGTAAAAGAAATGATGGTCCCCCAGGGATTATGGTCCCCTTTCTTAACGGCCCTTACTGGCCCTGATTGCGTATAAGATAATGAGGGAAAGAGTTGTATTTAGGTCACCATATAAATCAATGGAGAGTAGAACCATAATTTGATAGGACCTCCTACCCTTTTACACCTGTATCTATTTTGGTTGTTGGTTCGAGAGCTCCTCTCCTATCTTGTAGGCGAAACTCTGTACAACGAACGAAATAACGAAATTTGAACCCATGAGTCCCAAAAGGGTAAGGCCAAATTCAAGCTAAACGCTTCCAAAGTGTTTATTTATCTTATAGAATGTGCCAGAACCAAGAGACAATCGTCACTAAGAGTTATCCGCAATACGACTATTCCCTGCGTCCAAGCCGAGGCTATGGGCCTTAGCATCAAACGGGAGTTAACAGATGTGGAAAAGATGGCTATTTTCCGAAGGAAAGGCGGTTACATTAACCCAGATTATGTGTCGGTGGACGAAAATGGATCGAATGAGTTCAAAGATTTGGTAATGATGTCCGAACGATACAAGGTACCTGGTCGTTTCTTCACTGTTTCAATATTCAAATATCAAGAAGTCCAAAACTTCAAAATTTGTTATATGATATTTCAATATCCGTTTTAAATAACAGTTTGTGGAACCTGTACTAATTTATTTCAATTCTCAATGGTGAAAGTCTTTTATCAACAATTATATCTGCTTTTCAGGAGGAAATCAAGCTTTCAAGGAAATTCGACGTTCTCAGAGACAACCTGAAATTGAAGGATGTTCTCATAACAGACATACAAGAATTTTTTACTGAGTTACAGAATGTGACAAACTTACTCCCAACGAATCTTTTCCAATTGATAGAAAACAAACTGGGAATGGCGAAAGAAGTCATACAGAGTATTTTAGAGTTGGAAAAATTTGCCACTAGCCCTAACAACACGGAGTTGACTGAAGCCAGGGAGAAGTTCCTCGAGTATCTCATAGAGACTCTATCTGTAGGCAGTGATTATGTTAGTCCATTAGACGCCGGGCTTGGGCAAACTTCATACACATCGCCGACTGGTTAGTAATTCACCTCCAGAAAAAGGTGTGCATTTTAGGTTGTAAGGACTGAAACATTGTTTGAGATGATTTGGTTGCAACAAATGAAACAACGTTTGGACTGTTTTTATTTGGACCATCACTTAGAATAGTTTTATTTCAACTACTTGTAAGTGCTAGTTCTGTGAGAGTTTGGATATCGCTATCAGTTGAAGGTAATCGTTATCTGAAAGATGAACTTTACATATGAGATCGTCCATATGAGTGAACGTCCACCTTTCAAGATTTTTTACCGAATAATCAAAAAAAATTACTTTTTAAAGTGGGCTGACTGGCAAACATTTTGAAAATGGACTTTCTTTTTTCAGTTCTTTTAAACGTTTTTTCTGCAGTCATAAATAATAATTCCAATCAGCTATTACATATTTTCATAAACTTCATTTCATTCACTCGCGAATCGTATGCTTTTAATATTTTGCTTTACAATATCAATTTACACACTGGTACTCCGTTTACTTTGTTTTCGATACATCATCGAAAAAAATAGTTTTCTAATGTTTACTTAAATTTTAGGTGACGTTACGAACATAGAGTACTGCCTCCCGAGGGGCTCGGAGACTGAAGATGGCTTCTTGCATCTCTGCACAACATGTTCTGCTACAACGATACTGTCCGAAGATAAGTTTCCTCGATACATCAATGAAGCTGTGTGTTCTAACTACGACCGGGAATGTATGTCAGCTGTAGATACAAGTAAATATTTTGAACATTTCCATTAAAGCGCACATCCCATGCAGAAATATAGATCCCTTAAAGGTCCCATATAAAGTTAAAACCACTTTGCCTTATGTTGTTGCCTTATCCAATGTTATCAAAATGTGGAACCTTTTGCTTTTAATTTCAAAATGTTGTTTTTGCGGGTTTTGAAGAATGTTTTGTTCGAAAAAGTGTGAACTTATGTTGCATATGTACAAAACATGATATACACTTCTTTTCAACTCATCCTGGCCATTTATATTGTTTAATTTTGAAAGTTGAGCATATTTAGAAATGATTTAGAGGAAAATCATTAATAACATCATTCACGGCGTGATCTGATGACATCACTTTGAAATGCTATTACATTAAATTGTTGAAATGACTTTTACAATCTTTTACTTCATATACTTAGATATCATTTAAAAGTTATTTATTTCTGAACGTATTGTGGAAATTCCATTACTTTATTTCAGCCCTTTTGTTTATAAATTTGAACAATAATCACGTGTGTTATTAATAGTTTTCAGGATTAAGAAATGCATCTCCGGCCCACATACATTTATTATCATTAACATATATCTCAGGCAAATACCTGTTTGTATGTTTCAGGTCACGGCATGTGTAAGCAGAAGGTGTTCAGTTTGAATTTACTCCAGAAACAAAGTGGAATGTGTATTTTAGCAACGGCTCAAGGTCAGACAGTGCTCGTAGACGAGTGGGCGCTTTATACCCAACCTATCCGAGTCTGTTGCGAGTGCACCATCGACAGGCGATCATTTTTCGCCCGTTATGTCCCACCGAGTACGGAACCATCTCCCAGTACCGACGAAGCTAAGGGTGCTCCGAAAAACCCTAGTCCAAAAGACGGATTATAGTCGAAGATCGGATGTATTCACTGAAGTTAATAAGTGAGGATCTGAGTTGTAAAGTGCATCAGAAAGCTAGGCTTCCCACTGGTGTATAATTAAGCTGTACATAGGATTTACGATGGAAGAAATTGGAGGACACGCTCTTGTATGATACGCCCTTTCACCCATGCTTTTTCTGCCCAAATAGCAGATGTGACAGATATGTGACTTGCCTGAAGTCCAGCCCTTAACTACTGTAATCTGCTAATGCCTTGGTCACATTTGCTCCGATTTTCAACACGGCGCCCGGCCGATTGAGTGTTTTGTTCAAAATTGAATACAATATTGAACAAAACACTCAATCAGCCGGGCGCCGGCCGATGGATCGGAGCAAATGTGACCTAGGCATTACACTGGTAATCTGGCATTCATCGCCCGAGATATATTTTTATGAATAAAGTTGACGATGAGATGTCCATACGCCTGCTATGATATTAAGTTATATACAGGAATCGAAATCTATGTTTACATTAATTTAATTTTGTAAATAAACAAAAAGTTGGATTTTCTTATCGCACTGAATGAAGTTCGAGAAGAGATATGAAATAAAGGTGCCGTCCGTATTGGTCGGATTTGGTTACCGTTCTTCTACTTAATTCGGCGGCCATTTTAATTTGGTGGATCCACCAAATTGTTAGATCCATCAAATTGTTATAGTCCCCCAAATTAAGTAGCAGCCAAATTCATAATTACAAATTTCAGTCGTAAATGCATATGGTATATGTATTTCAATATTGCAAATCTGCCAAATTATGTAGCCGCCAAATGTTCAAAACAGCAAATCCGTCAAAATAAATAGCATGAAGTTAAGTAGAAGTACAGTATTCCATGGGCTGAGGTATGCTTGGATATTCCTTGAATATTTCTTGACTGATTCGATTCTTATTTAAAATTGTTGTATTTTGTAAGGTGTTAAGTCTCTGTTCAGGCAGACTTTTTCAAAATATCCACCAAATTCAAAATTACCATCATTTTGTGAAAAATCAAATATGGCGATGTGTACCGTTTAAACGCACATTATTGCATTATGACGAATTCATAGTTAGGCAATCAAAGTGTTTGCGATTCCAGCTAATCCGAACACAGTATTGCATATGATTGCACTGCATTATATAACCAATAACCAACCCAAGGTAATTCGTTGAATGATTGTCAAGGTGACAACTTGACACTACAGATTCAAATTGATGCTTTGCCAACTTGACACTTGCAAAAGGTTACACTGAAAATATGTTTTTATGTGATTTCGTAGAAAATATTTTGCAGTGTGAAAAGAATTTAAGCCCAAGATTTGATGCATTTTGGCTGATTCATTCAACTCAGGCGTTAGTTCCTAAACTTCACACTCGAATTAACACCTTTCAGAGGAGTGATTCAGTCCACATTGCACTGAGTCCAGGGCTTAAATCCTTAAGGAACTATATTTATTGTATTTATTGTTGTAAATTTTGCAAATTCTGTTGTTTTCTGTTTGTTTCTAACATGAAAAGTGAAAAATGAACAAAGATCTGGGAATTTGTTTGGTTGGATTGCCTAACCTTTGAGTCGTCGTTTGTAAAGATTTTGAAATATCCTCAATTGATTTCTTAAACAATAGAACCACAAAGTGAAATATGGCAAGACGATGGTTTGTTGTCAATGATACATCTTAATGTTAAGTCACCAACGTTTTTGTGGCTGGTGTTCGGCGTCTGTAAGAGCGTTCGACGTCTGTAATAAATGACAGGTGGTGAAATTTTGCACGTTAGTGCTCTGCTGATGTACTGTAGTTTGAAATACGTGAGCATATGTTGATCATTGTGATTATTCATCACCGACTTTCGTTAATCAAAATACGAGTATATAATTACTCAGATGTGAGTAGGTTAGTTAACAGTTTCGCCACCAGATGGCTAATTCGGGGAAATAACATGGCAGGGTATAACAAAGTTCCCCCAAACTTGAATGTTCATCAGTTTTAGTGGTTCACTTTTCATACTAACCAAATTAAAATATGTCCAGTAAAAGAAAATATTATCTGCCCAACACAAGAAAAGATATCTCACTTTTTGTAATTTTACAACATGGGGTCTATGGGGAATCTCCCCGACCTAGAAATCGTAGAAATTTTCAAAGTTGATGAACTCTTTTCAAAACCACATTTCTAGATGTACTTTTACATCAATTTGACTGAATTTTGAATGTCGTAAATCAAGATTATTTCTACTCGCATCTAGTCTATTGAGTTGAACACAACTATCTTAGAAATAGAATACCGATTGATTAACAACTTTATTATCACTCCGATAGCGTCAAACAGAAACATCTTAAACATGTTGAAACCTTGATATTTAACGAGAACATATTCGGAACATGACAGGAGACATTTGAGAAGAGTACTTCAACACTGTCAAGTCTCTTTTTAATAGGACTACATTAAGATTGTCATACAACGCTCATTCCAATCCCAATGGATGTGCAGCCATTTTGATATAATAGTTAACAGAAGCCAATTGGTCAAGTGCGGAGAAATCAGCTCATTCATGCATTTCTATAAAACGACCTCATTAAATATATCTTGAAATTCGGTATTGAGCTCCATGGCCATCAGGAAGGGAGTCGATATTGATTGAATTATAGATAAAACAATGTCAACAAAAGTGTTTAACATAAATGTCAACAATTATACTTAAGATAATGTAGCAGTCAATAATATAATGTATATAATAGTGCCATTGCCCATGGGTAATTTGCTCACAATGACATAGTGGTGTATTTAAAATAAAAGTTGGCGCCATGTTCAACTTTTCAAGAATTCTTAAAAATGACTTAAAACTGGAATCTTGAAAGCATGTCACGCTTGTTGATAAATGGAGGAACGAAATAAAAAGTAATCCAACGTCCCGATTGATGTAGGCTAACTCCGTCTTTGAACTGAAACCTCGACTCACGGTAATGACGTAAACTCATCATTGGAGTGCAATCTAGTAGTCACCAATGACGTAATCCCATCAATAGATTCAATAATAAAAATTACGTTTTCATCAATATTTAATACCTCCCCTCCCCAATGTATGTATGCAAGAATGAATAACCTGCCCTATAAATATATAAACAGATAAATACACTATATTTATGTACATAATGATGTATGGCCAAACATTTGACTGGCAGCTCCACCAACTATTTCCCCTTTGGCGCAAAATATTGTAGTTTGTTTCATTCGTATATGACTTAAACCTTAATTCTCCATGGTTGAATAACGACCAATGATGCCTTGTGATTTTTATATTTTTGTTCACTTTGCATTTTCAAATCTTATCATCTGAAAAAATAATATTGAAATATCTGATCAAACATGGAAGTAATTGACAATGAGGATGCAAAAATATTGGAATTTAATTGAACTGAAATTTACCTTTTAAAATTGTTTCGAAATAATCTTCAAAGTCAGAGAATTATTCCGAAGTCATTTATAACTGTTGCACGTTTTAGAAAATAAAAAGCATGACATGGAGTATTGGAAACGAAAAGTAATGTAAAATTTTAATTTTGTTACTTTCATCGGTCCATTGCAATCTTAGAATTTTGGTATAGATTTTAGGGAGTCCATCTTGTAAACGATAATAACAATAAATCACTCTCCAAGATCAATGCTCCAGAAGTGAGAACACATCCCCACGTTAGTAAAGGAAGGCGTATTGAATACGATACTGCTCTGCCTACGAGGGATGAGTGTATGTAACCTTCATGTAAAGATGGCATAAGTAGAATATTTCATCATAGACAACCATTACTTCTTTTCTGTATTTGATTGATAATTTCTGAAAAATAAACAACCTTTTAATATCACAACCTCTTAAACTGCATTTATGCCATAATATGGACTTTTCTCATAAAAGAGGTCGTTGTCACTATTTTATAGTACCCTTGTACAATGTTATTTACGTGACAAATTAAGATACCCCCTCTCAAATCGAGCACGTTATGTACACATGTATGATTATCCTGGTGTCTCGCCAATCAGTTTTGGTATCAGTTAACATACGTTTTTGGAGTCAGTATGTCAAGAGTAAAATTCAAGTTCAGTAAGAGTACAAGATTGGTTAATTCAGTATGTGAAATAAATATTCGACATCAATTCATGCATTGTCAAAATTGTCTGTTCAGTTGTGATTCGTTTAACATCATTTCAGTCAATGTCACGTCATTTCATTTACTGACGACGTCAGTTCATATATCTGTGGCGTAAGATGTCGTCTACATGACTTCATCTGAAGTGAGTGTTTATGTCACACTGATCTGATCTGTTTGATAAGGTCGCCCTAGGCTGTTGATTTAAGTCTCAGTTTATGCAACATTAGAATGTTAATTCTAAACAAAGTTTATCTCACCTAGGCTGTTATTTTAAGCCTCAGTTTATGTCGCGTGAGGCTGTCCATTAAAGTCTATGTAAATATCACACTAACTTTTAGTTTAAACCTAAGTTTATGTCACCTAGGCCATTAGTTTAAGCCTCTGTTTATGTCACTAGAGGCTGTCCACTAAAATCTAAGTATATATCACACTAGCTTTAAGTTTAAACCCAAGTTTATGCCACTTTGGTCATCATTTTAAATTTCAGTTTATGTCACACAGACTTTTAGTCTATGTCATTCATCTCGAGTGTTATTTTGAAGTTTAAAACACAATTATCATTATGTTCATATGAACATAGTTTGTTAATACGAACATAGTTTGTTAATATGAACATAGTTCTGATTGTGTTTCATCACGTGTGGACATCACACATAGACATTATACATAATTAAACACATGTTTCTGGTGCCATGGCAACCCTCATGCATTTTACCCTCCTAACTAGAGAGTTAACATCTTCATTGCAAGCTTTAGGGGCCTTCTTTTCCAACCCCTCATTGTAACTGGGATCTCTAAGCTCTTTGCCCTTTAGTTCAACTGTCCCTTCTAGATGCCTTGGTCTACCACTTGAGTAGCCACAATTGGGCTGGTCCATATCTCGTGTTAAATATTTAGTCTCAAATCTAGCCTGGCGCCCTCTCTGATGGCATATCCTTGGAAGTGATGCTGTGTTCTTGTTGGTGCCCCATTGAGGGTCAAATCGCATGTTGTTGAACTTATATGTGTATGAGGTATCTCTGTCTACGCTACGAGTACGCAGCTCTGCCTTGCCGCTAAATGTATTGGGTGATCGCCGAGGAGGATGGTACACCTCATCAAGGTAATTCTCGGAATATGATTGGCTTTCAGCATCAGTATCTAAGGAAGCATTGTCGGAGGCCACATAATCTGGTGGCTCTGGAAAATCCATACTATCATCATATATAGCATCCACCCTAGGGAGGTATGTTATACGACCAACAGTTCCGCCAGACTTATACACCCCATCTTGTGGCTTGTACCCATACATTGTCTGATTGTCTGATTCGCATATGTACACATTCTGTGAATATTTTGATGATCGCGTGTCTGTGTATATGTTTGTGCTGCCATATCCACTGTCATTTCTTGGTGCACGAGAAGGACTGAAATATTTTGATTCAATATGTTTATCATGTACTTTGTTTCTGTTATCATTATCCTTTTCAGGTGTGGTACTTTGTGGAGAATGGGCATGGTTGCGTTCAGGTGAATGAGTGTCATTACTTTCCGGTGAACGAGTGACATTACTTTCTGGAGAGGTGTTACTCTCTGGAGAATGAGTAGTGTTACTTTCCGGGGACTGTGTAGTGTTACTGTTAGGGGAGTGTTTATCTGATGATTTATCCGATGGGGAGATATCCATATGTGCCGCAGACATGTGGTCCGGGGTAAGTCCTGGCGAGAGGTACTGAGGGTGGGCAGCCTTCTTTATGCACTCGTTATCATTTGTAGTTGTGTCTGCATCTCCATCGCTGTGTTCCAGAGTGGGGTTAGTATGGTAAGATGAAGTTTTAGTTGAATGGTGTAAGGTTGTTAGTTCACCACAATTAGGATGGAGGTGATGTGCAACAATGATGTAGACCCAGGTGTCAAGTGCAGCAGGAAAATAAAGAAAACTTACATTAGTTGAAAATATGATACATTAGCAAAACAATAGATACCCTTTCATTGATCCATAACATTACTTTCCAATACAAGTTCTATCAGCCACAGCTCATCTCCTCTTTTCACCCTTTCTACTTAGCATTCTTCATTTCAATAAGCCTGTTTCAGCTTGGTGATAAAATAATATTGTTCTTCAATCATTAAAATCAGTGTGCTTTCTTTCCGATTTGTTAAAAAGCAGAATTGGTTTTAAAATTGCACTTGACAACATAACTAATGAAGATCACATTTACATAATTAAACAATAATGTATCAAAACATGCAGGATATACATGTATGGCAATATTGAAATTCTGATTATTAAAGAACCAAAAAATATAAGACAAAAGAACCAATGACTTAGATAAAATACTGTAAAGTAATGTCGCAGATATTTCATGAATACTATCTTGCATGTACAGAAAACCTATCAAGTATAAGTTCTGGGACCAAAGTAGCACATAATACATGTTTACAACAATAGTACTGTTCAAGCAAATCAATGACATTTTACAGACTACAAATACATTACATAGTACTTATAATGAAACTCAAATAAACTTACATTTGATCCTAATAACTAATCTTTCATAACCTAATCAAAGAAAATAAAACAACAATCTGAATTATGATTAAATATATAAAAATAATTTATTCAGCCATATTTATACATCGTTAACTAAGGGAGCATGCATGTCAATACAATACCACAATACCACAATACTGGACAACCAAATCATAATACATAATAATTATGTTATGTAAATATTCACAACAATCTCTAGTTCTCCCCTGAAAGAATTACATCTTCATTTTTTAAAATTGATCAATACAGCATGCTAACCTCTGGAACTGCCCCCCCCCCACACTTATTACTTGATGTGGATTGATACACTCCCCAAATGAATAAAATGCACTATTAAATCACAAATTTAATTAAAGCCCAAGGAGGAATGGCTCCAAACATTCTTTTATAATACCATTTGACCGGCAAGAACCAAATTGAACTCCAATCTAGATTTTGGACTGCACATGAGCAGTTGGAGACCTTGAAAAATTGAAAATGATATTATTCAACAAGTTCGTGAAAGAATACTTAGAGCCAACGCTTCTTGATAACATTCTGACAACAATCAATATTCAACTAATGCAAGCCTGATAAAATATCATAACACAATCTTTGTTACTTTTGGGTGAAATGATCAGTGGATCATATAGTTTCAATGGTAGTGTTTCAAAATATGTGGAAATAGTAGGCTAAATCTATACAACATTTCACTTACAGTAAAACCTGTCTATGTGGAACACCTTTGGTACCTCTAAAATAAAAAAAAGTATTCCACTTATAGAAGTTCATTTACAATAAGTTAGTTGGTCTTGGGACTCTAGAAAGTGTTTCACTAATAGAAATGTTCCAATTCTAGGTGTTCCACTTAGCAGGTTTCCCTGTATGTAGAATATTCAAATAATACGAGGTACATTTATCAAATGCATACATGAAAGTAATATAATAAAACAGAGTATTCTATGACACTCTGTAAATGTCTTCATGCCATAAGAGCTATTGATGTCATAAACAGGTTAGGGCTGATACAAATAGTAAATGAGTAAATTCTCATTTTTAAATTTGAACTATCATGTAATTCTTTCAAAACTTAAATAAAATCATAACAAAACAAAAATGATGTACATTTAATGTCATAAACACTTCAATATATGTACAGTAAAACCTGTCTAAATGAAAACCTCTCTAAAGAGGACACCTCTCAATGTGAAAACTTTGAGCCGGCCTCCGGTTCTCTTTTGACAGGATTTACTTCTAATACATCAGGACTTTCACTAGTTATTTTAAGACAACATAGAAAATCCTAAAGTTCAGTTTGTTTTGCGCAAATATTTAGCTTTCTGATTTCTCACTGTTTTTCCATATACTGGGGATTATTTGCTTTTGACCCCTAATAAGACACCAGAAGTCCAATATTTTTTATTACACATTTTTCTGAGTTTTAAGAGACAATTTTACAATTTAGAATTGGTTGATTTTGTTTATTGCGACTGACTGATGTAGTCTAAACATTTCAGTGTAGGGTACTAGGCTGTTGTCTTAAAAGGCCTGGCAAGAGCCTTGGTTCAATAAGTACATAACAATATCTTCAGTAACAACTATAAATTGTTCTGCAGTTATTGCTTTTTAAATATGATATATTGATAACGAATTGCACCAAAAGTTAAACTTGATTATTGCTTTACACATTTCCATTACAATATCAGGAATAACCTCAGTATAAATAAAACAATCAAGAAAAGCAATATTCTACTAGAAAAGCAATATTCTAGCAATCAGATGTGTTAGAGTGTCGTAAAATAAAATAATAGGTTTTGCGAAAAGTGTCGATATCCAGATAATTTAGAATGCTATGGTTAAGGGTCAATGAGATATTGATTCCTTCATAAAACAAAATTGTCATTATTCCACTGTATCTTGAGACTTATTAATTCAAATAAGCTAATAAAGAACTGGGAAAAAGATACCCATTCATAATTTGTGATTATTCCAATTCATATTTTGTACATAATCATCAGTTAGGCTGAGCTACTTGTTAACATCAGGGAATACATATACTGCATTTGTAAAATTATAAATGTTATTCATAAACAGAACTAAAACAATGAGCCTCTGGTATTGAGAATTTTATAAACAAAAATTCTAAATATACAGGATGAATCTGTTATTGTAATATACATTAAAACCTCTGTATGTAAACACATCTCAAGTGAATACCTCTCTCAAATGAAAACACCTCTAAAGTGAACACCGTTACACATGAACACCTTTTCATGGGAACACTTTGAGCAGATTCAATCAATATTCATTTGAGATTCACATCTTTCCATCAGTCCAACATAGTCCTGCATCAGGCACTGAGTTAGTTTGAGCATGGGTATTCACTTTAGGGAGGTTTCACAGTGATATGGTAAGATTTGATGGGAGCTTACGTTGTAATATTGTTGTAAATCCCATATAGGTTGTGTTCATGGATGAAGTCTATAACACTGTCTTGTAGAAGATATTTCACACTCTCACCACGCCGCAGAGCACGTCTGTAACACATATAAAATCATTGAAATAACCGTATGTTAACACAATATGCTTAGACATATATTCTTCTTAAATGTGGTATATGCATAAACCAAAACATAAAGCCATTGATTAAATCAATTGAATGATAACAAAAATTAGATCACTGAAATCAAAGTTGTATTTATTGTCAGAAATTAATCCTACACTGAGATTTTAGTTTGCACTATCCAACAAAAGGTCAACTATGAAATTATATCAATAGTCCCAATACTGTGTTATTGTGAAAGATGTATTTTAGTAATCACAACTCTTGATTAAAGGACCTGTGCAAGTTAATACTGTATTATCAATAACATCAGAGCTGTATCAATCAATACTGCTTTATAGGGACATTTGTTAAGTCAGACTGAGTTAACAAAATATGAAATCAATTCCTATGTGCCAATTCATTACTTTGTAAAAACGCTTTTATGAATAGTCTCACATTTTTGCATCTCCCTGATTGTTCTGATCTTATACAAGAAATCCAATTGAAAACTAAGAAAAAGCAAAATTGCGACTTTTCCGTTGAAATTTTCTTTGCAATGCTTTATTCAAATACTGTTCTTTGAGTTCATCTAGTCAATACTCCCCAATAGTTTTCACCATTTTCCCTAATTATGAGACACCAGGCATGAAGTTAGATTTATCTTAAGGAGAATTTTCTCATAAATCCTAAGATTTATTTTATGATACTGTCATAAACCATGATGATAATGTTCTGCATGTGTAATAGAAATCTTGGATAAATAAATCAAAGTCAAAATAGCAATTCAATCTAACTTGAAATGGTCATGAAAATCAAACAGACTTTTTTACATTTCACTCTAGTCATGTAAATTCTACTTCTTTCCACACAATTTCTCCTTTTCTTTAATCCTTAATAGCTGAGCTGTAACTAAAAGGCATTCTGGAGCCTCTACATCATTCAAAGCATATTGGTTTCATTGTGACACTTTCCATATAACAGTCTTAATATAAACATGTGCTTTAACAGTCAAGTGATTGGGAAAAAGGTCCGATCTTTTGGGAGTTCTTCACAAATCAGAGTATTGACTACTTGTTGAGTTTTCCTTTGTCAGAGCCCTTCCTGCCGAACAAGAGCATTTGTCTCAGATGCACGAACAATAAAATGTAGCATTTAATTCATAAATCAAAGTTGGAAGTATTACCTTATTTTTGTTGCACTAATCTCATTTTGTATCCACTCAGTCACTAAGTGTATGTTTTCCTGAAACAAGAGCCATTATAAAATATTACTAGATCCATATAATAAATCTCCTTAGTGAAACTGATGAGATAGAGCTGTGTATTTGAATTCGTATTATATATTATCATAAAAAGTATGATAGTTTAGAGCTATATTATAGGCTATGAACATTTTAAGAAGGGGGTCATACAGCTTGCAGAGATTTCTACAAATTTTTTCCCAACATGATGGATCTTAGACTTTTAAAATTATTCAAAATATCTCAATATTCCTTCTTTTGACAAGGTGCTGTACATTTCAACAGTGACATGTCATTTTCACATTTCAACAGAGTGACATATCATTTTCACATTTCAACAGAGTGACATCTCATTTCCACATTTCATCAGAGTGTCATGTCATTTTTACATTTCAACAGTGACATGTTATTTTCACATTTCAACAGTGACATGTCATTTTCACATTTCAACAGAGTGACATATCGCTTTCACATTTCAACAGAGTGACATGTCATTTTCACATTTCAAAAGAGTGATATGTCATTTTCACATTTCAACAGAGTGACATGGCATTTCCACATTTCAACAGAGTGACATATCATTTCCACATTTCAACAGAGTGACATGTCATTTCCACATTTCAACAGAGTGTCATGTTATTTTCACATTTCAACAGAGTGACATGGCATTTTCACATTTCAACAGAGAGACATGGCATTTTCACATTTCAACAGAGTGACATGTCATTTTCACATTTCAACAGAGTGACATGTCCTTTTCACATTTCAACAGAGTGACATGTCATTTTCACATTTTCAACAGAGTGACATGTCCTTTTCACATTTTCAACAGAGTGAATTGTCATTTTCACATTTCAACAGGTTACATCACCTAATTTATCTAATGCTAGAATCACTTTGCAATATGACATACAGTAAAACCTTACCTATAAAGTGAAACAACTCCATAAGTGAAATATTTCAAAGTTCTGTTATCCATTAACTTAATGCAAAATGAACAACAAATCTAGTTGAACACCTCCCAATTTGAACACTATTTTAAGGTGTTCCACAGATTCTACCGTATCTACCATTGATATGATATACCAATTGCACCTTCAGTTAGTGTTCAACAATTACCTGGTGTCTGGTGAGAACATCAGAATCATATATAAACTTCTGGGCATTAGCACCTGACCTACTGATGCACACAAGGCCATAGTTCTTCACTATATTTTCTATCTGAAATAATAATAAGATTATACAGTTCATGGAGTAATATTAAGAGATTAGATGGATTGTCATATAACTAATATAACTAGAAAAACAGCAACTCCCCAGAGCAGCAAATCCCAACAAAAAATGATTCATGATTCTGAAATATGTCACAACATACTTGTAGTATTTAAAATCGATTCGCATATTTCCTTCTTTGGGATAACAAGACATAAAATGAGCAAATATGCATGAATTACTGTATATGTTCCAATAGGGATCACATCAAACCATCAATACAGCAAAGCTACAAAGTTAATGTCACTGTGACATCATCCCTTCCTCTTAATAACATCATATATAAACAAGATAGCTAGATCCAAGTGAGAAAATCAATGTTATTAAGTAGATCCGCATGAGGAGAATTTTAATGTGATTTTCATGATAATTACCAATAATTAACGAAAAAGTCATATCTTTTACATTTTATTGCCAATATTAATCTATTATGGAAGAAATACATAGTTCTTTCTTTTGACAGTGGGGAACAACTTAACCTAATGAGGCAGGTTAATAGCTGTTTACTATCTCACATTCTTTAAATGAAAATTAATTTTGTGGTTGTCTATAAATTCATGTTTTGATATGATCCTGTATAGAATTTAGGAAATATAGAATAGCCTGGAATGTTTTTGGAATGGTCATAGCTTATGACTCGGTCGCAAGTCATTTTTTGACAAAGAGTAAGTTACAATTGTACCAAAACTGAACCCCTGAGTAACATATTTCATCAGAAATACAATGACCTGGGTGACAAAAAACAGGTGGTTGCTCATATTTAATAAAATAATTTTTTCATAGCAATTCCTTCCATACCCTTCAGTTAAGTGACCATTTGAATTCTGCATTACAGACACAGTGATATGCTTCACTTACATCATCATCTGACCAAAGATTAGGGACTGCAAAAGATTCCAGCAGGTCAGCCCCACATAGCAGCTTTAGTCTGATAGGTTCTGTGTCATTCTGGTTGCTTACATCTAAGAGACGCTGAGAAAGGGGGAAGTTAGCAGGCTCTACAAACACAAACATTATCAGTAGATCAATCAGTTGAAGAATTAATTAATCGAAGTATCAAAAGTACAATATATGTAATTATTAATTACAGGTGTACTGCAAGGAACAGCATACTCATATGCATTACTATGTATAAAATAAGTTGGGTTTACTACACTGTGGCTAGTCGATCAATGTGGATGCAGTCATGTATATGCAATGTTTCGTGGGTTCTCGCGTACATTATAGTGAATTGGGTCGTTGAAAAAATATGACAGAAAATCGAGGTAAGTGATCTCAGAGTTTCTACTTAACATATTGACTTGAAATCTTGCATACATATTCAATATACATAGTATGACAATGTGTGAAAGTTTCAGCTAGCATATTCCTGTTATAAGGAAGATATTTGAACAACATTTCGTAAACGTCAACATATATGTATAAAATGGATTCAACTATGTATCATTTGGATTCAGAACGGTAACAAATGGATGCTAAAATAAATGATGCTTTTATCATGATGATTTATTTACAGATGGACAACTGGCCAGATTTTCTTTGTATTCATTGTTCGGATAAACATTCCTTATTCAGTGAAGTAATTAGCCACACCATTACAATACACCCTCATGAAGAATTGAAAATTGATAGACTTTATATAGACCCGTCAACTGGAAAATGCCATAACAGAAGGAAAAACTATGGTTTCATCCCTAATACTGTTAATTTGAAAAACGGGTCCATAACATGTAATGATGACAATGAAGATGTTGAAATTAGGTACGCCAATCAAGTGAATTCAGAGCCCAAGAACCATCAACCCACTGAAATACCCACAGATCAAGTTTCAGAGCCATTAACATTCCTTGAAAATGACAATGAGCAGCCAACAGATGGACCATCTGTAAAACTTGGTGATTTTGTCAGCTCAGCTGAAAGAGCCTACAGATTCCTTGAAACAAATGACCCAAATTCAAGAATTATATCATCTATTTACAATTTTTGGGAAATCGTGGTAAGTGGAATCTTTCCAATTACCAATATAGGATTATTATTGTTTTTGGACACTGTTGACTATTTAAGATACAGAAAGGAAACTAAATACTTTTGGTTCATGGGCTTTCGTCTGTTTCATGGGAAGTTTCTGAGGTAAGACTTCATTCATTTTTACTTTTAATTCTTATGATAATAAAATATAACTAGACTTTGGAAATTGAACAAGTTCAATTTCAGACTCCAGATCTAGACTTTTTTAAGCCCAGTCATCCAGAATAAGCCGAGTCATCCAGAATAAGCCGAGTCATCCAGAATAAGCCGAGTCATCCAGAATGAACTGAGTCATCCCGAAAAAGATGGATGGATGGATGAAATAGGAAGGAGGGATAGGATAGAATAGGAAGGAACGATAGGATAGAATAGGAAAGGATGAGATAGAATAGAATAAGATAGCAAGGAATGATAGAATAGGAAGGAAAGGAAAGGATAGGAAGGATAGATAAGAAGGATAGGATAGGATAACATGGGATAGGATAGGAAGGATGGGATAGAATAAGAAGGAACGATAGGATAGAGTAGGAAAGAGGGATAGGATATTATAGGAAGGATAGGATAGGAAGGAAAAGATATGAAGGAAAGATAGATAGAAGGAAGGATAAGATAGGAAGGATGGGTGGAAGGATGGATGGATTTTTCAACATTTTCTTAACTTCTCTTGACTTTCTATCAGGATACCATAAGATCGATTTTTCTCGAAATTTCAAAACGCCATAACATAAGTCGGATCGAAATTTGGTTTGCAGATTCAGATCCCTTAGAAAATTCTATCCTTAATTCATAACTCATACGTTAAATTTAGAGAAGCTTTTATTTTGACCTACTTTTCAGACACCATATCTCAAAAGTGGGTCAAAATATTCTCTGACAGCAAAAAGCTAACACTATTAGCACACTCTTGGCTACATATATACCAAATTTCGAAGAATATAATTAAAGTGTAGTGTCAGAATCGAAAAAATGAGGAAAAGCTTTGAATTTGACCTAGATTTTGACCTAGGCCCTGGACTGGACTTGGACCTAGACTTGACTTGGACCTAGACAAACACTGGACTTGTACTTGGACTGGACCTTGACTTGAACCTGGAAATGGATTGGAAAGGTATTTTTCAATTTTTTCACTTTTCTTGACTTTCTATAAGGTTATCATCAGATCGATTTTTTTTCGAAATTTCAAAGCGCCATAACCGGAAGTCGGATCGACATTTGGTTTGCAGATTTCGATTCCTGAGAAAATTCTATCCTTAATTCATAACTCATACGTTGAATTTGGAGAACATTTTATTTTGACCTACTTTTCGGACGCCATATCTCAAAAGTGGGTCAAAATACTTTCTGACGGCAAAAGGCTAACACTATTAGCACACTCTTGGCTACATGTATACACCATTTCGAAGAATATAATTAATTAAAGTGTAGTGTCAGAATCGCAAAAATAAGGAAAAACTTTGAATTTGACCTAGATTTTGACCTAGGCATTTTGGTGTCCAAATTTTGAAGCTAGATGGCTTTTGAGGTTCCAATTTTTTAAAAGCTTTCATTGTATTTAGCTGAACTCAGACTATATTTCGTATTTTTCACTACAAAAAAAATCTTTTTTCCCATTGACTTAACATGGGCACCAAATTTAGCGATTTTTGAGCTTTCAAAACGCAATAACTTCCGATCTAAATTTGGTTTGCAGATTCGGATTCCTGAGATCATTCTACACTTATTTCATAACTCATATGTTTAATTTGGAGAATTTTTTGTTCTGACCTACTTTCCGGACACCATATCTCAAAATCGGTAACAGTAATCAAAAATCTGATGGCACACTTATGAAAGGGCTGTTTCTAAGCTACATGATGAAAAAAAGGACAAAGTTGTTTCGATAAATAACGACGAAGATAATAGACAGATTTAAGATTTGACCTAGTTCTTGACCTTTGACCTAGATAAAAAATTGACCCAATTTCCGAGAAACTAGATACTGGACCTAAATTGACCATATACAGGACTTGACTCAATGTCTTCTAGTTAAGGAAAAAACGTGTGTAGAAGAATAAAGAAGAAGAAGAATACTGACAAAAGCTATAGACTCCAGATTTACATCTGGAGTCTAATAAAAATGGTCCTGATCAACACAGGCTTCGCTATAAGTATTGCAGTAGCACATTGGTGGAGGAGGCCATGGTTCTTTACCATGCGTTTTTAGTGCGCTTTTGCTATTGAAAAGGTTGCCGCATTCATCGCACATGTGGCGTGTTCGGGCAGTTTCCTCCACTGGCTGTACGACAACCAGATCCATCTACAAAATAGTTGTGATATATATTGAAAATAGAATAAAGATGTCCATCATCTTGAGTAAACATCAGATTATCGTCGGGCATCAAATATTCACCATATACTACTGTAAAATTATATTTTTGTTGAATTATTGTCCCAACTCAAGTTTATATGTAACCATATTTGTTTCTTCCTGATGTATCCGATGAGAGCGTTTAAGAAATATATGTAAAATATTAAAAATACACACATTCAAAATGATTCAATTAAAACCTAGCCAGTCTGTTCATTGAATTCGAATCCAATTAGAACGTCTACTAATCCACATGATACATCATAATTAAATTGCTTTTTTAAACAGATATTTCATACCATAACCCCAAAAATATTATAAAATGCGTTGTATTTGTATTTTACTTCACACAGACATATTTGTGTACGTGAAATAATTATATTACTTAAATGTTTTATTCCCCATTATAAGGTAAACCTATGGCAATTATACATACCTTCTCACAGCTATGAGCGAGGTGATAAAACTGGTCGAGTGAACTCGTTTGAGTTATCTATTCGCTGTAAAATTATCAGAGAATGTGTGTTTATAGCGTTGCTTTGGTTTGGTAAATCAATGAAGTATGATATACACGGATGAGTAAATGTAGATTATTTAAACAAAAGTGCAAATTTCTTCCATTGAATTGTACAGAGGCGGGTACTCACGAAACATTACATGTGCTTGACTGCATCCACATAGATCGACTAGCCACAGTGTTACTAAATGTTTGTCAGAGGGTCTAGATGACTTTGACTGAGTTGACCTAGGGTTGAGTTGACCAGAAAACATCCATATGAAGCTCCTGTTCAAACAAGATTCAAAGGATATGAAGACTGATAAAACAAGTTTCCATTTCTCGTTTAATCAATGGGGAAATGGAAAATTCTGATGATTCTGAAATCATCTAAAAGCCATCATTCCAATGTTTGAATTGGGCAGACTAAAGTACATTTATTAGAAGTGAGATCTACATGTTACTACCCACTTCAAAATCCATAAGGTATAAGATAATCTGATTGGTTAGAATTTTCTAATACCACCTGCTCTGAATCTAATTCAGTTTACATGAAGCTCTCCAATTAGGAAGCTCAAGTGATCATAAATGGGGTAAAAAGTTTCACATTTAATGACAAATTGATTTTGTATTACAATTACGCTAAAGCCCTCCCACTTATGACGCTATTACATGGTGAAGGAACCTAAAGCTCATAAGTGACTTGTATCTGCGAGAGATCATGTTAAACCACTTGCGGTTTGCAACAACTGATCAATTCCCCGATCATTGTAGTTTCATGAGTTATTATTCTCAACAGCGTTTCTTAAGTGGAAAACCCATAATTAGAATAAATGAGGCGATTAGCAGGCAGCCACAATGGCTTATTCAGAACATATACAAACGATAATATAAATACCAATTTGACATTTTTGCAGCTCACTTTTTGTTAAATATTTTTCATAAACAACTGAAAATTGGAATTTGCTGTGCAAGCATTTTACACAAAGTATCAAATAATTACATTTATACAGGACATAAAAACATACTGAAAAATGAAAAACTTGAGATTCAATTACTTTTTTTCAATAATAAGGTTCAATGCTCCCTCCCTTACAAAACCAAATATTATACAGTAAATGTATATATGAGTTGGTCAGAAAAATTTTTTGGGTCCCTACAACCAAAAGTGGGCCCAAATTTTGAAATTTTGAGGCCCATTTTCTTTAAAATTTGCCCTAAAATTAAAAAATAAGGCCTTAGAAGGCCCATTCATGATAAAAAGGCCCACTTTTTGGTCCTTAAGGCCTTTTTTATTTTTCTGGGCCCACCCAAGGGGGAGCCCTGGGGCCCCTGACTTTTGTCACATGGCTAAGATTAAAAATAATCAATAATGGATGACTTATTAAAAAGAAGGTGGAAAGTTAAACTAATACCATGACTTCAGCTTCAGCTTCTATTGAGAGAAAAAACTGAAATATACAAGGGAATTTCTCCTAGAATGTATTTAAAGTTCATGAGTTTGATTCTGTTCAGTAGAATGACATCCTCTAAATGCAGGGCTCTAGATATCATCCTCTTATTGAACCCTACGTTCAGAGGATGGAAGAATGTTTACATTATACAGAACTGTGCAAATATTTTTACAAAGTACAGATCAGTGTTATTATACCTTTAATCCCAGTTGATGGATGAGCTCGTGTACAATGTTTGGATATAATTTCCCAAGTGTGCCACCTTATGTAAATCACTTTTGGAGGTAATCATAAGACCCATGAAAAATCTTTTCTCTGCAGTAAATTGAAATTTCCAAAGTTTCTCAACTGCAATTAGTGTAGGATGTTTCTAACACAATTCACAATTAGGTTAATCTTAGCCTTATATGGTCATATTTCGAATTAAATGGGAGTTAGATTCACCGTGATAAATATGTGATTTTATGAATTCCATGAACATAAAGGTAAGTTAAAAAACCAGGACACTCCATGGAAGTTAACCTAGCTAACCTGAAAATGTCACATCAAGTCCATGTAAGGTAACCTAGCTAACCTGAAAATGTCACATCAAGTCCATATAAGGTAACCTAGCTAACCTGAAAATGTCACATCAAGTCCATATAAGGTAACCTAGATAAACCTTCATATTTGGTAACTTAGAAAGTCTGGAAAGTTTCATTTGTTAAGCCCGACATATTACAGAGCTGATGGAACTCTGATTCCACCAATTCTTAATTTGATACCGGCATTCATAAACCAATAAATAAAACTTTCTTTTCCCGACTGCTTGTAAAATACTGAATTACATGGTGCCAATTCAGCTTCAAATAAGGCTACAGTTAGATCACAGACTTCAAAATACTGTTTTAATATAGTTAGACAAATGGCTCCAGGGCATAGGCTGGATATAAAGGCCTGTTATAAAATTCTAATAGGGAATATGATGTTACGTAAATCGCTTTATTCGTCAGTAATTTTGGTTCTTAAGAGTCATTAACGTTTCTGGTAGAATTCAGATCTAATAAAAAACCAAATTTGACAGTAAATCTGAAACTAATGTGGATTGAGAATTGATGTCACTGTGACATAAGAAACAGTAAAGTTTTGAGAGTCAGTTTGAATATTTTAGATGCAATCATTTGGACATATCTGTGTCTGATTAGGTGCTGTCAAATAGGACAACTTTGTTACTAGGCCTGTAATTGCTTTGGAGCAATTGGGCATTGTTCCAGTAGAAAATAATATTACCCTGAACCCAACTGAGAATTTCATAATTACATTGTATCTAATTCAAAGTCCATTGCCCCCAGTTTTAGAAAAAAAAAGAAAAATGGAAATTTTGAACCAAGGAAGGAATGATCCTGGAAAAACTTAACATGAGTATAAAATGAAAAATGTACTTTATTCGGTCACTTTTTGATTTTCCATGAAAATACTTTGAGTCCAATTGTTAAGAAAAACAAATACAAAATTTGTTGTTCAAGGGATTCCTGATAAATCAACAGAATATGTTCTCTGCCAAATTATAACAGGTCTTAAAAATATATGAGAAAAACATCAAAATAACTGGACAAAAAGATTGAGATTTATGTCACAAAATGCATCTTGGGTAATAATTGTATAGTCCCTTAAAACGGCTTAGTTTTTCACAACATGTATCAAGTATTTGTTTGACCAAGAGGTCTCAGGCACTGTACTTAAGTGTTAGCTGTATAACTACATGTATATCAAATGTTTTACATTTTCAAGGTCATTTCATCTGTAAAGCTATTTCTTAAGCCAATATCCTCTACATCAGAACTACTATTTGGTATCATAATAACTGTGTCCAGAGAAAATTCATATCAACAGCTAGAAATAATTCATTTCGAAGATTTGCATTAACACAGGGGATCAATAATCTGACCGTTAATGTCTAAAGCCTCCTGCTTTAACATCAAATGAATATTTTATCCATATCTCCATGGTGAATACAAAGTTAAGAAATACCTCAATGATTGAGAGACTCAAAGATATTTCTGAGACCAAGTTGTACTTCGCAAATACGAATAGAATGAAAAAAGATGATATGTTGTATGTAAAAATAACAAAGATATTATGTTCTCAAATGAAAGAACTGATATTCAGTTTCATAAAATTAAGGGCTGAGCAAACAAAACGAATATGAGATGTCTACTTTGGCCAAAAAAAGTTATTGTCAGCAGCAAAGATTGAGTGAAAGTTCATAAATATGGCTCAAATTTTTTTCACTGAACAAAACTCAACAGGAAGGACAATGTTTGTTTAAGTTCAAAATAATGCCAAACCTTTCCTTAAACTGTTAAACTGATCTAGCTTTAAGACCTTATCTCAGTAATGACAGCAAATTAGAAAAGTGGCAGCTTCTCATTAAACCATGGGCTTTCAAAAGATTTCAGTCGATATTATATCTCATCTTGTAAGCATGGTGTTTGTATTGAAGCTTTCATTTTCTCAGAGTTAATTGACAATTTGTTCCGATCAATATTATCCATCTCATCTCAATATATCAATTTAACCAAATCTTATTTACAAACACACTCATAGTCAATTTACTAAAATAAACGTTGGACAAAATTAAGCTCTGTCTATGTGATTTTGATAAATTGACCTTGCTCATTAAAATGAAAAGGCAGCAGTTCCCCCAGTTCATTAAATAACATGGTTGGAGAGATACTCCTTACATCATAACTTTTACAACATGAAGTGTCTATTAAAGTTGCATTTTTAGAAAATCATGCCCTCCCATGGAATTATTCCAAAGAATGAGTTAGTTCTCTCTCATAAAAATTGCAATTGTTGATCAATGAGAGTAAAACAAGGTTTAAGTCATGAAGATAAATATCATATGGTCTTGAAGTTCAAAATGGCCACCTTGAATATCATTCAGCATGCCCACAACCTAAATTCAGTTCTTGGTTCTCATCTACTCTTACATTCATCAAAAATATGCTAAATCAACACATGTGTTTCTCCTGCTATCCTGGCGACAAGTTCTCCATCAGACATAACAAAGATAATACAGGACTTTTCAAGTGCAAAAAGTTAGGTTTTTGTTGCAGGGGATTATGTCAAATGGTAAGGTTAGAGTAAAACAGGTTTTCCCATGCATTTTTATCGAATTGTTTCTGTAGAAAGAAGATACAATAACACAAAATCAATGGTAACATAATCACTATGCAGTTCTATTATGATTTATGCATCTGAAACATTCCACAAAATAGGCTCAAAGTGATATTAAATCAACTGAAGTTGTAGTATGGTATCTTAAGTATGATATCTACAAAACAGATATGGATGAAAGTCACTTATATGGATATCTATGTGTCATTGTGCAAATTAAATAATTCCAGATATCAAATACATGTATACATAACAGGGCATTAACACACAAAATGTCACTACCTGCCATTTGTTACAGATGTTGAACATCAAATACCATCCTCACAAACACGAACTACCAAAAGCCATCCACAAAAAAGTTGGAGATTATAACAATATTGACCCATTTCTGGAGGTGACATACCAGAATAGCCATTCTAAAAGAACTTGATGAATTTTGACCAAAAATGTGGAATTGATTATTACCTGAAGTTGGAGATTCATCAAGTTTTCTTTTCTTGGACGGTGTTGATGACGTGGAACTGAAATTTGCATTTGATATACTGTCGAGGTTCCGTTGATGATGCTCTAACACTTTGGCTGTTTCTTGCCATTGTTCCTGTTCGCTCTCCCAAGGGTCCATTCTGAGAATAAACAAATGCCAAATTAATATAAAACAGGCAATTATTGTACAGTTAAACGTCTCTAGCCCTTGCCATTTATTCTTTATTTTTATAATTTGTACTGTATTTGAGTAAATTTCAATAAATATGATTATAATTCAACATATATGAGTATATTTCAATACATGCCTAATGGTACTATAGAAGGGTACAAGATATATTAAAATATACATGAATAGAGTACTTGAATGTGAACACATTTTGGAGGTGAACACATTTGAAAAAAATATTTTAGCCAATCCCAGCAACACGCAAGTTTTACTGTAAGTCACAGTTATTGTAATTTTCATCAATGGATTTGCGTATTAGGTTAATATAAGTCATAAAATTAACCAAATTCTTACTCAGAATGAAATGAATTGTGAAATAAGAAATATTGAGTGATGTGATGGTTTATTAGTTATGGTAATGTTGATGAAATTGACCTTCTATATCTCCCCTCTAATCAAAAAGGCTGGAAATATGACAAATAATTGTAAATGGATAATAAAAAAATTCACAATACAAGTTTATTTGGGGCATTTCTTAGTCATTCATGTAATATGCTGTGTGTTGAGCAAAAGCAATACCACAAATTGTACAAATTGTACATGTATTGTACGTACCTGATCCAATCTGAAGATTTCAAAGCTGTCCTAACCATTGAACATCTATGTTTAGCAGAGACCAGGTCCTGGAACATATAACATTTATATATGTAATTAAATTACATACTGACAGCATTAAATAAATTTGGGATGTTATACATAGCACTTGTTAAATCAGAACTGAGTGATATCCTATTTTAATACAATAAATTATAAAGATAAATGTGAAAACATATAAGAAAAATTATTGAATTTTACATTTCCTACTCCTGGCTAATACCATGAACTAAGATGATCAAATATTTTCCTGTTTTTAACTAAATGTTTCAATATCAATAGACAAAGCATGTTTTCTATGGTAAATACTGAAATTAGCGTTTATTTTGAGGAAATTTTTCAACTTTTTCCTCGTTAAATTATTATACCTGCTGATTTCATTTGTTTTGCCAGAAATTATAATATAACCTCTGTTTGTAGTCATACTTAGCCAGGGTCGTCTTTCTTGGTTAAAACGGTTTGTAGTGCAAAATAACCTAATATGTTTGACTTAAAAGATTGCGCTAAAGCTCTGGAGATACATCCAATTTAACCGAATGAATAATTGAAAATAATGGGAGAGTAAAAAAGAACATGGGATGCTACTCGGCTCTAAAACAGAATTCCCAAAACATACAACGTCACAATCATTTATTCTAAAATCTTGAATAGATCTCATTTTCTTGCTGTTATGATTTAGGACAACATTATCTCTGTAATAAAATTCCTAGAAAAGCTATTTGCTTTGACGATATTTCTCAGTAGCTTGATAAAACACAAATCTAAAATATTGTCTATAAGGGAGAACACTATGGGATTCAAAGGTCAAGTTTCATTATTGTTTTATCCCCCAGGAGATCCAATACCTTATTAGGCAACAGTACTAAATCAACGGATTCTGAGCAGTCTTCACTGAAACAATACCCCCTCATGAATCTTTTTGTGGGTTAAACAGACAATAACTATTCTCCGCTGAGTAGATAGGAAAAACAAGGTGCCATAGTGAATATTTTATAGAGTTTCTGTCTGTAAATTACAATTAGTATATGGCAGGCATTTTTCATGAAAGTAAAACATGTCTAAGTGGAAAACCTGTGGTACCTCTAAAAAGTGTTACACTTGGGAGGTACTTCACTTATAGAGGTTCATTTAACATTAAGTCAGTGGGTCTTGGGACTATGAAGTGTTCCACTAGAGATGTTCCACTTCTAGAAGTGTTCCACTTTGCAGGTCTTTCTATACATCGCAATTTCCAAAACTATGAAGACACTCACTACATCAGAAAAATAGTAAATTCTAGAATTTGGATAAGTCTTCAGAACATTGAGAAAGACTGAAGATTTGAATGAGATACATATGATCCTGACCTGGGATATGTGATATGTACGGAAATCCTCATTTTCACAGAAGAACTCAACAAGTAGATTCACGTCTGAGAGTATTGCTAGAATCCATTTTCAATAGTAAGAATAGGAGTTCTTTAATCACTGTTGCACAACTAGTTACTTTGATGGAACGGGTGTCGACTTTTGCCAATCAACCGAAGATACCTCAAGAAAAGCCGGAGATTGCCGAAGATTGTCGAAGCTTTTCTTTGCAAACGAAGTTGGCCGAGGGAACCACGAATGTGAAGAGGACATCTCTAATTGGTCAAAAATAGGGGCTCGGCATTCCCCGTCAGATTGAATCGGCATAATTCAGTTGTATGGCTTACCTTCGGTTGCATGGCCCAACCTCGGTTGATTGGAAAAGATGCTGTCCCTTGATGGAACGTGAATGTAACAAAATGGATGAACTTCCTGGATACAAGTTTTTTATTTTCTCGATTTAAACTTATGTATAAGTTGTCTTGCAGATTATCATTTGACACAAAGTTAGACAATACTGTCTCTAGCTTTTAGAAATGCTCTCAGTTTGGAATTTGATTATTGAATAAAGCTATAATCCAAGGGGCTAAATATATGAATTGCAACTTCATTTACAAAACACATTCCAAATTGAAGAAACTTATTAAAACTTATATTTTCTAGCTTTGTGCCAAATTATAATCTGCAACTTGACTTATAAGTAGGTTTAAATCAAGAAAACAAAAAACTGAGGAAGTTCATCCATTTTGTTACATTGACATTCCGTCAAAGTAACTGGTTGTGGAACAGTGTTAATAAGGCCTTTTTGAAAGGTTTGGTTAGCTCTCGTGGACATACCTTACAATGTCAAAACCCAGATGAATAAATTGATAACTTACATGTGCATTAAGGTATATTTTAATTTTTAAACCTGGCTAAAATCAGGAAATAACGTCCTTTTTAAAATAAATGCCCAGCTGCTTTAGTTTGTAAAGATCTCGATTAACCCCACAGAGCCTCTGACCCTCACGCTATGAACCTTCTGCATGCCGAACAGAACAGCATTCAATGCTGAGAAAGAAACATCTACCAACTGACAAAGCTATATCTATATATTACAAGATGTCCATCCGTCTGTCCGTATGGGGGGACAGGAAAACAGAAATTTTCAAATTTTTTCAAGATGGCCGCCGCTTTAAAAATGACGGGACTTTTTCGCAAAAATCACAAATTTTTCATTCTGAACCAAAGTAATTAATATTATTGTTTGAACAACATTTATCTATTTCACATATATTCCGTGTTTTTCATCCTGACCCCCAGGGGCTGTGTATGGGAAACAGAAATTTTCGCTAATTTTTAGATCTTTCTGAAGTATAACTTTATTATACTCAAATGAAAGGCAATTAAGAGTAGATTGCAAATATTGTATCTTTTTTCTGATTCGAGCCTCGTAAAATTCAAAATGGCCGTCTAATGTACGATTTCGCAATAATTTTTCGATCCCTTCAAAGTATGGCTATATTATACTCAAATTGAAGGATTTTTGGAGTAGATCACAATTATGGTATTATTTTTCAGATTTGTAGCTCAGAAAATTCAAAATGGCTGCTTTGCAGGAATTCGCAATTCTAAAATCTAATTTTTTCAATTTTAACCAAAGTAATGAGTATAATTGATTGGAATTCGGTAATTGATATTTTGTTCGTTGGGACTTGCTACTCCGCGGAGTTGCCGTTATCTAGTTATTCATTAGAAGCATGTACCTTCAAGTAATTCCATGGTGATAAACAACATTCAGATCTGATAAAATGAACTGCTTCTTACAGTTGGTGAGGTGATTTATCAAACTATTAAATACAAGCAGTCCTACCTTCTTTGCATATTTGTCGTTAACAGGGGATATTATGCCTCCGACGACCCGATATCTTCCTGTACGTTGCAGTGAGTCTCGAGCAAGCTCTGAAATATACATGTGATTATAAGTTATATCATAATCAAAAGTGTTTGATTGATGATTTCTTATTCTTTAATGCAGGGACCTACCCCATATACTAGTTGTTTTGCCTGCTTGACTTATATTTTTTATTGCATTTTCACTGTATTATACATTTTACAAGTAAATAGATACTCTTTTAATTACAGTATATTAGAAAATTTTCAAAAGGTCGATCATCCCCATACAATAGAGGATTTACAAAAATATAGTTTACACATGTTTACAGTATAGCAGCTATATGTAAAATAGATGCAGTATACAATCACACCGGAATAGCCTGACAACGGTAAAGTCAGATACCGTTCTCACAAATGGCGGACATAACCGTCGCTTCAACTCTTTAATCACTTGGTCCTTGTTTCATGGGACTTTATCATTGCTAATTCTGAGCATGTGTAAGCTTGTGTGATGATGTATTATATGAAATCCCAATTTCTATCAAATGGGGTCGTGAATCGCCACAATATAGCGTCTTTGATATCGTCAGGGGAATCTGAATTTGAAATAATTTACAAAGACAACGGCATATGGTAAGATGTGACAATGGACTATGATGGATGTATTGCATTGAAACATAGGAAAATGACAACGGAAAATAGACACTTTACTGTTGTCTTTACATATACCATTGTCAAATATTACCATTGTCACCTTGATTTTACATCACATTTGACCAACACCTACCGTTGTCATTTATACAGTATCCGTTGTCCTGTGTCATATTCCGATTGGTAAAATTAAAGCCTTTATGTCGATGGTAGAACATATTTAACTTACAGATCAGTAGAATAACACTTTGAGTGATTGCAGTACCAAAGGAATTTAATTTAGTCGCTCAATTAAACATACAGTTCATGAACTCAGGATCTAATTGAAGCAACGATATGTCCGTCATTTGTGACAACAGTATCTGACTTTACCGTTGTCAGGCAGTATTCCAGTGTGACAATGCTCAGTGGCGTAGCCAGGATTTGTCAGGGGGGGTTCTAATATTTTCTGCTAAATTTGCCAAATGTGCTTAAATTTTGCCAAATTTGCTTAAGTTTTGCCAAATTTGCTTAAATTTTGCCAAATTTGCTTAAATTTTGTCAAATTTGTTTCAATTTTACCAAATTTGCTTAAATCTTGCCAAATTTGCTTAAATTTTGCCAAATTTGCTGAAATTCTGCCAAATTTGCTGTATGTTTGCCAATTTACCTCAATTTTGCCAAATTTGCTTAATTTTGGTCTAATTTAATTAATTTTTGACAAGTTTCTAAAATTTTACTTAAATTATGCCAATTTTACTTAAATGCCAATAATGGATAAATTTTGCCAAAGTTTCATTGTTGCCAAAGTTTCATAATTTTTGCCCATTCGCTAAAATTTAAAATTTTACCAAATTTTCTCAAGTTTACCAAATCTCAAACAATTGCAAAAGCAAAAAATAGGTAAAATATCCCAAGACCAAGTTCATTTATTTGGGCAGATTTTTTTAAATTTGGACCCAACATACCACAAATTCACAGAAATTAGCAGACATAATTTTCAATCGCTTGTACAACGAGCTTTATAAATAAATAGGAGCCAAAAATCAGTAAACAACTCTGTGTGAGTGATCTTTATACTTGCTCTCTGATCTAACTACAGCATGAAAAATAAGAACGTTGTAAGTAAGAATTTTCTAGCGTTCACAATTTTGGTGCATCACGGCCCAGTGTCACTAAACATTCACATGTTCAAAATTCTCTGCTGATTTATATCAAAAATTAGACCATTTTGACGTTATGTACAACAATCAGATAATTTCAACTTGGTAGGTATGCTCTATTTGTGCATTTGAATTCATTTTGAAGATATTACTTCAGTATTTCAGGCCTAAAGTGCAAAGAGCATACCTATTATCGCCCATTATTGATTAAGAAGATTTTTGTTTTTCTGTTTTTTTAAATCTTTTTTACTCAAAACAAAGCTATAAATCTCACATATTTCCATCTTGACATATAACTCAATTGTCTTTGGGTAATCAAAAACGATAAATTATTGAAAGACTGCAAAAATTTTACTCAAAGTTTGGAGGTTTGCATAATTGCCAGAAAGGGTGGGTTCGAATTTTTTTAGGCAAGATTTGGGGGGGGGGGTTCGCACGAGCCCTACGAACCCCCTCTCCCTACGGCCCTGATGCTTATAGGTTTAATATTTCATTTTGGTATTCTTTAAAACGTCCTGATGTGAGACTGAATCAGTAGCAAATAGTTAGAATAAGTGAAAGCCCATGAATGGTAAATGGAAACAAATACAGTAATTGAAATGTTAAAAAAGTTTAAAAAATAAGAAAATATACTGTATGTGAATTTATGGAGTATATGAAGTAGTTATGTATATACGTATTATAAGCAGCCAGATCTACATCATACGTGTATCCCAGCAATCATAGATGAACCTTACTCAAGTCTCTAGCCAAATTACTTGGCTAGAAGACATGGCATGTGGACCAATGTGCACCAGTGAAAACATTGATTCTGGAGTAAGATTGTTTTAGATATTATTCTAAAAATTGTAATGAAAATATTTCGTCAAATAGAATGTAAACGAATACTATCCTTTGTGAGATAATGCTTGCTTTCGTCTAAACTTAAAATCATTTGGTCTGCCATTTATAAAAACATCTGTTGAGGTTGATCTTTATCTCGCTTTAGCGAAAAACAAAATGGCCATTTTTACCGAAGGATCTTTTTCAAAAGATTGCTCTTAGAAAAGACTAAATAAAAGCCGATGTATATGGTCATGATGAACTAAAACTACATACTAAGTTCAATGAAGGTATGTTTATTACATTTGAGTTAATTCATAGCAACAGTCCACACAGGATAGCGTAAAAAGCAATAAAACAGGGCTTGATGATAGCGTAAGGCTACACTGTAACCAAAGAATAAGGTAAGATGAACCTATTGTTCTACAGTAGATCGGGATCCGATTTACTCACTTCGAGAGCCATGTTACATTTTGAAACTTATGGCTCTCAAACGGGGAAGTGGACAGCTGATTAATAGTGACCTTTGAAATCGAATTAAGTCGATCAGCGGCCTAATTTTGTTCTCTAACTATGTTATACATCATTATCATCCTTCCGTGCAAGTATTGGAGCGCTGAAGTACTTCCTTTTCGATCAAGACTTGTAATTTTTAGTCGAGTGAATGTTTTTACTGCCAAATTCCAATATGGCATTTTCTGCTCGGACATTTCCGTGAATCTCCGGAGGTTATCCGAACCTAAATCATTCTAAAAATTCATTTCGTTCATTGCGTATCTCGTTCCTAGCAAACCGCCATATTGGAAATGGGTCGAAAAAAACGTTCACTCGATGAACAATTTACAAGTCTTGATCGAAAAAGAAGTATTTCAGCACTCCAATACTTGCACGGATTAATGGTACTGATGTAACACACATTTAGAGGCCAAAAGTAAGCCACTGAAATCTTTATTTATATTTTAAAGGTCACTATTATTCAGCTGCCCAAGTGCGCCGTGGGAAAGCTATTGTATCAAAATCTACATAGCTTTCGCAGGAAGTAAGATCTGATTACATGATTCAACAAACATTTGCTTATTACTACATCCGGGACTACATCGCGGGTAAAGATAACCCTGAGAGGTTAAGGTGCTATGGAAGTTAACAGGAAATGACAAAACAGGAAGTGACAATTTTTTTTGCATCTTTAGATATTTTTTGAATAAAGATAACAGAGTTCTGGTTTGACCTCCAGTCAATTTAACTATTTCCACATATCATTTACATGACCAGGATCACAATGTGCATGGTCAGAATGACCCTAAACATGATGAAATAACCTTTTTAGCCCTTTGAAAGTGTGACTGAAAAAAGCTAAAAGTAGGAGCGTAGGGAAGGTCACTGAACAGAATCTTTTGAATTTTTCAGAAAATGTGCCCAATATATTGCTCTAAATGATACAATCTTTCAAAATTTGATATCATTCATAGAAAAAGAAAAAAAAATGAAAAAACTGATTTGAAAAGCGATCTATTTTCCTTTTTATGACCGCCATTTTTGTTTAAGACAATTTTCTAAAATTTCAAAGATTGTACTAGTTAGAGCATTATATTGGGCACATTTTCTGAAAAATTCAAAAGATTCTGTTCAGTGACTATCCCTACGCTCCTACTTTTAGCTTTTTTTCAGTCACACTTTCAAAGGGCTAAAAAGGTTATTTCATCATGTTTAGGGTCATTCTGACCATGCACATTGTGATCCTGGTCATGTAAATGATATGTGGAAATAGTTAAATTGACTGGAGGTCAAACCAGAACTCTGTTATCTTTATTCAAAAAATATCTAAAAAAGCAAAGAAAATTGTCACTTCCTGTTTTGTCATTTCCTGTTAACTTCCATAGCACCTTAATCTTATTTCCATCTAAGAATTCTAGGGCATTTCCTCATTTATTATATATATATTTAATTTTATTATAGGCATTATATATCCTTCAATTCTGAAGTGAAAGTGAAACTAAACTGAAGAGTGTAAACAGAATCTCACAATTATTTAATAAACTGTCAACTCAGATTTGTAATTTTGTGCTGAACTGGAATGCAAAGTGTTAACAAAATTGACAGTAATGAAGTTAGTTCAACGTCGTTAAACTCAATAACGGCGTTATTTATTATTAAGAATTTTCTTAGGGCCATTATTGAGTTTAACCTCCTTACTATTCTTTCCATTGATGCAAGTTTTGGATCCACCGAAACCATTTTTCCGCGATAACATGCAACTGATACTTGACAACAATATAAAAACACATAACATCAAGCGATTAAACACAATATTATTGTATTAAATGGTCATTTATACAAGTAAAATGAGGTTAAACTTACCAATCTCTAAAATGACATTTCCGCATGTCCGCCATTGTGTCTGTTCGTCCCGGGTTAAAATTTAAACTATTGAAACGAAATTGTTGTCAAATAGATTGATAATTATCACGCGATTACTCGGGATAAAATAACTATTTTTGAGTATAGCAGGTATCTTTGATTGATTTATATAGCGCTTGTATACACAAAAAATAGTTATTAATTGCAAACCTACTGTTCGTTGATGCAGTGTCGCAATGACGGTTAATTCCTGATACGATTTGCAATTTCGATGTTACCGGAGTTGACGATATTTTCGTAAAATTCCAAACCTGTCTCCAATATTTTCGTAATTATGCATCAATATGGTCTAAGGGGGGTACGGGATGGTGTGTATGTATTTATAAGGTATGTATGCATGCTTGAATCACATTCTTTATGTAATATTACCATGTTTTCGGAGTTTAATTAGTTCCGCATGTCGGAACCTGCTGAACGACTAAATTAACACATCAAGGGCAAAATGGTCATGGAGGTTAGACCTAGCCGGGCCATAAGACATGTCAGATAAGAAAAGAGGCCCAGGCTAGGTCTAATGTTGTTGGACTATAATGAAGTTTGATATATAAAGAATCATAAACTTACCAAACATTCTCAAGTGCATGTTTGTGACGGGATTAAAAGACCCGCAAGCGAGGAGCACAACTTTTGCTGGACTTCCCATTTCTTCCTTCTTCTTGTAAATCTCGTTACCGTGATCAGCTGATGTCTAAAATGAAATCCATATTATAGCTATAAATGGATGATTCAAGGCAAAAGTTTTAAATAATTCCCATCAATATTTATTACACTAAAATATCAGAGGTCAGAAATTGATAATTGGCTGCGTGTTTTAGTATAAATATAGAAAATATAATAAGTATAATTCTAAAGTCTCGCGAGAAGTAATCTAATATGGCTGCGCCCATGAAAACATGATATTTTTAATTTTCTGCAGTTTTTGTTAATTATCTTACCCGATATAGCGTATTATTCAATTTATGTAAGTATAGACTTTGCATGACATAATTACCAATCAGAAAATTAATGGTTCGACCATAAATTACCTGACATTTAGTTGTATTAGTCTACGCTCTGTATTTTTTTCTCTTATTTTTCACAGAATTGAGAATAGATCGAGGTCTTCATTATCATCGGTTAGATCTTTCCCTTTGTACAAGAGTCAGTATAAAATGTATAATAGAATTTCCTACATAGATATTAATAAGAGAAAATTCTGTCAAATGTTTTTACATTACATCTGATGTAGAGTCAATACGTCCAAAAAGTGAGTAATCCAAATCCAAACAGGGGGGTAAACATGAACAGGTTCCAAATAATGGCAAGCAGATCATTGAATTGAATAATAGTACCTCTACTACCTCTACATAATATTTATAGCCTGAAAGATACAATATAATGATGTATACCAACAATCTTACAATAAAATAATCAATTATGATGATTTAGGTGTTCGGAATTACCCCCATGCTAGTGTTTGGAATTACCCCCACAAACTCTGTGCGTTTAAATAAATAGATGTCAGTAATAAATGATTTAAATTTGGGTTTCTTGATATGCAGGGGTGACAGAATCCAGTATCATAAGTTAAGGGTATCATATAATGATATACCATCAATCTAATAATTAAAACAATTAAGTTTAAGTTAAGTGTTTGGAATTACCCCCATGCAAGTGTTCGGATTTACCCCCCAAAATAACTCCTGTTCGGAATTACCCCCCTAAAATACCTTGTAGTAAAAATGGAATAACCCAGATATTTTTTACAATTTTTTGTAATTTTTTCTGCAAATGCATTCTACAGTGGATAATACACATAATATATATAGAATCATAGCATAGATGTGCAGTACAGCCAAGCTAACTACATTTTTTGACGGGGTGTTTGGAAATAGACGTACTGACAGACTCTACTGTAAGAAGAAAATCATCAGAGCTTACATGTATGTGTCATCACCTTCTTCTAAGGCCACTGTATGGTAGCCTTCGTCCAAAGATAAATTCATGCATGTATAACAGGTCATGTCGTAATTATGAAATTTGAATTGCGAGTTTTGGTCTTATTACCTCACCATAAATTCCAAAACACACAGAAAGCGGGATATCAATGTATTAGTTCACATCTTCTGGATCACTAACTTAGAATTTACAGCCAGTTACTAATGTCAGACATTAACAACATTTCGTCCAGTTTTCGAATATCGCCATTTTTCTTGGAGCCTTTTGTTTTAATTTTAGACGAAATCATGCAATATCTCATCAAGGAACCCAGCCAGTAGCATTTTAATTAATGATTTATCTGGCGATTTTTAAAATATTCAATAAATTTATGACACGCCGGCCAGCTTTTTTCAAATGGAGTTCACAGCTCCAGATGAAATTACTTTTAGCCAAGAATAGGCTAGAGACTTGAGTAAGTGTGTCACAGTCTAACAGTAGAGCTGTTTACACACCAGCTTTTCTTTGAGGTTTGTCTGAGTTTTCCGATATTCTTGTTGATATCCTTCAGATGTCCTTATGAAATTTAGTAGTCTCTCTGTGCTGGATTTCTACTAAGGTTGCTATTAGGTTGCTATAGGCTCTATGACGTATGTAACCAAAATTAAGCGCCATCAGAGCCTGCATTACAGCCCATTTCACTGTTTTATTGCGTCAGTGATGATTGAATAATTGACATATACAGTACAGGGTTCTCACCATGAAATTTTTTGACCCCAGATTTTTCTCAGTGTTGCAACTACTCCTTCTATGTGAGATCAGAGATATCATATTAGTATACTTTTCAAAATACTCCTTATACTCCTTATCTTCCTATTTTAATCACAATATACATTTCTAACAGGTTTTTGACTTCCTATTCCTTGTTTGATTCTAGTTTTATGTTTTCTCAAGAATTTAGACAAATAATGTGACAAAAATGTAGTATTAGACTCCGGAAAAAACACTTTAGATTACGGAAAAGCTATTAGACTCTGGAGAATCTCCGGAGTCTAAAAGCCTAGTGAGAACCCTGCAGTAAGGAGGAATACAATGTAGAAAGAAAAGAACAGCTTAATATTATTCAAGAATATTACAAAATATAGTGCTCTTTCATAATATATGACATGTAATTATTGCCATTTTTAGGATATGTGTTTTATAAATATGGTTTAGTTACAAGACATATATAAACATGTTGTGTTTCGTTCCATTTTGCATCAATGAAAGAGCAATGCCATTTTCTGATTATGAATTTCAGCATAAGAAACAATAAAATGGGAAAGAACAAGAAAAAGAAGAATGCTGGTCATTCCTTAGCTGATGCAGTACGAGGAGTCAAGAAAATAACACAAAAGAAACTCAATCCGTTTGAAGTGAAGTTCAACAAGCAGAAACACAATGTGCTTGGCAAGAAAATGCTCAAGAAAGATGTTGGTCTACCTGGTGTATCCAAATCAAAGGCAAATAAAAAGGTAACTTGTATATATGTTTTACTTACATAAGATATAATTGTAAAGATGATTACATTGTACTGTACATGTACTTGTATTGTATTGTCTAGGCTACCCTTTTGTCTGTGATTTTATTCACATATATATTTTTCGAATCTAAGATATAATTCCCGCAATGATACTTTCAGCGACAAGAAACGTTACTCCAAGAGTACAAGAAGAGAGGGAAAGCCAATCTGTTTGTTGATCGCCGTTTAGGGGAGACAGATCCTAACCTAACTATTGAAGATAAAATGTTACAAAGATATGCTGCTGAAAAACAGGTATTGTGGTAACAACTAAAGCAATATCAGGCATTATATTTACTGAATATTGAGTCAATGCCATCTATTGTTTCTCAAGTGTATTATTAGTATGTTACATGTTGCTATCTATCTATGATCTATCTTATCTTGACATGCATGATGCTCATTATTGCTAGTTAAGATATGGTACAGTACCAATCCAGTGACCCCATTCATTTTTTATTATAATCTGAGTCATATCTGGCGAATATAAAGATTTAAGTTAAAATTAATGTTTGATTTGTAGATTTTCATCCAGCCCAAGTCATCTGTATAATGTTTTTACTTAGAAGAAACTAGATTTTCAAACATTTTTCATTATCAATTTATTATTACCAGAGACCACAAATGACCAGCAAGAATCTTTTGGATCTACTAATAGAGATATACTAGGCCATATGGAAGAACATTTAACGTAAATCTGCCTCTAGTCTATTTTTCCAATCATATCATCTCCACGAAAATATATCCCTGAAAGATACTCTACATATACACATGTTATGCTTATCATGGAATTTCGTTTCTGAAAGATTCCTTGTTTATGAAAATGTTTGTATCCAAGCAGGAATTCAATTCAATCTATCATTCATTGGTAATTCAATTCAATTCAATTTTTCATCATAATCATCTCAAAGATAAGTTGAAGTTATAAATCACAATTCTTTCCTGTTTGAGTATTTTTTTCATAATTCAGCTGAAGTAAAATGTGTACTATGGAACATCTCTCTGAAAGGACCACCTCTCTTCACAGGACCCTCACCAGGAAATATTTAGGGTGTGGTGCTAACATCTTCAGAATAACCGTTCAATCGTGATAAATCATATTTATGTTATGTTTTATCCTTTTTACATGCTATTATTGTATATTCAGACAAGTTTAGACTGTGGAAACAGTCATGATTTGCCAATAGGGTGTGGAGGGAGCTTAATAGAGTGTGGTGCTGCACCACAGTCTAAAAGCCTGGTGAGAGCCCTGCTTCATGAAAACAGTTTTTGAAAGTTTAATGGGACTTTAAATGATGTCTACACGGAGCAATTTTGGTCAGTACTGAGGATGTTTGATATACAGAGGGTTTTCTGTTGTGTAAAACAAAACATGCGATACAATAGAATGTTTTTCTAATCCCATTAAGCTTGTATTGATTGATTTGGCTAGAGTTGCTGTTGATGCTTGAAGTACCATCTGGTTTCAGTTTATCAAATTAAACAACATTGACACTAGATCTTTAGATCTTTTGTGAGTTATAGCTCATGAAATGATCATTTAGTGTTTCTGAACCCGTACTTTATTACACAGGGACTTAATTTAGATGATTGTTGATTCATCAACTACATGAAAGGATCAACATAGAAAGAAATACTTTTCTTAGACTTGTATATTGTTGTCTCTTTTGCAGAATGTTTACTGAATCTGTATGTTACTTACATATCTAATATAAATTGGAAAATGAAAATTTTATTCTATGATTGCTTCATTGATCTATTTAAGTAGATAATGTAAACATATATAAAGTTATAGCAATTTTATGAACACATACTTTCAAATTCTCTAAATGCCTTCTCACAAAACTCATTCTCAAAGTCCCCCATCTCTCATGATAGCATTATACTAAGCATTCAGAGGATGCATGTTTAGTACATAAGTAATCAAAGCCCTGTCTGAAAAATGGATCATATCGTGCTTCGCTTCTTTTAATTCCCTCATATGGCTAGAGTAGATATGTCAAGTCTGTGATATTGAGTTGATCATAATGATGTGTTCATTAATACATACACCCCCATGTCTAAGCTATCATACTCTCACATTATCATGAGGTCTCTGGTTGGGACCTGTCTTATGAAGATTATCCAGTTAGATATATCTGAGGTACCTCCTTTGGTGATATGTTACTGTCTGATAGGAATACCAATAAATAGCAGTGAGATCCCATGGGTGAATTTTAATCTCACTTGATACTTTATCTGAATTACTCTTAGGAGTATTGTAGCAACCTTGATGGTGACCTTAATAAGACAAAATATTCATAAGAAAATGCTAGGCAGTCATCTTTTGGAATTCGAATTGTGGAAAAGATTGGTAATTAACGAAGAATATTAAAGTAAATAGGTATACAGTGAAACCTGTATATCCAAACACCTCTCTAATAAAAATACCTCTCAATGTGAACTTTTTTTCTCGGGCCCAATCTCGGTCTCTCATTGACTTACATAGGGCTATTTATAAAACCTTGAAATGTGACCAGCTGCTGATCTAAACACTTTTAGCAGGGCCCAGAGGCGTTCTGAATAGACAGGTTTGGCTCGGGCAAAAACTGAATTTTCAGAATAGTTTAGAACCAACACTTGTACCAATGACAAAATTCTCGAGCTATTGCCGTTTGATTATTCTCTTTGCTATAGAATTCAATCTAAATTGATATCAGTTTAAATAAAACATGATATAGAAAGTAATCAGTTTGTCACCCCTGTCATATCATGGTTCACTTCAGTGTCTGGGTTTCAATTTAATTTTAAGAAACATTATTCATAATATTCCATTAATCTATCAAATATGCAAGGAAGAAGGAACACAATTTAATCACATCTGTCTTGCATCAGTGGATGGCTTGGGGGCGGATTATTAGATCTTCTGGGTGGACATAACCTATTTAAGAAAATAATACTTTAGACCTGCATTTTGAAGGAAAATGTATTTTTAGGTTGGCTTTTTACAAGTTCGTTGTTACTGAAACTATTTTTATGCATTTTGCAAGTTACAATGATAAAATAAGATCAAAGTTAAAATTGTCATTCCCCTAAAGATTGTATGGTTCGTCCCTGTATTGTTATAGTGAGTTTTCAATGAAGTAAAAAGCATATTACAATAAAACCTTTTGTTTTCGAATGCCTCTCTCACCACTTTTTTTCTCATGTACTTTAAGTGTCTAAATTAACGACGTCAGAGTGTTATACAACAGTCAACAGTGTGAATATCTCACAATTTGTTAAATTATATTGCCTGGTTGCAATTGAAAATTAGAACAGGATTTAAACATCTTCTGAATGTGTGTAGTGTTTAGTTGGCTTGGCAGTATTCCCTTAAGAACAGGTTTTGTTTTAATTGATCTGAAGGGAATGCTCAAGAGGAAAAATGTATCACTAAACAAATAAGGAGGGGGTGTAAGTACTCTGTTTGCAGTACCTTGACATTTAAGAAATTTGACTTGTGAGACGTTAAAATCTGATCACATAGAAAAAGTTTGCATCAGTGTTGTCCCTAGTGCTTTCACTTTATTAAAACAATGTCAATGCTGTCTAATTTAAGTTTTACAATTTGTCATGGATTTCAGAGTTTCACAATTTTTATAGAAAATGTCATAAATTGCTCAAAATATCCTCATTTTTCAAGGTTTCCTTAAATTTCCCTGCAAATCTTGATTGATCAATGTTACATGTATGTCGCACATAAGCTAGTCAGACTGATGTGATAGTTAAGTTCCGATACTGAAATCTCAAGATTTACAAACTTACTATGTCAGATAGGAAGAATATCGACAAGTGCCAGTTATAAAGATAATCGGACTTAGTAACAGCCAAGATTAATCCAACACGGGAGATGTTATTCGAGACCTTGTAGAGTAATGAGATGTTAAGATCCAGATTATCGGCAATACTTCTCGGACTCCTATAGATTGATTTGGGCACTTATTGTGTTTCATAAAATCAATACGACAACTGGCTGAAATATGGCCTGACGTTGTTATGTCGCTATAATTAATAATGTGGAAATAATAGCCAATGTTTTTGTGTGGTGATGGGTAAAATTGGACAAATTGAGACAATCTGAATAATGACCAATAAGTGAAATCATTGAGCATGTTACCTAAGTACTGCTCATGTACATCCTTCATTCAAAAGACTTAATTAATTCCTCAATTCATGGGAAGATGTGAAATACCATTGGACCAAGGATGGCACATGTAACTCATGTTTAGCACTTGAGATACATGTATATATAACCCAAGGTTAACATTCAGACAGAAAACGTTATAAGCATTCAGAAGCAAAGAAAAAATATGTTCTTAGCCATGACAGCAGAGCTTTAAAGGAAGTGACCCCTAAAAGCGTAGAACCTCGAGGAAATGGCTAATTCCCTCCCCTGTGTATGAATGAAAGCATTAGATGGCCTTAATCTGTGCCAAAGGAGCAGTAGCACTGACCTAATGGAGAAACCTCATGTGAATCCTTTGATTGAAACTTATTGATGTTCATTGCTAGGGTTCATGAATAACCCGATTGCTGTCTGACTTATAACAACAGAGTGCATCGCTCAGTATCATCTGTACTTTTTCCAGTTCTGCTTAACATTTCTCAATGTCATGTTTGCTTTATGCTATTTCTCTAAAAAAGATTGAAAAGTCAAAATTTCATGTTAGAAGTTAACGCTACGTCCCCGATTGATGAACTTTTGATCTTGGGTTGAAGTGGGCTTTCTGAAGAACGTGATGTAATGAAAAATGTCCTTATTATCTGAAAATTGATTGACTTGGACAGAGAAGGATGGTTATTATGGCCATGATGAAATGTCAGTATTACAATTTATTCAAGAAGCTAGTGGTTGGAAGACTGACTCGTGTACTCGAGTTTTACTCGCATTTGTCCTAAAAATCAATTGATCGAGTTGAAAACTTGAACTCGCGATTTGAAATTTTTACCAAAAAAATATTTTTCACTCGTTTTCACCTTACCTTGACTCGCGATTCGTCTCTCCTATTCGCAATTTCCATGCTTATAGTTGTAATGTTCTGCTTAATCTGTATAGAATACAACTTATTTTCTATTTAATGCCATGTGCGGAAGACAAAATACTCGGATTTTATTCTGGGAATATCCAACAGCCGGGAATTTTAAAATATTTGTCTACCGCGGTGCATCCTGGAACTTTCTGGATTGACGAAGTTTGTTTTCACTATTTATTCGGTAAGTTTTACTATCTATAGGGGACTAGGGGTGAACTTTAACGATTTATAGGGATGTGCAATACGATTTAGACAATAAAAGTATAGAGGCACTTGAAAGACTTGATCAAATTGATGAATTCTGCCGCTACTTGGGAAACTGAAACCGGAAGTAACTCAACTAAGTCAAATCGCGATTATAATCATGGTTTTTCATGGCCCACTCGAGTGGAGATTTTCAGGCGAGTCCGACCACTACAAGAAGCCCTCTCTTACTCAAATTGTCCAACATCTAGTAACAGATTAATGAATTTTAAAGGTTCAAGTTGATAAATGTCACATAGAGGATGAACATCCAGTACTTGATAAAATTAATGTTGTTATTATTATTGAAAGAAAATTTTATCCCAAAATTTGTATTTTCGTCTAAGGACTGTGATTAGAAAACCTTATATAGATACTTCAAGATAAATATTATAAAAATGTCTTGGCAAACTGACACAAGGCCTTATTGTTTGGTCAGCTAATAACATTTAGGATTTTCTCCGAAGGCAATCGAATTCTGTATGTCTGCATTTAACAAAATTAGATTTTTGTCTTCCAATATACAACAAGCTTAATAAGTATAGATCCCCTTCCCACAAGGGATCCTCTCCTGGACTCATGCTTGACATGGACATGGTCTTACATCTAATGGTCATTAGGAAATAGAATTCCTGCATGTGTGTCAGAAAAGAAACAGTTTCCTTTGATTATTGTACTTACAAAATTTTCTAGATTCATTATTATGTAGATTCTAAGCAATAAGTCATATTTTGTGAGATTAGCCTCAAGTTATTGACAAGTGGATTAGTAGATTATTGAGCTGCAGTGTCCATAACTAAAGATCCCGAACACTGTATTCTTCCTTGATTATCTATGTACTGAAAGATGTCTTATCCAAAAGATTTTGAATCCAAAGCAATTTCACTGTTTATCCATTTAATTTCTGGAAAAGTTATAATGTTCTACACCTTTGAGGTATAATTAAGTTTCCCCTATTTCTATGTTTTATTTATTTTTCCTACTTGTTCATTAAGTTCCATTTTTCAGATTAACGTCAAAATTGTTTGGAGAGGAAAATGTGATCTGAGAATATCAAGGAATATATCTCATGGGTATTTAGGGACTCTTTATGTTCATACATTATTGCTTTAATTAGAAGAAAACTAAATTAGATAAATATCCAATTTCCTATTCCATGTTATTGTGAAGTTTAGGGTAAGTTGCCTTATAATGTTGTTCACTTTGGAAATGAATACTGCTATTAAACTTAGAAATATTGGAACAGAACATTTTCTTGTAGAAAAATTTAATCAAGCCTAAATTATAAAGATATGATATATATTGCTTTATAACATACCCATGATGATGTATAGTGCAAAGTGTACACAAGACAGCGGGCCAATATAAGTTTTGAAAAGCCCGCGCCCGCTAACTTTCTGATTGGTCAAGGCGCTGACGTCATTAAACCAATCAATCGAAGATAAAACTGCGCGAGCAATTTTTCTAAACTCATTTCAATCATTTTCAAACCATTTGTTTGTCAATTCTATAAGAAAACAGTACTCTCTGACCAGTCTACATCATAGGTATGTTATAAATCGTTTATGTCACTATCGTGGCACATATGCCCTCGGTTCTCCCAAGGTCGGGCCATATATCACCCAAGGTCGGGCTATATATCACTGAGACCTCGGGCATATATGCCACAATAGTGACAAAACCTCTAAATATTGCATTGTAATCGTATATCATATTATAATCAGAGCCAGAATTGCTCCGCAAAATAATTTTCAAAAATGTGTGTGTTTTCCAATAAGAATCCCCGTCACTTTGAATTCGAATAAGCTTTATTGTGTCTGACTTCATATTCAACAAAATTGAATTATCTCATATCTCTCAAAGCGCATATTCCAGAGCAAATCAAATTTAGAAAAACTAATTTTGCCAATACTGGATAATGACACAATCAAACTTTAATAACATTGATGTGCAATTGAATTTTTCCTGATAAGTATTTCCTGAAACTGAATCGTCATTTCATGAAACAGTGATTGCAATTGGCAAATTAAAAAGTAATTTGTCTACGTCTTTGTTAAATGTAATTTGTACATCAACTGCAGTATTTATACTGACCACAGAGGATCAGAACAAGAGGGGAATTCTGCACTAGTTGTTTTCAGGTCAGCTTGATTAAAGAGTAATTTGTCTGCCTTCTCATTATGTTGTGTCCATGCTGTTATTTTCCCGCTCCTCAAGAGACACATTTGAGCATCCCGTAGGATGAATAGCGACAATTTGTACTTAATTTTCACACTGGAGAAGTATTACATATGAACTGTTCCCAGCATTTTGATCCTTAACCATAGTAACATGTACATGTATTTAGAGAAGATTTGAAATATGTTTGCATGAGCATGATGTCATTCAAGGATTTAAGAAGGGTCTCTGAAGTATGCTCCTTAGCTGCTCTCAGGGGTCTGATTACAAAATTCATTTCAACCAATAATGAGATTATCTTTTTACAATAATGTACTTTGTATGCATCGCTTGGGCCCTTAATGCAAATTAAACCATATGTGTCCAATTAAATTAAATGTTTTCCAAAATGTCACAATTTTTAACAGACCATTATCTGAGACTAGCATTTTAGGTATTATAGTCTCAGCCATTATTAAGCAAAAAAAAACATGAATATGTTTGTATAAACATCATCATCTTCCAAAGAAACTTTCCACAGCTGCAAGTTCTATACTGTTAACATCACTGATGAAATTAATAGAACCATCTCTGGCCAAATGGTTTCTGTAATCGTTTATATGATATATTCCCTCATTTAAACAACATGTCTTAAAACAAGTAATGTACTTTTAATGATAAAAAACTTAAAGAACTACAAATACAATGTAGAGTCAGGTATGACAAATGCAGTTTACAGTTGACACAAACCTTAACATACAATCTTCGTAATTCCAATACAGCTGTAAAAAGTAGATGACATCTGTATAGATGGTGCTGCAATACTTACCATACATATACACCTGAGAAGATACTGCGGCATTGAGATTCCGTTCATTCCAAGTGCAGGCGAGCCCTCGTGACTCTTTCTGGATTCCTCCCTCCTTTGATTGGACTCCATACACAGATTCGTCAACATAATGTTGGATAGTTACTGATGAAGATTACAGATATGCCACTTAGATGGACATCCTCGACTTCGTTAGTTATTTCCTGTCATGCTTTCATTCTTTTGTCCTTGCCACTGTTATTTCCTTATCTCCGGCTATTTAATAGGTCTTGGTCGTGAGGTTTAACTTCTTGATTCTAATATCCCTGCCCACGGCTATGTATTGTCAATCCAATAACAGGATTCTCTGTAACTAAAGAACTGAAGCGTTGGATTCCCTTAGTGGATGACTGTGTGTGATTATAGGAGACAATGTTATCAATGGTGCTTCCATGGTACTGTCATTATTTTAAATGTGCCTCTAAAAAACAACATTGCAATATTATTCTATTTGTTCAATGGAGTGGTAATGATGGCTTGAGGAAAATGGATTGGAATTTTTCTTTTTAATCAGACTGGAACTAGTTTATGAATGGTAAGAGATGATATGTTATCTGTTGTCAGGTCTGTGATTCTAATAGGTTTTCTCTTAGCCAGAAACAAGTGCTGTAGAGGAATATGAGGTGTTATGGTTGGATTAACGCACACTGCACTGACAGGGATTGGTCATTTGAATGATAGAGGGTGATTTTGGATCAATCAATATAATTGATTTATGTAGGGCCTTTCTCAGTTTGTCATTCCAATAGTCCAATGAGAGCTTTCCCTCTTAATCTGGGAATGGGAAAGGTTATCGGAGGGAGTCAGTTCCTCCACTTGAATCTTTGATTGAGGGCTTATCATATTTTTAAATCATGAACAGTGATTTTCCCAGGATTTTTTCTCAGGTGGGTGCAAAATTCTCAATTTCACAAATGGTCAAAATATGCCAATGTTTCATGATTTTTCCCATTTTCAAGTGGGTGCAAATGGATTTTCAGGTGGGTGCAAGCCTATTTTCAAAATCTCATGTGGGTGCTGCACCCACTTGCTTTAATGCTGGGGAGATCACTGATATATATACAAGTAATAATCTGGGAATTGTGTCATGTTATCTGTATAAGATGTAAATTGATAATTTATAGTGTACAAAAAGTTACTGGATCAAAGCAGGACAAACTTTTTACAAGACAAAGGTTGCTTTTCAAAAAGTATGTCTTCATCAATTTCATGGTCACAAATTCATTGCTCTGTATAAGACATCACTCACACCATCTGAGAATCAATCATTGACCCATATCAAGTTTTTGTCACTACTTTCCATAGCTAGGTTTATTACATTGATTGTCAATTACTGGTAGATGAAAAAGCGATTTAGTTGTGATTACAAGAATTAATTCAGGCGAACTTTGATCCATCTGCATCGCAATTTATTTATATCAATGTAGAAATTAATTCTCCCACTATTACTTCTAAATTGCTTGATCGTGCGTCATTAAAACAATTGAAATAGGCGCAGATATTGATATGCTCAGTAAGGAATATAATTGCTAATGAATACCTTGTGGCTTTTGCTATTTGACGAAGATAAATGATTCTTGGCCAGTAAAAATATCTCATAAAAAAGCATCAAAAACTAATTTGTACATCCTCTCTCCTGTTTCCTTTTTACGTCATTTCAATTTCAAGTTGACGATGACATCTCTTATATGTTTTGTAGATTTAAATTTCTAGGCCAAACAGCATCATTTGCAATTATCTGTATATTTATTAGGATCTAAATTTTCACAGACATGCAATCTTTTTTAGGTAGGTTGAGTACAATGAAAAAGCTGCCTAAATGACCTTGATCTTTATATTTTAAAGGCTAGCATACTGATATCATATGTTTCTCTATTCTGAATTTCTGACCATGTAAAGCTAAAAATATACCATTTCTTTATTGTCAATTTCTGTCATGGTATTACTGATATTTTTACCCTTTGCACTTCACCATCTACATTAAATCTTATATGAGAGAGATTTTTAAATATTTTGATTTTAGTATGAATCCTCAAATAATATAAAATACATTTGTATCAGACTTAGTTCCTGATATAGGTAAGTCCACTATGCCATTATCTTCTGATGTAATAAAGAAATGGTAATTGATTTGTTTAATGACTGTAGCAGAAACTTGGCTCACAGAATATTCATAGACAATCTAACAAGGGTTCTCATAAGCCCTGAGTGACCAGTTTTAATGATATACTGCCGCCAATGAATAAAATTTGATGAAGGAAATAGTTTTTACCTGAAAGAACAATGAGTTCTCAGATGAATGTTGTGAACAGGTAAAATTGCGTTTGAATTTTAAAAGTAAGAAAATTTTTGAGTTTGAACAAATAGCATAATGATAGAGTTTCTATAAAATAAGAAAGTCAATAGTGATATTTTATGTTTGGGTTCTGAGTACAGTTCTGCAATCATGGCAAATATGTAGGAGGCCTATACCCACACTTTACATACTACTCGATTCATATTGCATTGTACTCCCGAGACTTTTCGATCAAATTTCATATTTAATACAAAATAACTCTAATTATATAAGGCTTTCATGGCTATATTTGAGCTATGTAACAATTATATACATATCATATTAATGTGAGATTTTATTTAATACATGGCATTGCTGTGGCATTGTACATTTAGAAAATTAGGAAATATTATTCAAATATTTCATTCTGTTGAGGTGGATACCTGAATATCTTTCACAAGTAGTATTTATAAACACAGGCTGGTATCGAAAGATTTGTCCGCTGTGACGGAGCATGCTATTTTTCATAAAAACACTAAGAATGCTTCACGATTTATTTTTTAACTCTTATGTTTCGTTATATCAAAGATAATTACTTACTCCATGCAATGGATATATCATTTGCGGGTAACTTTCACTTCTGTTTGAAGTCCAATAACGCTAGGAGTAAAATCTATTGAACACGGCGCCAGAGTATCAAACTCTAAAATGTACCATTTCTTCTTTAACTTTTTAATGGCATGATATAGTGACACGATAATATTAACATATGTTTTCAGCATAACTCTGAATGTATTAATGAGATATTAATGCATTGGGTCTTTTTAATTTTTTTATAAAAAATAGTGTATATTTTTTTTGTCCGCTGTGACGGAGCATTTCCACAGTTCACATTTGCAACTGCTCCGTCACTGCGGACAAAAAATTAAACACTATTTTTTATAAAAGAATTAAAAAGACCAAATACATCAACATCTCATTTATTCCTTCATAGTTATGCTGAAACCATGTGTAAATATTATCGTGTCACTATATCGTGCCATTAGAAAGTTAAACAAGAAATGGTACATTTTGATGTATGATACTCCGGCGCCATTTTCAATAGCTTTTCTTCCCAACGTAATTGAACTTCAAACAGAAGTGAAAGTTACCCGCAAATGATATATCCATTGCATGGAGTAAGTAATTTTGTATGGTATAACGAAACATATGAGTTAAAAAATAAATCGTGAAGTATTTTTAGTGTTTTTATGAAAAATAGCAGCTCCGTCACAGCGGACAAATATTTCGATACCAGCCTGTGATAAAGTAGTGAAGGTACAATGAAATAGAAAAACAGTGAAATAGTGAAACAGGGATTTCGTGATATAATTATACACAAATATATGTGAGATAATTATAATTGTTATTTTTATCAAGTTAGTTGATCTTATTTTTATTGAAACAATTTTTCTGATTCAATATTTTATTGCTAATCATAAGAAACCTGATGAAACTTTTTTTAACCAATGACATTACCAATTTCATGAGAACTTCTCGATAAGGCTAGATAAGTTATGATTAACATTCAAGGTCTATATAAAGTTTGGTATTCTCTTGATACAACTATGTAGTAGTTTGTGTCACTTAAAACAGAAATAAGAAAAATGGATGGTGACATTCAGTATTTCATAGCTTATTCATCACACGACTTCACACATAATTCAGCGGATACTGAAGGTTCAACTTGGAATTCTTAATACTACAATGAATGATTTATATGATGCAATAGTGAATGTGAAACCTAATAGCGTGTTTCGGGTACTTCATCATTGGCAAAAAGATACATAATTTCCAAAGCTAAATTGAAATGATACCAATCAATGGATATACTGTACTAAGATCCTTTTTATATTATCGTTTGTGAATTTTTCAATTTGCATTTTAAAACACATTTTAAAACTATTTGAAATCATAATTATATTACTGTTAGTTCTTATTACTTTATCAAATACAGGGTGACCGGAAAAAAAGGAGACCATTGAAATAGGCAATATCTCCTAAAATAGACTAGTGACATCAATGAAATTTTGCATACATCAGGACAGTTCTATGGAAATTTGTTCCTGAAAGTGTCAATACAAGCAGTCAACTGGTTCAGGAGCTATGATCATTTACATAACATGCTCCAAATAGGCGCAATTGAGACCAACGCAGAGCTGGATACATTTGGCAAATACCCTTACATATTCCGACCTTGTTATGGCATTACATTTAGCATTTATTGCCACCTTTAGGTCAGCAATTGTCTCAGGATTGTTTTGGTACACATTGTCTTTCAAATTGCCCCACAAAAAGAAATCAGGTGGATTCAAATTTGAGGTGTATGGAGACGAAGCTTATCTGAACTATGGCTTCTGACTCAGTGGTCCCACTCAGTTACAGTATCATCCTAAGGAGGTTTTGGGCAGCCCTTGGTTTTCATATGGGATTTAATTGTGCCATATAGTGGTTTTAGTAACATGGCACTATGCCCAATACCTAAAGTGACTCTTAAGATTTGGTAAATCAGCACTTTGGCAACAGGATGATGAACCACATGTCAGATAACCCTTCATTGCCATTACAGCCTAGACTTGAATCCTGCTGATTTCTTTTTGTATGGATATTTGAAAGACAATCTATACCAAAACAATCCTCAGACTATTGTTGACCTAAAGAAGGCAATCACTGCTATATGTAATGCCATAATAATGCCATAGAGGGCAGAACATGTAAGGGTAGTTTGCCATATGAATCCAACTCTGCGTTGGTCTCAATTGTGCCTATTTGGAGCATGTTATGTAAATGATCATAGCTCCTGAACCAGTTGAATGCTTGTATTGAAACCTTCAGTAACAAATTTCCATATAACTGTTCCAGTGTATGCAAAATTTCATTGATGGCACTTGTCTAGTTTAGGAGAAATTGATTACTTCAATGGTCTCCTTTTTTCCGGTCACCCTGTATTACATAACTTGGCATTTTTCAGCTGATAATTTTGAAATGAATAAATGAAGCATCGATCTCATAAAATACCCGTGGAAATAGTTGATATTTCCTGATATTTTTGATATAAAGTTATTCCTACTGTTATGTTATGCTGCCTTTATTCCATTTTCACTGTAGGTACATTGATTGTTTTCTATTTTTAACATCCAAAGCAGAGGCTGGTTTAAATGCTCCTCCAGTAATATTGACATCATGCAGCCAAAGGGAAAATTTCACAACCTTCAACCAAATCTATATTTTAGTAGGTAAATCTCATCTTAGTGATATGAGCAAGACATCAGAACAAATTTGAGTGAACCCCTGTCGTATCCGTAACCTAGAGATATGTAGTTTCCATACTTGTAAATCTCATTTTCCCATTTTAGTCTTCTTTGATATCAACTCCTGTGGCAACTTTGATGTTCAGATTGTTTGACATTGTATTACATTGTATTACAGTGTACCGAATATTAATTATGGATGTAAGTTGAAAAATTGATTTTCATATTTATCTTGAAGGCGTTGAAGCGGCAATTTATTATCTCATATGTGGGTGTTTTTCTTGTTACCATGTTTCTGTTTTGTTTTTGTAAATAATGAGCAATATTCTATGAATGAATAATGTTATCATTAGCTGCTAGCTTTAACTGTTCATGTTTTGATTGGGACTCCATTTATTGTGTAATTAGTTACTAGATTAGGCTCATCATTCAATCTTCACAGTTTTGTCTTTTGTGGCACAATCTGTAATGAGCTCGCTGATCAATCAGGTTAGGTTGACTCTAAAAAGTGAAACAAATGTTTTCCGAGTTACTTGAAGTAAAGTACTTTAGTATTCTTAGGATTCCCCATTACGTCATCTCCCGCATCATCTCCAATCAAATTGCAGTATGTGATCACGTGAACAATCATGAGCACGTGCTCTCTCAGTGCTGCGCATGCGCAAAGTTAAATCTGAAATCGTGGGAATGGCGTTAATATCAGTTCAATTGTTTTCGAACGTGCCAATACGAAAGGTCGTCTTTGGGAAATCTCCCCCCCCCCTGTAGCTGTTGTGAGCGTATGATCATTGTGACCTTTGACCTCTCAAATACCCTGAGTGACTGATATGATGGTCATAGATTTTCTCAAAAAAGTGCTTACACTTTGTAGATTTTTGTCCAATTCACACAAATTATATATTAGATGAGTTTGATGTTCACAAATATCATCAAATTGAACATGAAATATATTTATGATATTATAATGGCAAAAACTAGATAAAAAATTAAAAATAGTCTTGTATGAAAATAGGCTTAAGAAGCATTGACATAGAAGTGAAGACTCATATTTGTGCTTTCTTTCAGTTTATAGATTCTTTGATTCAAGTGTTTATTCTCAACAGTTTGCTAATGATAAAACTCACCTTCTTGTGTTTAGAAATGTATTTATTTCCGAAATGAATTGGTATTAACTCATACAAAGCAAAACATGACCTTGTTTTGCAGAATTCCGCAATCTGTAAACTTCCTCTCCTAACAGAGTTATAAATAGCCAGTGTTATGGAGCTTGGTAAGTTATACAGATAGGGAATCCCATACTTCCTATACAGGTGATTCCGACCTTACAGAATACTTTGTGCAAGCCACAACAATTGAAGTTTCTCCCTATAGACATACATATGTACATTGCATTTTCTTGATTAAGACTATTTTCATGTCTTCTCTTATTTGAAGGGATGTACATACATGGATGGCTAAGGGAGTAATCTTGATGATGTATTATATTATATTATGTGCAAGGAAAATCAATTGGAGCATGGTGTTCTCCTAATTAAAATAAATGTTCTAGCACTTTGGCCAACATAATCTAAAACCTCCCCACTGGCACAAAAGTGCTTGGTATTTAAAGCTTCATTCAAACTGATGATGTACATGTTGACAGCAAACAATAAAGACACTGAGATTGGAGTTAGTTAAGGAAAAAGTGTCATATAATATTTTTTTCTGTCATCATTTCATGTCATGATTTTGTCTAACGATTCTCCCTTTTTGACTTTATTTCAGGATTTTATTTTTTATACTTTCTAGTCTTTGTCTTTGCTGCCACTTTAACATACTAAATATTCATTCATTTATCTGTTGATGAATTTCTCTCAGACCTCAACAAATTATAGTTGATGGATCAGAAACAAATTCTATTCTGTTCAGTTTAGTTTCAAGTTTCTGAGATTAAAAGTCTAAAATAGAGAATGTGCTCAATCCAGGCACCATTTTGCCCCAATAATGCAGACTTTAGGGATATCTCAAAGATCTGGTCTATGTTGACCACCCAGGGACCATTGAAGAGTTGAAAGCATACATTGAGCGTGAGATCAGAAGATACAAAATGACATGCTAGGCAGAATATTCAACAATTGGGAGAACACCATAACATTAAGTTATATTTATTGATTGATGTTGGTGCTTTATAGAAAAGCCATGATAGATCTACATCAAGGTACAGTTTGAACAGTGGAGAGGAGCTGACACATTATGGCCAGTCTCTATCACAGCTGGAGAAGTTTGAAGCCCCAAGACACAGTGATAGTGAGGATGAGGATGAGGGGCGGATAACAGGTATGCATATTCTGTTTTCATTTGGTTTTAGGGTTATGCAATAGGAGGTTTTTGATATGAGATATATTCTGAGAAAATATGTATGAAATATATTGCTATGAATGTTGGTCAGAAGAATCTGCCTTGTCTCTCTATTAAATGGTAGAGATGGAAACGGTGTGGCTTACCATGATGTAAAAATCAATTAACAAGTATATCCAATATACTAGATAGTAGAAATATTTTCTAAATGATTAATACACTTGTAGGAATAGAAATTATGTAGATAAGATTAAGAAATAAAAAACATTATCCTATATCAAACAATTTTAATCTTCAAAACTCAATTGAATGATACATGTTTTGCTTAATATTTCCTTAGGTAAGATGGTAGCTGAGGAGCATTTTGGTGGATTCCTTACACAAAAGGAGTTCATGGACAGAGACTCTGAGAAAACATGGAAGGAGAGAATGGAAGAGACCATAGCTAAGTCCAAGAAAGCAAAGGTAACCAGCTATGACCATGCAATGGTCACTTTATCAGGATGCATGATGGCCCTGAACTTAATTCATATACATGTATATTGTAAACTTGAAAGATATGTTTTTACTTGTGTGTTAAAAAATAAAATTTCGAGGACAACATTACTGCTAAAATTTGCAACCTAGAAAATGCAACCACTTACCTCCAAAGTTCATTTGTATATTTTAGTATAATGTGATGTAAACTAATAATGTTGAGTGCAGTTCTATGGTTTTTAAACACAGCAGAGATATCAAGTACTGGTCTGTATATTCACATCCTATAAGCTTCTTCTTGAAAGAGTAAGGGAAATTCATTTGTTATAAAAGCTCATATTTGTTGTTGTTCCAGTATGACCGTCAAGTGGAAAAAGACAAGACCATTGAGGTGACTGATAAACTGGACTCGGATTGGCAGGAACTACGCATGTTGATTGGAGGCATAAAGGTAACTTGATATGAAGATTTTAAAATTGGAATACTTAAATTATGACCTTGATGGCAAAGAAGATACCAGCCAAAATAATTCACAAATCACTTTGCTTTTTAGACACTTGTGCAATGACAAGCACCTCTTCTAAGTGAACACTAAAAAAGAAAAAACTAACACTTTATCTGTCCAATATTTATATACCCTTTTAGCAACTATGTTATTAAACATATTATTATATTTTTAGAAACAGTCTAAGGAAGTTGAGAAGCCAAAATCAGATGACTATGATGTCATGGTCAGAGAACTGCAGTTTGAAATAACTGGCAAGGTAGGTGCTGCCATCTATATTCTATAGGACCTGAATTCACACTTTCCAGAGCTATCTTAAATGACAGGAATTTGTCTAAAAGTAATATGAAATTAAGTGGATTCAGTCACTTCCAAGTCATTAAGACTAATTACCCAAATGCGAGTAGGTAGTTACCAGTTTCACCACCAGGTGGCTGATTCGGGTCAATTAACATGGCAGGTATATAAGAAAGTTCCCTTAAACTTGAATATTATAAATTTAAGTGGCTCAATTTTCATATAACCCTTACGTGTCTGATACTTATACTCATGAAAATATGTCCAGGAAAGCAAAATATTATCTGTCCACTAAAAGAAAAGATATTTCATTTTTTGTGATTTTATAGCATGTGGTCTATGGGGAATCTCCCCGAGCTAGAAGGCACATTTTCAAAGAAAATTAATTTTTCAAAGTTGATAAACACTTTTAAAAACCACATTTCTAGATGTAATTTTACATGTAGATTTCAAATATGATATTACTTTGACTGAATTTTTAATTTTTAATGATGTAAATCGAGATTATTTCTACTCGCATCTGGGTTATTCATCATCTCGATTTTTAGGATAGCATATTACCCAAATAAAATATCGTACCGTACAATAAATTGGTTTCAAAATGGTCTAAGATTCTTTTTCAGATTAAATATTGAAGCACATGATACACATTTGGATATTGAAGTTGCTTACTAGGTCATATTCATGCAGATAGAGGGCATATGTACCATATTTTTGCTTCTAATTGAGTTATTTCACCAAACTTTGTGATTCTCTATGATGTTGTGTATTTACATGATTTTTGCAAATGTTGATGTTTCAGGCATCAGATAGGATGAAGACTGAAGAAGAAATAGCTAAGGAAGAAAAAGAAAGGCTTGATAAGTTGGAGGTAAGCTTTGAATTCATTTAGATAAGTCCTCTTTAATTTTTGAATTTAAGGCCTTTAAAACTAAAGAATAGAATTATTAAATAACTCAACTTCAGTTACTTCAGAGAATAATGATTTATTTTTTGAGGTTTCGCCAGTCATCCAACTAATTTTATCAAAATAAGTTATTTAATTTTATGAGTTTATTTATAAGTTATTTTATGTATTACCAGAGTGATGAATCTACATAGAAATATAATTATTGTATTGTAAATTAAAGCACTTACTCAAGGAAATGCCAAAAATGAGTGTTAAGTGTCTAAAGAACTTACACATTTATTTGGCTCCACTACAATCTCACTAACACATTCAAGATCTGCTGTATATACATGTACATCATTGTACTTTAGGCTGATAGGAGACTACGGATGAAAGGTATTAGCATTGAGACGGGAGCTGTCCAACATAGATCAGCTGACGATTTAGATGATGGCATGGATTATGAGGGTGGGGACAATACACCTGGTTATGTTGTTTATAAGGATGGTAAACTGGTCAACAGTGATGATGAAGATGATGATGATGATGCTGCTGCAGAGGAGGAAGATGATAAGGATGGTGATGAAGGTAAAAGCCTTCTGATATTTTCGGTGGTGCAAAAACAAGAAACAATATCATCATACTAAAGTCTGTAGATGATTGAGAGAAAGTCAGATAGCAAGATTTAACACATAGTTGTGCTAATATTAGTGGCAAAACTGTATTGATATTATCAATGATATTATTGATACTCATGTAATATTTCAATGTTGTTTGTTATTCCACACATGTAGGTATATATCATTATGCAGTTGATATCATATCCATATATGCTACACCGAGAAGGTCTCTAAGACCCACCTATCGTCATCATGATGGGGACGAAATAATGCTAAGTAAAATCTATGTTAATGCATGCTACCTAATAGTAGTTTCTTAATCCAATTAAAGGGAACTTAACTTTATCTTTATCACAAACATACACCTAGTACACCTGCAATTTCTGTTAACCTTTTTCAGGTGAAAGCGATAATGAAGATGCTGAGGCTGGTGAGGAAGATGCAAGTGATGGGGATGAAGAAGATGAAGACAGTTATGATGACATAGATAGTGATGACCCTGACTCAGGAGATGATGTCAATCCCAAAGAAACTCTGGCTAAGCAATCAAAAATATTGAAACCACTTGATCCAAAGGTAAATCCATTTGTAAATGACAGGATTGTTTCTACTATAAGTCTGCAAAACATGTTAAATTGACTGCTTTATTATCCCAACGAACGAAGTTCGGTAGGGATATAGTGAAGCCCTCCGTCCGTCCGTCCGTCTGTCCGTCCGTCTGTCCGGAAGATAACTCAAATATTAGTTGACGGATTTTCTTCATATTTGGTGGAAAGATGTATATTGATGAATAGTTTTACGCAAAAAACATTTTTTCAAGATGGCCGCCGCTGTAAAAATGACGGACTTTTTTGCAAAAATCTTAAATTTTTCATTCTAAACCAAAGTAATTAATATTATTGTTTGAAATTTTGGTAGTATATTCGCAACATCTATCTATTTCACATATATTCCGTGTTTTTCATCCCGACCCCCAGGGGCCGTGTATGGGGGGTCAGGAAAACAGAAATTTTCGCTAATTTTTAGATCTTTCTGAAGTATAGCTTTATTATACTCAAATGAAAGGCAATTAAGAGTAGATTGCAAATACTATATCTTTTTTCTGATTCGAGCCTCGTAAAATTCAAAATGGCCGTCTAATGTACGATTTCACAATAATTTTTCGATCCCTTCAAAGTATGGCCATATAATACTCAAATTGAAGGAATTTTGAAGTAGATCACAATTATGGTATTATTTTTCAGATTTGTACCTCAGAAAATTCAAAATGGCTGCTTTGCAGGAATTCGCAATTCTAAAATCTAAAATGTTCAATTATAACCAAAGTAATGAGTATAATTGATTGGAATTCGGTAATTGATATTTTGTTCGTTGGGATTTGCTACTCCGCGGAGTTGCCATTATCTAGTTTGCAAAATTTTCTTCTGGCAAAATAGCATATTTTACATTGTCACAAATGTAATGAAAACAGACTGCAGAGGGCACAGTTTTAATGCGTGTATAAAGTACAGTGAAACCTGTAAGGTGGAACACCTTTAGAAGTGGATCACCTCTATTACTGTAACACTGTTTAAGAGTCCCAAGACCGACTGACTAACTGTTAAATGAACCTTTATTAGTGGAACACCCCCAAGTTGAACACTTTTTAAAGGTACCCAAGATGTTCCACTAAGACAAGTTTTACTATATTTGAATAGGAAGATGTGATTTTTTCAGACAAGATAATAAATACTATAATTTGTGTTTCAGAAAAAGCAGGAAGTGATAGAAAAGGCATCAAAAGAGTTACCATATGTTTTCAAAGGTAATTCTCCAGAAATTTGTTTATTCGTAATATGGATTTGGAGGTTAGATATTTGAATAGTTTTAGAAAACAATGAAATCTTGCGTTTGTATGTAAAGCTTTGCACGTAGTCAATACTTTGAATTTTAATCCTCCTTCACACATTGCTCATGTTATTAATATATAATTGTAGCTCCAGACAGCTTTGAAGAATTTATGAGATTGATAGAGGGAGCAACCTCAAAAGACCAAGTGACAATTATTGAGCGTATTCGTAAATGTCACCATGTTAGTCTTGCTGAGGGGAATAAAGAAAAACTAAAGGTATGTATATGGTCAAAACCAGTGTCATATTTGAAGATAGAATCAGGCAAAGATGTGTGCCAAAAATGGAGGTGATACAATAAATCCTTTGTTTGCTCAAAGACACGGCTACTTTTTCACAGGATTTTGATGCATACACATGTAATGAACATGTCTTTCCAATGTTGAATGTTTGTTTATCAATTGTAGACATTTAGTAGCATCCTACTGCAATACCTTGGTGAGCTGGCCATGCAGCCAAAACTGGACCTTGACCTGATAGACAGTATCACCCGACATATATACAGCCTGAACAAGCAGTTTCCCCAGTTCCTAGGGGAGACAATGTCTGCTGTGCTCATTGAATGTGTTGAGGCGTTTACGTCACATGCAGAGAGACATGGGGGCAGAGGAGTATTCCCAACACTTGATACAGTAAGTACAATTTGAAAGAAATGTCACAAGAATAGAACTCACTGATCTCCACAGAATCTTTTCTCACGTGGATGCATTATTCTCATTTTCACAATTCAGACCAAAGTTGGTCAAATTATGCTTATTTTTCATCATTTTTTCTCATTTTCAAGTGGGTCCAAATGGATTTTCAGGTGGAAGCCAGCTTATTTTCAAAATTTCAGTTGGGTGCTGCACCCACTTGTTTTAATGCTGGGGAGATCACTGGAACTCCCACTATTTCTGATACACTGCTGTTTTACGTTGGTGTAATTGAGACCCAACCCAAATGAATATATAAGTATATAGAAGAAATGTGATTATGAATTCTTCTAGGGGAGGTTTATTTTGCCAAAGCTTGTGTTGGTTAAGCATTGAATGAACTCTTCAATTTACAGGTATTTTATCTCCGATTGATTGCTGTATTGTATCCCACATCTGACTTCCAACATCATATCACCACCCCAGCTATGCTCTTTATGGGAACCATTCTAGCCAAGGTAAGTCTCTTTAAATTATCATTACAATGATCAAGGTCTCATTAATAGATTATTATATCGAAAATACTCAAACTGGTTGTTGTATCATCTTTTGTATTAAGCCTTATTGAAAAATATGATGAACTAAAATATTTAAAGTATTTTTTTATGTTTTAGAGTCCAGTGAAGAATCTCACAGATGTAGCCTCAGGTCTCTATTTATGTACAGTTTTCCTACAGGTAACCCCATCCCATTCTTATCAACCTCCTAGATGTACTGTCGCTATAGCCAGCTCTCATCAAAAGGACTAATTCTTGTTTACTTTGTCAAAAGTCATTCGGATCTCAACTGCACCAAACTTTTTTTTGCTATAAATCGAAAAGTAAAAGGGTCATTCTATTGATATTTTAGATATTGATATTTATGCAGGCAAATTGACACATTCTCCTTGATGATTTTTCACATAGCCTTATTGAAAGAGCCTGACAGTTTTGTCAGATGCTTTATTCTGCTTTTGCATTGTTATTATCTAGATTATGAAGGCTATACTTTAATTTGCAGTATGTGAGTCTATCAAAACGATATATACCAGAGTTGATCAACTTCCTACGTGGAATTCTTGCTTTAGGAGTAAGCACTAAGAAAAGAAAGGGTAAGTATCAAGTTTCATTCTCTTTCATGTTTTGAATTTATCCCTTAAAGGTAGTCATTGAGCGTTACTATGAGGATGTGTGACACAGAGGTCAAGAGCCACTTACAAAATCTGTTCTTAATGTTTTTCAGCCGATGATGTACTTCCCCCATTCAGACCTGTAGGCCCAGGTACAGATCTCTTAAACGTAACTAAGGATGACACAAGGTAACACACTCTAACAGCATATTCTCTAAACATAATTCCTTTTCTGTAGTTATTCATGCTAGTGTCAGTTGTCAGGTCAGTCTGAAATTCATATTTAAGTAGCACTTTTTTAAAAATATTATTTATTTCCTTCATAATCAAAAGTAGCACTTGATTTTTATCATGATTCCTCTTTATTATGACATGTATATGGATCACAAAATACACTTGTTTTATAATTAATAATCGATTGGCAGCAGCGAAACCTTGTTGATGATGTAGAGGGTTCCTAAATATTGTCTTGATGTTAATATTGATGATCAGATGGAAAGTTATTCATACCAATGTAATGTAATGTAATGTAATTTTTGTTATCCCTTTCTAGGAAAACAGAAGTAGGCCCTCTTAAGTTCCAGACAATATTTTGTGGAGAAGATATGTCAGAGATTTCTAAGCGACCTGAACAGTCAATAGAAATAAGGTAGAACATTACTTATGATTCTAAGAAAAAAAATAAAGTCAATAATTCATCTTTTGATGAACAATGTGCAACAAAAGCGTTTATCATGGGCGTTCATATATAAACCATTCACATTCAACATACTGTACTGAAGCTTGCTACTCCTTGTCACTAGAGACATTATAGACTTTTAGAAAAAAGTATATCCTGCTCTGTGCCCCTTGAATGTAGTGTAACTATTGTGTATAACAATAAGTCATGAGTTCTAGTTGCATGTTTCTATTTCTCTAATTTTTTCAGACTAAGTGCAATTAACACCTCACTTCACCTGCTAGAGGACTGCGTTGAGAAGTATAATGACCTTGAATCATTCCGGGAAATATTTACACCAATTTATAGTCTCCTGAAACGTCTCCCTGTGAAGTTCTATCCTGCATCTATGAAGGTATAGAATTGTATGATTTCATATGTTATATTTTATGTTTAATTGAATATGGTCATGTAAAGACAGAGGGTATTGTATATTATGTTTTGAAGAATTGAGTTTGAAAAGTCATAGCATTGATGTTGACCTTGAGACCATTTAACATCTATTTGTTTTCATTGCAGTTTGTTTTAGTCTCCAGATTTTTTGTGATGGTGGTTGGCAGTCAGTGTTTGACGTCTGTAATAAATGGCAGGTGGTGATATTATCATGTTAATGCCTTGTTTAATGTGTATGCTTTCCTTTTATGTTCAGGAGAAATGCAGTAAACTGGTGCAGACTTTAGATACAAGATTCACTAAACCTAGACAATACCTTACTATGGTGAAAAAGAAGCCCCAACCATTAAAAACTTTTGAACCTAAATTTGATGAAAGGTAACATTAGCTTTTTAGTATAATTCTTATTACAAACACTTGTATATGAATAAAATGTGTAACTTATCCTCCCTCATCTATTTTGAACCATATAAAAAGAGCCTTGTAGAATATATTGAAAGTAAACTGATTCTTGCATATTTCATATTTTGACATCAGAGAGGCAGAGGTTGTTGTCAGTCATATATCCAACCTTATCTTTACAGTATTGGTAAACATTAAGAAAGAAGATTACGTTACATCAGCTAATTAGGCAGTTTATTTCTGCCACACCGCACTTATTATAATAAAAAAACTTTTGTGATTCAGATTTGATGCTCGTAAGAAACGTGCTGGAACACGAGAGGAAAATGAATCACAACGGCTCATCCACAAACATAAGAAGGAACTCAAGGGTGCAGTAAGAGAGATCAGAAAAGATGCACAGTTCTTGTCACGAGTCCAACTAAAGGAGAAATTAGATAGGTCAGTTTTTAACTTCATATCAATGTTTATTTCAGTTAAGAAATCTCCCTTAAACACCACCCTTTAATTTAGCTCAGACATTTGTATATGTGATTACTTCACTTTTTATACCTGTACAATATACTTGCAGAGACCAAGAGAGGAATGAAAAGGTGAAGGCCATACACCAGATGCTAGCTTCGCAGGAGGGAGACTTCAAGGCATTGAAGAGAAAAAAGAACTCTTTATAGGACACTACAGATTTCAAATAAATAACAAGTGAATATAAAAAAATACAATACAATACAATACAATACAATTCAATACAATACAATACAATACAATACAATACAATACATATACAATGAGTAATGATAATGACTTGAGATTATTGATTTACAGTAAACCTGTATAGTGGAACATTAATGTTTACTATGTGGAACAGCTCAATAAGTATTTGGTGATGACTATTTATTTATTCATTCAACCATGGATCTCAAATGTATTTTTGATGCTGTATCCATGTTCCTCAAATTGGATAAATAAATCTTCGGGGGTTTTATGTAAAGTAACAGGCACACTAGTGTTTAAGTACAAAAATATACAGTTGCCAGGACAATATTTGAAGCAACAATTCATGCTGATATTAGTCATACCAGTACCAGTTTAACATCTAATAGTCTATTAAAGACATAGAGGGTAAGATGTTACCTTTCCAGACAGAAAATAGAAATTAAGAGTATTATGAAGTAAAAAAGTAAGATGAAAGACTGATCCAGCATCAAGAAAAAGTTACTTTGGATAACTGGAAATAAATATTGTTAATTAAGGAATAAACAAGATTTTATGATTTATGGCGGAAAATATTTCTCCAAAATTTTTATTCTGTTCATTGTTAAATGACCGAAATTGTGTAAATTCAAATTAATGATAAATAGACAAGAAAAATAACTATTTGCATTTATCAATTTTAGCGGTCATACATACTCCAATATAGACCAGAAAATCAAATACTCTAGCTATTGTGACGTCACGCATCATATTAGAATTAAGAAATGTAGACTGAAGAGCATGTGTTCTATATAACAAAACAGGAAGGGGAATCTTTGTTTTGATATTTTCAATCTACAATCTTATATTATTGTCTCAGCATGATTACACAAAAGCAAAATTCTCTTCTAACTTCTCCAAAAGTCAATCGTTGTGCCAGTATGCAATGGTTCAATTATAATCACATCATTTTCCATAACGTCTATTGCATTTAAATCGTTTAGACACAATCGAAGCATTTCTCCTCCAAAAGTCCATTATTGCATTCGTGTGTGCCACAGAAGTACCAAAGTGACTTGTACGGACCATATCCTTGGTAGGCACAGTTTCCACTGGTGGTGTCCACGTCAAAAGGCAAATTGACCTTGTCAGCGCACCCTCGGTATATATCTAAATGGGAAATATGATGGCGTTACAAATATGTAAAATTCGCCTGCTCTATCCTTAACTGCTCTATCCTTTTAGAATGAAAAATGTTGAAAAATATTATTTCATTCAGAGACAAATATACTTACACCCGTTAGGATCCTTCCTTATAAAGCAAGTTCCCGAATCACATCCGGGAGTGTCAACTAATAGGAAATCATCGTCCGTCTTCAATGAACATGCGCCCAAACCACCGATTCCATCTGGATCGTAGTTACAGTCGAAACAATGAACTGCAAATTAGAATACGCAAAGATGTGAAGATTGTTGATAAATCTCATGTTTGTAAAAGGACATGCAATCCCATGGTTTATAATATGCTACAACGTGTGCATTTGTTTAAAGGCAGGCATAGAAATGACAAAACTGGAAGACATCTTTACAATTGAAACCCCAATATATCCTTTACCTATATCAGCTCAAATATATCATCTCCAAAAAGATCCTAGTTAAACCAGTGTATTCCTTCATTCAACAATAGCCCGTTGATATAAGTAGTTCCTACGAGTTCCACTGGCCCTTAGGTGGGTCCAGAAAAATTAGTGGGCTTTCGGTCATGACTTGCCCTTTTTTAGCCTTTTTGGCCAACGTATCAAAGAATGGGTCTTATTTTTCGAAATGTTGGCCAAATTTGGGGATTTAGGGGCCCGGATTATTATCTGATTTGAAATGTGCCCCTCCCCCCTCTTGTTAGCTTCAGGATCCGCTAGTGAGTTCTGCCACAATTTAGTGTTTCCCAAACTTTCACTTTATTTGAAAGTATATCAGATGTCCCAAAAATGAGACACTTTTTGACAATTATTATCTCGGCAACTGATAAACCAAATTTACTGAAAATGTGTACAATATATACGCATACCTGCCAACCTCTCAGAGAAAAAAAACAGGAGTTTTTTAAAAAAAAACAGGAGAATCCAGGAGATATTTTGCAAAAAACAGGAGAAAAACAGGGGACTTTTACTGAAAAAACAGGAGAAAACAGGAGACTTCTTTTAAAAAACAGGAGGTTTCTTTTAGAAAACAAGTTACCATCTAAAAAACAGGAGAAAACAGGAGATTTTCAGTCTAAACAGGAGATTTTCTTAAAAAACAGGAGAAAACAGGAGGTTTCTTTTAGAAAACAAGTTACCATCTAAAAACAGGAGAAAACAAGAGACTTTCAGTCTAAACAGGAGATTTTCTTTAAAAAACAGGAGAAAACAGGAGACTTCTTTTAAAAAACAGGAGAAAACGGGAGGTTTCTTTTAGAAAACAAGTTACCATCTAAAAAACAGGAGAAAACAGGAGATTTTCAGTCTAAACAGGAGATTTTCTTTAAAAAACAGGAGAAAACAGGAGACTTCTTTTAAAAAACAGGAGAAAACGGGAGGTTTCTTTTAGAAAACAAGTTACCATCTAAAAAACAGGAGAAAACAGGAGATTTTCAGTCTTAACAGGAGATTTTCTTTAAAAACAGGAGAAAACAATTTATTTTAAAAGCATGAGAAAACAGATTATCTTTAAAAACAGGAGAAAACAGAAAACTTCAAAGAAAACACATTGTTCTTATAAAAAATACTCTATTTATGGCCAGAAAGTACTAATGGTGAAAGATATGATGGTCCAAAATCACTTGCAATATCAATCTCCTGAGTGGAGGCGATAAAAATCTGCGCAAGTATGTCCGTGAAACGGGGTAAGAATAATTTTGTCTATTTATGCACGATTGCGTAAGCCTACCAAGATTAAGCATGTATATTCATTAACTTCAGAGAAATCATGTTAAATAAGTTTGAATGATTTTACCATTGAAGTTTGTCAAAGATTGAGATTTATCAGTCACATTTACGGTAAGCTTTTTGGTTTTTCCATCCTGGACCAAGGAGGATTGGCTCCCAGGATGCAACTTCGATACCGATACTCCCTATGTCGTGACTACAAAATTCGAATTCAAACTGCATATATATACTGTGTATACGATATATTATTCATTTACCCATGTTAGTTAATTCTGTATTAATTCTTTTCAGGACATGTTTATTTTTAAAAAATCGTGCAACTTAACTTAGGATTCAAGGTCTTTCGGATAAAAAGCCTTCATCATTATCACCCTTGGTATACGCAGCTAACGAAAATTGACCGGCACGGGTCAAAAGCTGGACCGGCACGGGTTAGCGGTTTTATTTGAATTTAAAACAGCCATAACTTGCTCAATATTGACTTCCTCGTGTCTAATTTAAAATATATGATGCCTCCCGATGCTTTTAAGTACCCCAATTTTTTACAGATTTTTAAACGGACCAAAACTCTAGAAATGCGCATTTATGCTCTTTTCTCTCGAGAACGACTGTCTCATTTTCACGATAACTTTTATTTAGTACTTCTAACATATAAGATCTATTTTTCCCCATCAAGGTATGATGTAACTGACATGCTATTTACATATTATGAGTTTCAATGACGCGCGTTTGATTTTATAAAAAATGCCAAACTTTGTGACAAAGAATTTCCTCCTGCTTGCAGCGAGAAGACGGACCGGTTCGGGGCAATAGCAAAAACATAATTCAGGAATCTTTATACATGTGTGTTACATCTATTATTACAAGGATCTAAAGTTTTAAATCTTCTCCTAGAACGTCACCGATAGAGCGTTACATGTCCCTTGTAAATTCCAATGGTTAGAATATTGCCCATCTATGCGATCAGGTCATTGCTCTATTTTTGTTCAGAATTGCATTCATTTCTGAACAAAATACTCAATCGGCAGGGCGCTGGCAGATGAATCGGGGCTTATTTGAGATTTATTAATTACTTAGTTATTAATTACTTAGTCTATGTCTTTGTTTTTATAACTGCGGAAGTGTACCAAAACCACCTTGATTACAGAAGAGATCATCGAGGAATTACTTTAGATTTTATGATTATAATTATTCTTTGCCTCTAGTCTCATTTCTAAAACCTGCCTCTATTTGCGTATTTAATATTTGTCACAAACGATTTCAGCTATTTTACAAAACCAAAAGTTACTACATTATAGTCCCCCCCCCCTTGCACTGTCGAAGTCTACGTCTGTTTTTCAAGTTCCGGGCCCACATTGGGCGATATATGTAGAGTATGCATTTAGATTTGTTACTTGGAGAGGCACACAGAAGCAAACTCACTGGAGACATTGATAGATAATCAGGATTGAGAGTAAATGGTGAATACACGGCACGGGCCATTGTACCTGGGGCATTGTATTCTTCGTTTTCAAATATATGATTCGGATTCGGAGAGTTTTTCTAATCCCGGTGTAAAAGAAATTATGGTCCCCTGGGGATTATGGTCCCCTTTCCTAAAGGCCCTTGCTGGCCCTGATTGTGGATACGATGATAAGGGAAATAGTTGTGTTTAGGTCACCATATAAATCAATGGAAAGTAGGACCATAATTTGATAGGACCTCCTACCCTTTTACAAATGATGGTCCCCCAGAGATTATGGTCCCCTTTCTTAACGGCCCTTACTGGCCCTGATTGCGTATAAGATAATCAGGGAAAGAGTTGTATTGAGGTCACCATATAAATCAATGGAGAGTGGGACCATAATTTGAGAGGACCTCCTACCCTTTTACACCTGGATCCTGACTATGGAACTCCTTCTATATTGAACTAACTCTCCCTGTTTGAATATACAATATTAAGGAAATGGACACGTTATTAGGTCAAAGAGTCACCATGTCAATGAGGAAGGAACGTGTAGAACCAAATAATAGACTAGATACGAGTATAAACAATCTTGATTTACCTCATTAAATAT